TCTTGATCTTAAGTTCGTCGCTGTCAGGTATCACTAACTTGTTGCGATAGTAGAGGCGACCCTCACGGTCTTCGCAGTCACCAAGTGTAACTGTCTTAGACCGTCGTGCGCCGTCGCGCAGCAGCTTCAGCGTTTCTCGAATAAACAGGTCTTCAGGTAGCCCATCGCCTGTAGGACGGTACTCATCGTCGATGATCTGCTGGATAGATCTATCTGTCTCTACCAGTCTAATTGCTACGGGTTCTCGAAACAGGTCAGGACGCAGTAGGGTCTGTTTCCGAGCTTGTCTCGCTTCCTCCTGAGCAAGCTGGTCCTGAGAGCGACGGGTAAGAGCGTCAGGCTTCTCACCGTGCTTGCCGGGTCGGTATGTAATCGTAAACTGGAATCGTGATAGGTATTCAGACCAGCGGGCTTGACGGTGGCTCAGTTGCTTCGTAGTGGCGAAGTACTGCAGGTTCTTATGGTCGCTGAGCACGTCGATAGGGAAGGCAGCGCCTTCTAATTCTGGTCTCCACTGTTCGAAACAGCGAACAATAGCAAGTAGCTCCTTGTCGTAGATCTCGTAGTTGTTCTCAGCGGGGTTCATTCTTTTCGAGTAGTACGCGACCGGACGGAGGACGCCGTCAGGTCCAGATTGGGACAGCACTCCTGCTGTAACATAGTCGGAAGCGTCGGCTTCAATAACAATTGGCAGGTCTGGGTCGAAGTGTCGTAATATTGGTGCAGTAGTGAAGGCATGCTTCAAAGCATCAAAAGCCTTCTGGCAGTCGTCATTGAAGAGGAACTTAGTATCCTTCTTAGTCAGCGCTACTAGCGGAGCAGCTAGGTAGGAGAAACCGTCTATAAACCGTCGGTAGAAGTTTGCGAAGCCTAGAAATGCTCTGATGTCCTTAACGTTGTTTGGGTACTCCCAATTTACAATAGCTTGCACCTTCTTCGGATCCATTTGTATTCCGTCTACTCCAACTACGTAGCCAAGGTAAGTCACCTCAGTCTGGTGAAACTCGCATTTGTCTACGTCTAGTTGGAGTCCGGCTTCTCGAAGGGCGTTTAGAACAGATCGTACATGCTCCTTATGTTCATGGAGATTCTCACTGTAAATCAGGATATCGTCGAGGTAGGCCGTGCAGAAGACGTCTAGGAACGGGCGTAGTACATCGTTCACGAAGTGTTGGAACGTGCTCGGCGCATTAGCTAGTCCAAAGGGCATCACTAGGTATTCGAACAACCCATATCGAGTGCGGAAGGCTGTTAGCCATTCGTCTCCTTCAGCAATTCTCAATCGGTTGAAGGCAGCAATAATATCGAGCTTCGTGTAATACTTGGCCTTGCTCAGTCGGCTCAAGGTCTCTTGGATCAACGGGATTGGGTAACGGTTCTTAACAGTGGCGGCGTTTAAGGCACGGTAATCGACGCAGAAGCGTAGTCCGCCGCCGGGTTTCTTAACAAAGATAACAGGGGAGGCGACTGGGGAGGAGCTTGCGCGAATGAATCCCTTCGACAGGTGATCTTCGAGGTACTTGCGCAACACTTTGAGTTCGTTCTGAGACATGCCATACAGTGGGCCGAACCCGTGCTGTTTGCCGGGTATTAGTTTGATCTTGTGGTCGTAAGGCCGTCGTACAGGCAGCTTATCAGACTCTTCTCGTGAAAAGACGTCTATCAGGTCATGATACTCCTGAGGGACTTTCGTGAGTGGATCGGTGTGCTTCTTCTCAGTTAGTGCCTTGTCAATGTCGGCAATGCTAACAGCACAGATTTCATAGCCTCTTTTGCGTGCTAGGCTCATAAACGGAGCAGCACCTATACAGTAGATGTCGAGTTCTGGCTGCAACTTCGACGAGTCGTTCTGCTCGTCTGTTGGCTGGGCACTATCAGGGTCGGGTACAGGTTCGGGTACAAGTTCGTTCAACTGGCGCTTCATCTTAGGTAGCCAGTGGTCGTGCCGTTGTCGTGGCACATGCTTAAGTTTTGGGTTTTGAGGGTAGGCTTCATCATGCCTGTTGTTGCTCCACTGTACCTCAGGAGAGAGAACAGGAGTTCTAGTAGTTCTAAGACAACGTTCTTTACATCGTTGAGCGGTGAAGATTAGTCTTTCCTTGTCGTAGTCTAGGTTTACTCGGTGCTTGTTCATCCAGGGTTGGCCAAGTATTAAATTATGACGGCCGGTGTTCGTGACGTAGAGTCGTATAGATTCGTTGTGATTGTTGTGTTGTAGCTTCAGGGTGACAGTGTGAGACACTTCTCCACCGTCGAGTACAGTTCCAGTAAATCCAGTCGGGTAAATAACGTAGGGCAGCGGGTCTTGACGTAGTTTTAGGTTGCGCGCGAGGTCTCTGTGAATGTATCCAATACCAGTAGCTCCAGTGTCAACTAAGGCTTTAAGGTTACTCTTAACACCGCCTTGTTGAACCGTACAAGGTATTGTAATACAACGTTTCCAGGTATCAGTCTGAGATTCAGACCAGAGTTCAGCAGAGATTCGGTGGGTGCGCAGTCCCGGGGAGCGACTTATCCTCGGGACGAGGCTTTTCCCTTCTGGGATCGGTTACGAGAACGTCGTCCTCGGGATCGCGAAGGTCGCGAGGATCCTGACGAGACAGAACTAGTAGACTGGGTACGGTCGTGGTCACGCGCGCTATAGGATCGGATATGCTGAGTAGGTAGGGGAGCGCTGCAATCCTTAGAGATGTGACCTTTCTGGTTGCACTTAAAGCAGCGGCCTTCCTTAATCCTCTTCTGTCGTTCGGAGGAACCAGCGGGGGCGTATGCTGATGCGTCTATCTCCATTGCGTCGGGGTGGGTTACAGGGTAGCGTCGTGGGCGGTCTGGTAGGAAACGGAGGTTATTATCGTACGTGGATATCAGGTTAGCGTAATCGTTAAGGTCGCTAGGCAAGGCTTCTCCAACCATTGCACGTTGAAGTTCGTGGGATAGAGAGTTCCGGAGGGACGCGATCAGGCCAATCTCATTTAACCCAGTGTCAGCAGCTAGTCGTCGGAATTCGGCGAAGTGGGAGGTGAAGCTGCGCTTTCCTTGACGGAGTCCGCTTAATCGACTAAGAGCTGTCAGCTCCTTGTTTGGGTCTCCGTAGGTAGCTTCAAGAAAGGTAACAAGCTGGTCTACATTATGGATATCCTTGTCCATAAGCGGGTCGATAAGAGCTACTGCGTCCTTCTCAAGTCTAGAGTGAGCGTATAGCAGGCGGGATCTTTCGTTCGGGTATCGGTCTGCGTTTCCCTCGAGCTTGTACCTAAGCTTGCGGACGAAGGCAGGGAGGTCCTTTCGTCGGCCATTGAACAGAGGCGGGTCAGGCAGACGGTCGGTTCGGGGAAGGTCCTTCAGGTTCGCGTTGGGCGGCGTCGCAGGATTCGAGCCAATTCCAGATAGCTCTTCTAGACGAACTTGATCTCCCTCAGCGCTGGTTCGAGTAATGGCTGGGGTAGCAGCAGGAGCAGACCTAGTCTTAATAGACTCAAGCTCTTGGCGAAGCTCTAGAATCTGTTGAGAGTGTCGGTTTTCTTGTTCAGCTAGATTGGCAAGTAGTGCTTCGTTGCTAGCTTTCAATGCAGCGGAATCAGCTTGGATAGCATTTAGCTGATTCAGGATCAATTGCAACGCGTCAGGTTGCCCTTGAGTAGTCATAGTGGTGTGACGCAACGTAATGTCACAAGACGCTACGAGCACGTGTTTAAGAGCTTACAAGAAGCGTTAATTGTAGCTACGTATAATATCTAGTGTAATACAAGACGTTGCGTAAGGAACAGAACAGAATGCAAAGCGGTGAAAGATATAGCTAGGGCCGTGCGCGGCGCTCAGGCCTTAGCTGGCCAATTAACAGATTTCGGGTGGACTGGCGAGCCACCCGAAATCTGTGCGTTCAGGTGTTAGGGGAACCACGGTGGTTACCGTAACACTTTGCATTCTATTCTGTTCCTTACGCAACGTCTTGTATTACACTAGATATTATACGTAGCTACAATTAACGCTTCTTGTAAGCTCTTAAACACGTGCTCGTAGCGTCTTGTGACAGAGGGCGAGATGTAGTCGTAGGTCGTAGAATGGCGTGTGGCTGTAAAGTCGCCACCGCCGTGCTTGTGTCGAGCTTCCATCGTGTGTTTACTTTGATACGCGTGGGATATACAGTGCAGAGATAGAGAGGTAGAAAAATGTTGGAGTAACGAGCTATGACATATAGACGGAAGCGGTACGGTAGGCAATAGCCTCACGCACGTATAAGCTCTACTTTAAATAGTAATCGCAAGAAGTGTAGGCTGTAGGCACTAGATTGAGATCGTCAAACCGATTACTAATCTAACCTACTTAAGATAACGTATTCCACCACTCACCCGCCATTACCACTTACCAGCCACCCTTACCAAACTTAACGCGACGACACTAAACACGACAATAATAATATCACGACAACAACGTCCTTAGTAGACCTATCGCGAAGACAGACTAAGTCTTGCTGTAGACTTGATTCACACAAAACGCGTTCCTACACCTACTCGCGCTGCTACGCTGTATACCGTCTCTCGTATAACGCTGTCGTGGATCGAACTCGCGACCTCTAACCCAATTGGGTCTAGTATCGCAGTTAGACACTATCGCCAGTCATGGAAAGTAAAGATGTCAGAAAGCGATACTGTCGGTACGGTTATACCCATACGGTATACCATCCGACTGAAGACGACGCGCTTGCCCGCTTGAGCACCCCAGACAAGGCACGCATAGCGTGTCGTAGATGAGCTGAGATCACGACGGGTCCGTGATCAGCTCGTAGACACGTACATCTTGATCTTCGAGGTTAAGGCTGTAGAGGGGAAGAGGTGGTTGAAAGGGAAGAGAAGGTCTTGAGCGAAGGACTTCAGTCTGGTGGTATATGGGCAGGCGCATATATGGAATACTTCGAAGACTGGAAAGGGTTGCGCCCAAGGAAATTATGAAGATGTTGTTGGGGTAGTATCAAATGTAGCATGACTTGTTATCAGGCGGAGTAAATGAATGTAACAATGTTCATGATGCTATAAATTATGGGTATCTTTTTACTTAACATTTTCCTTTCCCCAGCGCCCAAACAAAGAAAAACCATTTCACCTCCGATTCTGATTCCGCAATCCCAACGCCGCCGCCCCCCTCGCAGGCAACCACTCACCACCCTCCTCCCGTCTCCCCCCAAGCAACGCTCCCACATCAACCTCCAACTCCCTCCAAAGCGCCTGCTCCACTACTCCCATAAACTCCGCATCCTGACCATGACTCCCAAGCAACACGATCTTCCCCGGCGGCACACCCAGCCCAGCCACAGCATGAACAACAGCCTCCTGGAGCTTCGCCCAGAACTTTGCGCGGGGGGCTTCGTAGACAGGGAGGTTCCACCAACCGAGATCGGTTCGCGCGGCGTAGTTAATCATGCGGGATTGGGGGGTGGCGGTGGGGGAGCACGTGGTTTCGTGCATGCTTGCGCTGAAGGAACTGGAGTCGAAGGCGAGGACGAGGATGTGTTGGTATTGGTAGGGCAGGGTTGCGGAAGCGCATGAGGCGTGTTGTAATCCTGCGTGGGTGGCGTATGCCTCAGAGTGTATCGGAGGGGTGTCCTCCGATGGAGCGAGGCCGGCGGATAGTAGAGCGTTTTGGAAGTCCTTTTCATGGGATCCATAGAAGGGGAATGTGATGGCTGATGTGATGTTTGTGACTGGGTGGTTGAGTTCTGTTTCGAGGGTGGTGTGGACTTTTGACAGGAATGTTGTGAGAATTGTGCTGTCGTCTGGAGAATTCAACGTCGAGTGTGGTGTCATCCACCGCGACATCAAGTCTATGTATTCGGCATCTCCGGGAATTTGGGCCAGGTCGATTGTTGTGCCGTTTGGGTACCGCGCAGCTGCTACTGCTTGTAATGTTGTGAAATGGACGCCGATGCTGGGAGTCGCATCGAGCTCTTCCGCGCTAGTGTGGTCGTTGACGGTCTCTTCAACGATGGGTATCTGATTGTGGTATCGTACAGCTCGTGCACTAGCCAAAGGCACAAGCAGAAGAAGACCAGAGAGTTTCATTTTGAAGTCGTGAGATGATGATTGTTACAAAGAAAGAAGAGAGCGTAAGGGAACGACTACAATAAAGAGCGGACCCGAGTAGTCGTAGGATCAGGTGTAGAAAGGGAGGATGGCACAGCGTGAAAGAGCGACGGTGGTGAGTAAGGAGTGGTGGGTGAAGAAGCGGCAACGACAACGGCAGTACGCTCGTCGTCCCCTCCTCCATCATCGGGGCGACTCCCGACACCTTATAGGAGTCGTCCAAAGACATCCGATCGTACCGTCAAGGCAAAGAGGATCCGAGGTTCTGGTCAGGGACTTGTGGATCCGCCCACTGTTCCGTGGGCACTAGGGGAATACGAGCTAACCCGGCGTGCGATCGGTCCAACCTAATGGACTCGAAGTACCCATCTCCGGGTCCCATGCAGGACAAAAGACGCGTTCCTGGATCTCGGTCACCGTGTCTTGAACCCTCCGTTGGCATTCATGCTCTCGGACAGCGAGCGTCGTTGGCGCGTAACTGCTGTGTGAGGCTGTTGGAAGCGCGCTGTCAGGTCGGCAGGGACCGAAAATAGAAACTCGCCCAGACCCGGCACGCTCGGCACTACTAGAAGCTTGTCTACCCCTCTCTCGTACTTTCGCTCATAGCTATGGCAGAACAAGAGTCGGGCTCGCCTTGGCACATGTATTGATTGCTCACATCTTCTCCGCAAACGGTTCTTTCGAGTCAACTACCTGCCGTCTCATCGCGCATGCGATTGCGATACGAAAATGGCGCTCGAGACCCTGACATGCGCGTGATACACGCGTTATACGGAGGAGCCACGCTGCATCAGGATGATTGTATAACATTAACGTGCAGGTATCGCGTGTCTAGGTGGCCCTTAGGAGTAAAACAGAGTCGCATGGTAAGGCCCGATCTCTGCTTGGGCATGTATAGGGAAAGTTCTTCGCAACTATCGGTAGGCGTCCTGCCGCTTGCTGCCACCATTGTGTGGCGCATGTTAAACCCGACAGCGGGACGCGTTCCGCTAGCTGCTCTTACGCGTCGTTCAAAGCAGAAGGTACAAAGGAGCTCATTCCGTCTGAGCCGTACTGACTATTGAAAGTGCCAAAAGAATACGATTGGTAAACTTCATGCAATGTGCGGAGTACATGCTTCAACATGGACACACCTTGAAAGCAGACCTTCATGTTGGCCTAGTACTACGCAGAGTACTTATCTTCACAGTAGCTCGTGCCTGTATAGTTCTCCTGAACCAGCCTAATGGCATGAAAATGGCACATAAGCAAAGCAGACACATATTTCTTCCTCAAGGTTCTCGCAAGCAAGAACACCCAATGAAAAACAAGTCGCGCCTGCCAGAGGTAGTGCGAGATACTGGCGGCACCGTGGCCTCAAGGTATGAGCGAGCTCAGGGACCTGAGGTCGGGTTGCAAAAATTGTTATCGGGAAAGGCCACCGTAGTGGCATTATAGCGATTAAACTATAAAGAACAGATACTACACTTGATCTAAGCCAGATTGGCAAAGAGAGCTACCGGGCATCTGAGGGACGGGGGAAGGGCGGGTTTATGTAGACGATGAGGGTGGGCCGTGCTGCGTTAGGCGGGCGCACGTGTGACTGCTGCCTGGCCGCTAAGGGGTTGCACTGCCGCACGTGTTGCGCTGTTGCCTACACATCCCCAGGGCTCCACCACTCGAGTCTGACAGCTGAACATGGTTCAGTGAAGCCTAGTCGGGTGCGTGGTCTGTTTGGACGACATCGAGACATTGACGTCACCTCAGAGCTACGAAGTTTTGGCACGACAGTTCTGATACAGATTGAGATCGATACTTAGAGCCAAGATGCATTCACAGACCACCATCACTTCCTCCAATCCTCCTTGATAAGGTCCGCCGCCTTCTCCGCCACCGCATACACCGTTGCCTGAATATTCCCCAGCGTCTCCATTGGAAAGATCGACGCGTCCACGACCCTCAGATTCTTCGTTCCATACACCTTTAACCTGCTATCGACAACGCCATTCAGTTCCCGCGGCATCATTGCACACGTGCCCGTAGGATGGAAGGTGCTCAATAGTCGCTCCTTGACGATTTCCTTAGCGGTATCCAAATCCTTGGCTTCCTTGCCCTCGGGTAAGCGCCCGCTCGGCTTGAGTAGAGAAGCGAACGGCTCGGTCTTGACAATGGTCTCGATGTATTGCGTGTACCGGGCGAGGATCTCCAGGTCCAATGGATGAGAAAGGTATCGGGGGTCCAGGATGGGCTTCTCCTTTGGATCCGCGGATCTGATGTGGCAGAAGCCACGTGAGAAGGGATGATTGTTGACTGCCATGATGGTGATGAAATTGTTGGGGTGGGTAGGTGCAAGCAGTGCGTTCATCTGTGTGGCGCCGGAGGAGATGTTCAGCTGCAGTGGCAGCATCATCGCGTATCCAGCTGCTTCCTTGGGGCCTAGGATCTGCTTCTCAAGCTGCTCGTACTGCTTCTTCTGCCAGAGGGGCAGTTCCTTGTCGTTGATATATTCCTTTGTCAATTTCGCAATTTCTTCGTGGCTGATGCGACCATTGGAGTCGACGAGTGGAAGCATGGTCAAGCTGATTGGGATACCGACGAGCGGGCCGGTCTTGGTAGTCATGTATTGTTGCAACACGGCTTGCACGATATTCGGATCGCGCATGATGTCTCCAGAGAGTTGATCGTCGGCAACCTCGAAGGACGGGGCGGAAATGGCATGGTCCTGGAGGTTCTCGCCCACACCAGGGCTCTCGAGAACTACCGGTATGCCATGCTTCTCAAGAAGTTCTTTTTGGCCGATTCCGGAAAGCTCAAGGATTTGCGGTGACTGGATAGCACCTGCAGAAAGGATAACTTCTCTCTTCGCCCTGACGTCGTGGGTCGACCCATCCTTTGTCCGGATCTTTACACCGATCGCCTCTACAGAGCTGTCGGAGCCCTTCGTCAATATCTTTTCGACGAATGCTTCTGTCAAGACTTCGAGATTCGATCTCTTCGCAACGTCCGGGGTGTAGTATGCCGACGCAGCATAACCGCGAGTTTTCGTCTCCGCATCGAGGGACAGTCCGCACGCAAATGTACCGAGCTTCTCGCCTTCGATAGGATCATCCGTATTGCACCAGCCCATCTTGTCCAGAGTCTTGGCCCACGACGCCTGAAACGGTCCATACACATCCGGAATCGTGACCGGAACAGGACCATCCTTGCCATGCAGCTCCTCATTGATGTAGTCTATGTTGAGGAGTTCTTTCGTTTCCGCACTCGGTGGTGTGAAGCGACTGAACTTGCGAAGGTATGGCGCGATGCCGGCAGCATCCCAACCCTCATTGCCTAATGCTTTCCAGGCTTCAAAGTTGGCTTTTGACGGATACACAGTTGCGCCAAAGTTGATTGCTGAAGACCCACCGAGAACCTTTCCTCGTGGATGCGGGATCTGCCGACCGTTGACATGCGTCTTTGAAATGCGATTGTCAGTTGTGCCTGATGCTTCCTATCGCAACAAGATCAGCTCGTGCCGCTGGACTCACCTGAGGCTCAGACATAAAGTCCCAGTCATAATTGGGGTCTCCATAGAGTGTTGACAGCATACCGACCGTGTCGATCTTGGGGTCTCCTTGACGATTGGCCCCAGCCTCGATCAACAGCACCTTCTTGTCCGCATCCTCGGTCAGGCGGTTTGCGACCACCAGCCCACCAATACCGCCTCCAATGACGATGAAGTCAGGCTCTACTGTAGAAAGTGCATCGATAGATGTTACGCAACCGGTGTGTTGGACCATGGTGTTTGTTGTGAAACAGTGTACCTACGAGTGTGGGCTCAAGGAACGCACCGCGACCATCGCGGTATATAGCAAAAGCCCAAGCGACCATTCCACCATAGGCCCGACAAGCCCATGCACGAACAGGAGCTCTTGATCTGGACCCGTTGTAGCCTCAATTCACGACTGTGCCGCAACGGGCGGTTGCTACTTCGGGAGACGGCAAGCGACGACTAAAACGCACTAAAGCTACGGACCGGGGAAAGCGGTTCCACAACGGCACGTTCAAAATCCCGTTGTCGTGTCATGTTCCTGGACGATATCCACCGCGTCTCCGTCAACACACTCCAAGACAGCGCCCAACACCTACGGCAACCGTGTGTACAGATGAGGGTGAACAGATGCAATTACACCCTGTGGCTTGCGACAGTAGTGCAAATTCTAACCCCCAGGATACTTACGAGTAAGGTAGATATACGTTTATCTACTTTCCATAATTGCACTTGGATACACGTTGAGATTTACCCTTGATAAGTTGCGGCTGACATCCCGCGCTCCGAGCGGCGGGCGCGGATTCCGGGAAAGCTCTGCTCAACCAACAGCTCTCATATCGAAGCGTTATGCAGGTCCAACACGCGGGCCCGCACCCGACCCACTACAGCCTCAAAAACCACCTCGACACGCCGCTGGAAGAGGGGATGATCTGGTCCCCGTATGGTCGTGGTTGGTCAACACGATAGCAAGCGGCACACTTATACCTCCATCCTGAAGTCTACCAGCCACCAGGAAGTTGCCGTACACCCGTGCTGCCCAAGCGACGTTACAGCGCTTGTGCTGTGGGGGTACGTTTCCGTTTCGGGACTGTGCTCGACGATATCCCTTTCCGTTATGGCTCCACTCGAATGATCTCGTCGCATCGTGAAGGATTTAAGCAGGAACCAACTTGCTGGGGTTTTTGGACCACCGGGTGTACCGTCTGTGTGGTGTCAATGCAAACAAGGAATGGGGTCAGTTTTGTCAAATAACAAGTAGGCCCAATGCAAGTGGTTCGCTTCTCATACTTTCACCTGCGCGTCGGGGAGACATCGCAGCATGTTGCCCACAGATCCGTTGACGAAGACGGATATCTTTCAGTTCGATATTGTTACTGAACAGCTGGCTGCTAACTTCTTTCTCGTCGCTTTTGCTGCTACACTTGTTGCGTTGCGGTTCGTCGCAAGACGACTTCGCGAAACCAAAGTATGGTATGTGAAGACTGACAAGTTGTTTACCTTCCCAAAGAACATGTAATCTGACAAGACCATAGGTGGGATGATGTTGCAGCAGTGGCTTCGCTGGTCTTCACTGTCGGTATGTACGAGCCAGGTCATCGCGCCTACACGATGCGATACCACGATATTAGACCGCAACACTAACCGCTAACGCAGGTATGCTCGCGATGCACATCACCTACGCGAACCACGGAATGCGGTACCACGTCGCCGAACTACCCCTTGCCAACGTAACCTTCATAGCCAAGCAACTCGTCGCCTACCAAGCTGTATACTACGCCGCCATGTCCAGCGTCAAGCTATCGTACCTCTGGTTCTACCTGCGCATCTTCCCCCAGGAGGCCTTTCGCAAATGGGTCTGGATATGCATGGGCCTCGTTGGTGGCTACTGGCTCGGTAGCATGCTCCAGATCTTCCTCATCTGCACGCCTTTCGAGATGAACTGGAACCCTACGATCCCTGGTGGACACTGCGCGAGTTACAACGTCGCGTTCGTTACGATTGGTATCTTTAACATGCTTACGGATTTGATCATCATGTTTCTGCCTATACCGTTCATCAGGCAACTGCAGATGGCTATTGGTACGAAGCTTGGATTGGTGGCAATCTTTGGGATAGGTCTCTTGTGCGTAACTCCCAGCATCGCGCTATCATTATTGATGTCAGCTGATCCATCTTGTAGTGTCACCGCCATAACCATAATTCGCATCAACGTCCTGCTCCACGTCGACTTTACCGACCTCTCCTACTCCATGCACGATGCGGCTTTCTGGTCAGTTGCCGAGCCCGCTATCGCCATCATAAATTGCTGTATCGCGACGCTCCGGCCGTTGCTCAAACTCATATCCCCTGCCCGGCTATGGGCTTCGAACAAAGCCAGCACCTCGGACCATATGGGCTACTCGGGAGGCATTGGTTCAGGGAATAAGTTGAGGAATAAGATTGGGATTGAGCATGATGAGTACCCGCTGACTCGGGTGGAAGACGGTGTGACGAATACAGTGATTATGTCTGGGAACCGCGGGGGCTCGCTAGGTGGAAAATGTGACGCTGATAGTGAAAAGAGTGGGAGGGATGTATCGACCGCGAATAGTGTATCGAATTAAGGCTCGGTTTCGATTGGTAACCTGACGTCCTATCTCTCTTGGCGTCTACCGACCCGATTCCTCACATTGGTCCTACCACGTTGACCAACCACGCTCAACCGCTTCCTGATACGGCTCGAGCGTGATGTTTTGCGTGTCGCCGTTGGAAAGGTAATACATATCCTCGCCCGCATGCTGTGGGCCAACACCATATTCTTCACCCTTTTGAAATGCTCGTGGAGTGACTCGATTTGGCGGAAGTACACCATCAACCGCACATTCTTCCATCACTTCCTCGGCCAATACACGAAGCTGATCTTGCGGGAGAGGATCGAAGCTTATACTGCGTGCAGGCTGCTTCTCCATAGGCCAGCTGGCTCCTTGGTAGCTGTAGAGACGCCCTCGTAGCCAATCGCAATCTTCATATTGTATGTAACTCGGTACGAAGCCAGGTAGACTACCACTGGGGATGAGGGACGTCTCAAGGTGTATGATTTGACTCGCATAGTCGCCTCGGTGGCGTTTCTCTTCGATATAGTGGGCGATGCAGGCTTTGTCGCATTCTTCGACCGTTGCACCGGGCATAGGCAGGAAATGTAACTCCAGACGATAGGGACATCCATAGGCAAAGTACGGCGTGTCTCGGACGAGAGCCTCGAGGAGTTCGACCGGCTGGACATTCCCAGGGTTGACGTCTTGATGGGTGAAATAGACGTGGAAACTGTAGAGCGGAGGAAGTGGACAAGTTTCTCTGCCTCTGAACACCATGAGCGCCTCTTTGCCAGCATGGTCGGTGAATGGAAGAACGTGTATTTTGGCGCGATATATGCGACCCATTTTCCCCAGCCCTCCGCTCATCGTTGCGCAACTGTCGTCTCTTTTTAGGATGCAAGCGAGTTGTTGCTGGCTGAGGAGACTGGCCCGCCCAGAGGATGGGAAGGCGCGTCGGTGCCTAATCGCGGAGGAGACGCCAGCGCACGTGCAGGACCAAGGCTAGCCGGGTTCGTCAGCCAAGCTAGCTGGAGGCATCTCAGGCTATGTCTGATCGCGTCTTGGTGGTGAGTGTGTTTAGGCGTGACGTGCCCAGCGACTATCCCTACCTTTCCAGTAGTCACGCCGTTTGCCTGTGTAAAGGACCTTCCTTGGTGGGTGGGTGACTTTCGTCATGACTCCGCATGTATACAGGAGGAACTGCAAACATTGTGTCGAGATATGACTGCTAGTGCTCTAGCCGGGCTTCACGACACCAGCGGGAAGATGGAGAGACGAGATTCGTAGATGATGAGGCACAGTACCGTTTTCTGGTGTCGTGATGGGTGCGACGACGTGTTAGGTCTGTGCTTGCGGGCAAGCCATGAAACCCCAATTAGGCAGCAGCACGTGCGCACGGGAACCTTGGCTTCGAGGGGTCTCAACTTTTGGTTTGCAGCAAAACCCCGAATATTTTCTCAACGTATGCAAGGTAGCAGTAGCACGCAGTCATACATGCTCTCGGTTTATCGCGACCACCGCAGTCTTACTTCTCCCCCAACTCCATTACTACATCTGTTCTTCTGACAACCAAGCCATGGCCGACGAAATAATGGCCGACGGTGAAAGTCACCTCCTCATCGACGATATCGTGTATGCTGACCCAAAGAAATACCATCCACACGTCGTTCTGATTTACAAGTGCTATACCGCCAAGGAGGTAGCAGACAACCCATACCCTGAAGCACTTTACGAGGTGGCATGTATCCAAGAGGAACTAAAGATACCACCGCCACGGGTACCATGGCCTCTTCTAGCATCCAGTCTGCGCGAAGAAATAGAGCTTGGTGTCGAAGAATGGCGAGTGTCAACTCTACGCATTATGGACGAGCGCATGGCACTCTTCGACTCTTCCGAAAAGACTTCTCGACCTGCAACTTGCTCGGCCGTATCGGACTCTGGACATGGATTCCCTCATCGCGCCCTAGGTGTGAAAGAGCTGCTTGAACACATGCTCCGTGAAGCAGCGCTATGCACACTGTACGCTGCATGGAACGTATCAAAAGGCTGGAGGGACATGGTGAGCTATATCTTGCAAACTCGGTTTCACAGTCCATATCCCTGCGACCCTGTCGATCGTGGTAGAGCTATTTCGCCAAAAATTAGGCTGGATGCAGCCATCCGACGATGAGATCGTACATTTCCAGTAAGCGGTGGACAGATTGTCGCAGGCGTCCCAGCCCGAAGTTTTTGGCGATGCCTTCCTCCTCGCTGCCCGGTTGCCGCAGGCAGAGAAGGTTCCGCAATCAACATCTAATGCTTTCCGCGTACTCTATGAAGCTCAATTCGCAGTCTTCTACACGAGTGGACGTTTCCTTGTGGAGGTGCTTCTCTCTCGGTTAGGTGGACCCCGTTGGACGAATCTAAGTTAATTTCAAATCAACCCATATTTTCTCGACTAGTTTGAGTATTGTCTGCAGCTGACCCACGGTAGTTTCGTCGTCACTATAGAGCTGCGCCTACAGCATGATTTGAGAGATCATGCATTACCTACGAGGCTTGAGCAGCTCGTTGACACCATGTTTCTTACAAGTCCTCCGTGTAAGGTTCTAGGTATATATGCTCTAAGCCCGGAGTCTGCGCGTCCTAGTCCTGAAGGATTACAGTCAGTCAAAAGGCTTCTTCGTGCGAACGGTATCCGCGTTGGAGATCTTTTGCGGCAGATCCGGCAGCTTATGCCCATGGCGATTAGGTGCTGGCGCGATAACTCTCAAACTATATGCCAGCATATCGAAAGGGAAGATTGGACAAGAATGTCGTCTCATAGCTGCAAGTGCCGAGCATTGGGCGGACCTGGCTTTCCAAAACTCTTCGGTTTCCTCGAGTTCGCGGAAGACTTTCGTGCAACATCTACGCAATGTATTTACTTGGGGTACCAGAGGGACTGGACCTTATTTCCGCAGGAGTGGAACGAGCCTGTCTGGAGGCCTACTGAAATATTCTCGCTAGACGCTCGCGAATCGCTATGCTAGATAGCAAGGATGTTCGTCAATCACCAATTTGCGGAAGACAGTATCGGACCAGAAAAGAGAGGGTAGATCTAAGTTGCACGAGTCGGTCGTGTTATTACTCACCTAGATTGGCACCGAGAAGATGCCGGATTCGATGGACAAAACGACGAGTATGACGCGGCGAGGTCGATTTACACGATCTCATAGTAATAGTCGCACACCTCTCCATAGCCCCAGAAAAACAACCCCAAGTATCACTCCCACGCTCACTTCCTTTTAGTGACAAGATTAGCCACACCTTGCATTAGTCCTGCTTAGTCGTACACCCACCTGACTATGCATTTTATGTTTCCCTCGTGGCAATCTCAGCCTACGTGTCTTGTTTTCCTTTTCCGTTCGGCGTCCGCGCATCCGAACTCTTGGGGAAGGAAAACAAAGGAGAGAACCCGGAGTCCCCCCACGATGTCGGCACGTCACTATGCGCGCAAGACGAGATTAGGACGGGGGCTCAGATTGCCTTACTGATCTGTTATAGGGTGCTGGATCGGGAAGGGGATGGTAGATGGAACTCTAGCATCGCCTTCGCACGGACCCCACAGAGTGGAAAGGGTTGGTGATGAGGCCGCCGGAGTAAGTACCCGCACTTTCGAAAGGAGTAATCGGACACATGAGGGCGATGTGGGTATTTTCCAAATAGAACACTCAGGAGATACTCGCTGGAAGTTGCCGTCTTGCCTCTTGCCCCTTGCCCAAGTGTACTATCGCGACTAATATGTCGGCAGATCGAAATAACCGCCCGTCTAGTATATCCAGATGCTAGAGAGAACTCTAAGACAGCTTCCAGGCAAATACCACCGTGCTTCCAACCCGGAAGAACTACCGATGGGTGACGACGTGATGAACCGTACGTGATCGCGGGTACCTGTGCAATGCATGACGAACGCGATATCAGTGCTCGACTACCGATGTATTTGCCATGGGACATTGCTGATGAGTGTGGCTTCATGATCGTCGGCGACATGGGTTGACCAGGGGAGGCGAGATGGCCTTACGGGGCGTTCATCACGTTGTATCGTGTAGTCATTCGCTGATATCCTTGGAGGCTGGCAAGAGTCAGCACACTGAAGGACGTGCAGACGCGCATACCCTTCCGCGTGGCACTTGCAAGGAAGGGCCAGAGCATGTCGAGCCGATATAGTTGCCGCCGTCTTCGGGGAATTTCCTAGATGCTGTATTAAGTTGTAACTACCTTACTACCAAGATTGCAGTGTGGATCGGATGCGATGATCGTGACAATTATCGATCACCGTGGATATCATGACCACGTCTCTGGCCGTGATGCATTCCTGTGGACTCGTAATATCCTTGTTGAGAGCAATGTCCCTTGCTGAGGACGTTTCTAGTCTTCAACGGTGTGATGATAGGGCCAATAGCTGGTCAATTGGAAACCGTCCCGCAGTCGCATATCTAGCCGTTAGGACGGGACTGGTTTTGTGATGCTTTGAATTAGTCCTAATATGGTGCAACCAAAACACACTTCCGAGGAGTCAACAACATGTTGAGCGACGAAAGGGGATATCGATCAGCTTGGGCATGTAATGGACGTCCAATCGTATGCTGTAGCCGACACCAGACGGGAAAGGGAAGCTTTGTCACTTAGCCGCTGAGGTTAGCGGGTCTCTAATTCCAGGCCGTACCCCACAGCACTGGACCCACGCGAGTGCCGAGATAGGGACAGGAGCTGAGCCCGTGTTGTGGGAGTGGTTTTTTGGTAGCCAATACTTGGGGAGCTGAAAAGTAAAACCGTTGCCAACGAGCGAGCACGGTGGCCTCTGTATACACGACGTCGTGTGCATGTCGGTAGATGAGCTGCATGCCTCCAGGGAGTGGAGCACAGCCGCGGAAGGATCATTAGTGTTTTGACGGTGGAAGTACGTAACGGCTGAGTATTCCCAAAGGCCAGGAATCTCTGGCGGGGAAGCGGCTGGGATAGAGTGATCTTTACAAGGAAGAGGGATGAAGTCTTCACACGACCGGGATCAGGTTTCTTGAGCGTGGAAGTCAATCGAGGCCTTGTACGTCCAACTCGAAGTTTCTGCGTGGCGCAATAGATGCCGTCCGAGGCGCCCGCACAGGCGTCCCTGGTCTTAACGGGACTCGTAATGTGGATCGCGTGAGTCTCGAAACAACAGCCATGTGTACCTGAGGGTAGGCTGGATCGGGGATACCGCTTACTGTGGCTCCTTGGGTCAAAGACACAACGTGCTGACGACAAACAGTGGGTAGGTGGTACCGTAGACGCGACGTCACCAAGACAACTAGACAGCGAGAAGACGTCGGCGAGTAGGTTAGTTGGAAAAAGACGGCGGGCGGAGTATTGCAAGCCACGAGAGAGCGGAGACAGCAACAGGCGCCGTCCATAACCCGCATCCGCAGGGCATCGCGCAGAGCGAAGGCGGATCACACCTTGGAGTGATGCGGTGAGGTTATTCGTCGTTGAGATAAACGAGGCCGGGGGTGGCCCCTGCTGCTAGGCGGGCGATCCGAAAGCGCTTCGCCACGACAGGCAAAATCTCAACGCTGGACCCTTCGATCTCTGCTCACGACACGCGACAATCGCGCGATGGTGGGAAAAGCAGCATTGCGGCTTGACACAATGCGGTATTCTAGATGACGCCGCTGGTCACCCAAAGTATCGGCTCATATACGGGCCTCCAAATCAGGTTGTCCTGCGGCAAAACGTCCAGACGCCGGATTCGGTACTACTGCTCAGCTACCCCGGCTTCGGGACAGCGATTGGCCATGCGTGGAATGCGTCTCTATCCACTGATGAGCCGCAGCAACAACCTGCCTGAACCCGGTCACATTAACGCTCCACAGTCAGCTCCCGGCTACTGGTCACCTATCCACACTGGTCATTTGTACCAGCAAGTCACAGCGCGAGCTGAAGGGACTACGGACGTCGCTGGTACCTGGACCCCTGCGGGCGAAACCGACACCATTCCGTACCCGCAACGGAGCTCCCGTGGTGCACTGCCAATGGTGCTGCGCAGATGAGCATTCTTTACTCCAGCATACCATGCTTCCCAACGATGGCCAAGCCCCACTGGAATTCGAGCCTTTGTGCACGGCGCAGCAGGAGCATACGGGTGGAGATCTGGCTCGCCCTGAGTGAAGGTTATATTCGTGTCCATTCCCAGTCCCGTGCTCTTTGAACGCTGGTGACGCTCGTTCCTCAGTCTCATCCTACCATTGATTAACAAACGTTCACGGCTTTCGAAACACATACGCCAGCACCATGAGGTCTCCCCCACCCGAGGTCCTTGCGACATGGCCCAAGCCGAACTACGTCGACCCCGTCACGCGGGGCTCCGGCCTCATGATTGTCGAGTTGACATTACTACCCATTGCTATGATTGTGGTCTTCCTCCGACTATGGGTACGGATAGCATGGCTCAAGAAGAGCTGGTATGACGACTACCTCATGATCGTGGCAATGATCTTCAGTATTGGTACGGAACCCGAACTTGTCATGACTTCTATCATCTAACTCCTTCCACAGGCACAACAGTCATCGTCATCATGGCGTCCCAACTGTATGGTTGGGATCGCCACGTTTGGGACCTCAAGCCGCACGAGCTGATGGTCGGTAGACAGGTACGACAGTGTGCAACCCGTGTCACCACACGCCGATATTGACGGCTTTAGGCTTCTATGGCAGGCCAAACACTATTCGTCTTGGCCTCTTCCACCGTCAAGATGTCCATCCTCATTTCGTATTTCCGCATCGCGCCAGAGAAGTCGCTCTTCCGCAAGCTCGTCTGGGCAACCTTCGCCCTCGTGTTCGCCGCCTTCGTCGTGTTCCTGGTCGCACTTTGGGTACAATGCATGTAAGCATATCCACGTGATCAAGTTATTCTAGTACTGACGACTATAGCCCAATCTCAAGCTACTGGACACTCCAAGCCGACCACCGCGACTGCATCCCAGAAGGACCGCCATTGGTTGTGCAAAGTGTTCTCAACGTCGTGACCGACTTCATGATCTACGCGCTACCTATTCCCACGCTCTTCGGCCTCTCGTTACCGACCACCCAACGTATCGGGCTCGTCATTCTCTTTTCGGTCGGCGGTGTCATCGTTGTTGCAAGCAGCTTCCGCGCCTACTGGGTCCACTACACACTCTTCGAGACATACGATGCCACGTGGGAAGGGTATCAGATCTGGGTCTGGACTGCCATTGAAACAAACGTCGGTGTCATCTGCGGGTGCATCCCAGCGCTCAAGCCTCTACTCTTCCCGCACCGGGCAAGACAGCAAGGGTCCAAGTATGGCAACAACTCGCAAAACAGCAGAAGGAAGGAGAAGATCACGCCTGTCCTTGACCAAGTCGAGATGGACACGCGCAAGCTCACGGACAACGATGAGACGCGGCCCGGCACCGCCATCACCCCGGTCCACTTCCGTGCGCACTCGGAACGGCCGATGAGTGGCGATACCGACGATACCGATAAGAGCCGGTTCGATATCGATATAGAGCAGCAAAAAAGCTTCATGTACTGATCGCGAGGCGCAGTACTTTTCACATTATTTAGTTTAATATGCGCATCCGTTCAGCGAGCGATGTTTCAGCTTTCTGTAGGCAGCAGACTCACAAAGGGCCTCTTCTCTTCAACTACCTCACTATATCTCTTTCCTTTCTGTTTTCTCTTGTCAATACCCGTCGGATACGACAGCTGGGCGGATTCCTCAAATTTAGCGAGTTCAAGCTCTTAGCAGCAGCAGCTTCTTCTTCTCGTCGCCTAAAAGGCGTCGAGCACGATAGCGAATCATACGATCACTACACTCTCTTGGCTGTCGCTTCTTTTATGTTTGGCCTCTGATTCGTTCGGTGTCGACGTGTTCTCGCGACGCGCAACAACCATGCCGCAACTTCCTTTTTCGTCTCGCGAAGACTGCGCCACCAGTTGAAACTGAAGGTGTGCTCATTGCCGCATTGCTTTGCCTCCTTCGTACCGAAAGGAAGCAAACTATTCAGAGGTCGTCTACTGCTTTATTTCGGGCAATTGAGATTTCACGGAAAGATACTGCCGAAGCGGTCATCATGCGGTGAGATCATTAAACCGGGGGCTGGTTCGTCATGCGGCGCGCATTGAACATCGTCGAAATGAACAGACAGGTTAGTGGTGTGGAAGAGTTGGAGCATGGTGCGACGGCAGAACTTTGCTTTTCTTCTATCCCAGCTGGACCCTGAGTTTGTCGCTTCAGCCTCGCGAATTGGGCTGGCGGTCGGTCAGTGCAGCGAGCATGTCGTCATTCTGCCAACTTGTCTCTGTTCTACGCAACCTTCCATCGCAGCTGCAATTTCCATCCAGTGGAGGCTTAAACATGTTTTCGCCCAGAGCTGGACGGTGAGTTGTCAGGCTCGCGGAAAGGCCAACGCAGCGAGATCCCGCTCCGGGATGACGTCCACGCCGCAGTGTATACGGGCATACGGCGCAACGGACGTCAGATACCGAATCATGGCCTTGTCGCAATGTCGCAATGCCGGAAATGGTGTCTCATACAGCGAGCGCATTTGCGATATTGTCGGGCATAGGAGCTTTTTCAAGAGTCAGGAACCACTCCCGAGAATATGGGCGGCTGGGCCTCAAACGGTGGCTTGGAGGCTAGTGGCAGGGCTGAAGGCCAAACCTCGGCACCAATCCACTGGCACCAACGACAGGCTGCATACAGCTGCAGCATGATGTCTGCAGACAGCTGTTCACCGCTTCTAGCGCCTGCAGTGTGGATTTAGCAATTGCGAACATCCGACGCATCAAGGAGGCACAACTCAGCGGCAATTGAAGCTGTGAATAGCAGCTGCGCTTTCTACGCTGGCGGTTGCGGTTACCTGGACTACAGCTATGCCAGGGGTAAAGATTAATAAAAATCAACGCTCCGGTAGCAGACCCTCGTCTCAAACGTCACAGCGGCGCTCAGTGCTCCGCCGCACGACCGTTGCCGTTCAAACTTACCTCATTGATGCTCCTTTAGGCCTGATGAGGCTTGCAAATCGCCCATCTGGCTTCGAGAAAGCATGCTAGCCTGGCCCCTTCCCGTTTAATGCCAACGCACCGTGCAGCGCCTGCCCCAGCTATGCCTTCCTTCACCTTTACAAACGAAGTGGAAAGTGCCCAAAGGCACGCAGGGACCTGCAAACGCGTCGCTCTTGCTATTATAAGCATTAGGTACCTCATCCTTTCCCCAAACATTCGCTGTCCCCATTGTTCTCTCTACCACAATTCCCATTCACCTGCACCAACATGTGGTCGTCGCTAGTGCTACCGCTGCTTGCGCTTTCCTCGCTCACAGTCTCAGCCCTCCCTCAAGGTCGTCGATGCAATTGCGAGCAACACCCGGTATGCATCATTGGCGCAGGCCCTGCCGGCCTAGCTGCTGCCGGTCGGTTAGAAGAGAAGGGCATCAAAGCAGTCATGTTCGACCGTCAAGAGGAAGTTGGTGGTAAATGCCAGGCTTGGTATGATGACCAGTAAGTGTTACACAGCGTCCGCCTCCAAGCGCATTAGGCGCGGCTGACCACCCTTTCAGAGGCATCTTCCACCCACTCGGCGCCGCCTTTTTCTCCAATGCGACGTACACGAACACTATCGACATCCTCAACCAGACCAATGTCTCGATCGAACCCTTTGCGCTTGCCGGTGCGCGCGAAATGTACCGCTATAATTACACCGACGGCGACATCATGGTCAACCCCGCCCTGACCCCGCAATTCACCGCGCAGGTATCTGCAGAAATTCCGAGGTACATTCAGCTGTGGACGCAGCGCTTCCGACCGATTAGTGTCGTGAACTACAAGGTACGACACCCGTTGTGGTACGCCGTTGCACAAAACCGGGTAGGCTAATGCAGGAACAGAATGGTGTACCAGACGAATTTACCGTATCGGGCGCAGAATGGTTCCGCCAGAACAACTTCACTGCGCTGCCCATCCTTCTCGTGAATCCTGTCGCGCTCTACGGTTATGGCGATATCAACATTGTCCCAGCGGTACGTCATCACTCCCCAGAAAAATTTGCAGGGATCGCGCATGCAGGCCGCTAACGTGTGATTAGCTGTACATTCTGCAGTACTTCACCCCGGATATCCTCACGGCCTTTATCGGCTTACATAGCGTGTACTACATGGACTTCCACAAGATGTTCGTCGAGTACGCCAAGAACCAGTTGTGCAAGACTCCCATACACACTTCTTCCGAAGTGCGTTGCGTCGACCGGTCCGGCGACCACCCTGTCGTGACTTACACTACACCCATGAAGAATGGCAGCTACGTCTCCTGGGAGAAGCAAGAATGCTCTTCAGTCATTTTTGCATTCCCGCCAAGCATCGAGAACCTCGAGCGCGTTGGTGTAGACATGACAGAGCAGGAGCACGACACCTTCAACAACATCACAACGCACCAATACTACTCTTCCGCCGTAGAGCTCGAACTACCCTTCGGCGTCTCCTACATCGCCAACAGCTCCGACGAGACAGTCCCGCCACCCAACGACGGCGAGCCCGTAGCCGTCCTGCACTTAAGCAAAGAATCCAACGTCTCCGTAGCCTGGTCCTGGGGCCCCTACGACTTCCAGACTGAAGCCGCAGCCGAGAACCTCCTGATCGACAGCTTGTCCAAAATCAACAAGGACCCACGCAATGCCACGGAGCCATCGCAGCCCTTCTGTGACGACGACGTCAAGGCCTTCAAGAAGTGGGATTACTTCCCGCATTTTGAAGGTGACGCGCTTTCCAACGGCGCGTATGCTAAGCTGAATAAGCTGCAAGGCCAGAAGAAGACGTACTACGCTAGTGGACTCAGCGGCATGGAAATTGTCGAATGGGCCATTCGCGGTGGACGCGATGTTGTCGACACGTACTTCTAAGCGCTTATCACGAATTTCCTTGATCGCTCACTATTCCGTTGCTATGGTTTGAGTACCACATTGCACTGCATGACGGATGAGCATACCGTGCTGAACTGGACCTCGGTCTATTTGCGACACCTGCGCGTGTATACCTGGAGGACACCTGTTTATCTCTGTTTCTGTTTCTGTTTTCTGTTTCCTATTCGGACGATGATATCACGGCTGGATCTCTGTTTTCGATTTTTCTGCGCGCTTTAGATGATGATACCTACACGCCTTCGATGAGCGTCATGATCAGTTGTTCCTGGAGGGTTCTGCCACTTGCAGAAAAGGAGGGACTTTACGATTATGACCTGCATGCCCCTGCTGAGGGGCCTTTTAATGGTAATTACGAGTTTCATTCTGGGTTAGAAAGAGAGAGATAGGAATGCTGTATGATGGGTTGGGTTAGTTCGGGACGAGTCGATGTAGACATGTAGATATTTGAACTTGAACTAAAATGTACCCTCTTCACCACGATCATGGAACCCTTCTCTATCTCCTCTTCTCCAAATTTCTTAAAGTCACTACAAGACAGCATCACATCAGCCAAGAAAAAAGAACGATAAAGAGCTGGACTCGCGACTATTCGAACGTCAATCCCCCACTACAATTGCAACGTCGCGATTCGAGAGGACCATTGACTCCCTAATCCGAGAGCTGCACCTAACGAATAGGGTCGTGGATGCCTTACCAATAGACCACACGTCTCTGGTGGCCACCAGGTTCCGATGGGACAGAGGTTGCTAGTAGGGCATATATTTGGAGGAGGGTTAGTGTGGCTAGGGAGTGAGGGCGAAGGAGAATGAATTGTAGGAGTTGGCATGAAGATGCACACGTGCGGAGTCACTGACTTACGTGCAACCAAGACGCCGTTCGGTCTGCGGTATGTCTTGACCCGGCCTTGAGTACCGATTCTGCGCCGAGTGTGAATTGCAATCCACACGAATGGCACCACTATCAATATCTGTATATGCGGAAATTTCGCAGATTGCACACGTTTCAAGATTCCGGAATCACATTACCATCACCATTCCAGCCCAAGTAATGAACGTCAAATCCTTTCAGCTGCCACTGCTGTCGTGCTATACACTTAGAGTAACATATGCGTAGCAGCTTCTTCCAACACCATCACAAGCCAGGTATAGTACACCAGAACTGGCTACAACGGAAGTCAGTCTTGAACCTTCGTGTACGCTCAACACATCGTTCTATTTTCGTAACAAGCTGACGTCGATTCTGTCAGTGCCATATGTGGGTCAGTGTAGGGAATAGGCGTGGGTCTAGGTTCAGCCCAACACGAGGCGACGCGTGTTGCTTACAAGCCCCCCTCACGGACGTGCTCGAACGTTATATAACTAGACGTTTCACCTTGAACATCTCATCATCCTCAGGCACACATATGACCGGGTCTTCCATCTTTCTGCGTCGACTGATTAAATATTAAGCTACTACGGATTACTATCTACCCACCATCATCCATCCGGCTTCATCCTCGCCTTCCATATCCACCAAACCAGACAACGACAATCCCAGCCGGAGAGCCCACCGCATAAAGATGCATCAATCCACCCTGCCTTTTGCTCTCCTCCCCTCGTCAAGCAAAAAAAAAGTCAAAAAGGTATATTGCGAATCGTTTTCCCAAGAAGGATAAGAGCATCGCGTCGTAAAGAAACGTTAGAGTGAAGAGGAGCAACCAGCCGCTATCGTACCCAGCGGTCCAGTGCTACGAAGGTACAGTAGCAAGTTGATAGACAAGCCAAGGTATGTCTACAAAGCGAGCAGGCCAAGCAGGACCGCGGCACCGAGACCAGCGCCGACGGACATCTTGGAGGCAGCACCTTCGAAAGGAGGGGTTTCCGGGGACGGGGAAGCACTGCCGCTGGGACTCAGCGAGACGGTGACACTGCCGGTAGCGCTCATGGTAGGCATGGCCATGGTGCTGTTGCTTCCGGTGGGGTAAGGGGTAACCACAGCAGAGCTGGAAGTCTCAACAACGCTGCTGCTCTTCGCGACGTACGCGCTAGACGATGGGGTGGGAGTAGGTGTCGGTGTCACCATGGCCGGGTAGATCTCGGGCAGCAGGCTCTGGACGTCGGTAGGGAGCGCTTGGTACCAGGCTGGTGTGTTGCCGGCAGCGAGCGAGGATGCCATTTCAGCGGCGAAGGCAGACGACGAGGCGATCGCGTAGGCGACTTGATCAGAAGGGATCGCCTGCGCGAGCTCCATGAGGACGGAGGACTGGACTTCGGGTCTACGTCACCAGCATGTTAGCATGGATCTACATGTAGCAGTCATGATGATTATCGCGGGTGAGCCGCGTGGTAGTCGCGTCGCGTTTGCGGGTGAGGCAGCAGCGCAGATGAAAAGATGTGGAGAATGGGCAAACTTACGCAACACCCTGAGCGCTCACGCCCATAGCAAGCGCACCCAACGCCAACGCAATAGTGTTGTACTTCATCTTGATAGTCTTGTCTCGTGTTGAATGATCGTAATTACAGAAGTTGGTGCGAGCGATTAGGTCTCCCGTGTGTGACGTGATGGACAACGCAACGGACCGATGGACGTTGAGTTTAATAAGAGAGTGTGGAGAAAGTCTGCTTCTTGATGACGACGCGTTGAACAGACAAACTGACTGACAGTAACAACTGCAGGGAGCAAAGAAGAGTAATGAGCGTAAAGGTTTGCGGTACGAAGAAAGAGCGAGAGATGAGCAAAGGGAGGATCCCCGGCTGTATTTGAAACTATGGGCACAGGGCTCACTGCTGGCTCCTTCACGATGGTTTGCTCGCCTGTGTGCTCCCCTTGGGGGACGGGGGGCGTGGGAAAAGCGGCTAACGGATGGGGAAAAAAAATATAAGATTACTACACCAATCTTGTGACGGGGCCTGAGGCGGGCGACGGAGAATGGTAATTGGAATGGGATATTGGCAGCGCAAGCGAAAGTGATTCGCTGATCGCGGTAACTCCTTTATGCTGTGGTGTTTCTGTTTGGTTGGGCCCTTCAGGATTTTGCGACGTTTGACAGTTTGGCAGTTTCTTTCTTTTGCACGCAACTCGTTTGTTCGCCCGCTGGACGTCCACAACAACTCCAAACACGACTCGATCATGATCACGCGATAGCCTCGCCGGCGTGCGATGGCTGTTGGCGGCGCTCGGGGCAAGGTGTCTCATCTCCTTGAAGCGCGGAGAAGCTTCTTCATAGGCCAATCAGAGCGGCCAGCGACGTCGCTAGTGGAAGGGTCAAATTTCCACTTTTTAAGCATGGCAGGGGTTCGAGGTGCCGTCTCCAGGGCAGCCCACATGGCCTCAATTCGCGTGCTGCAGGGACGGATGAGGTGCATATCGTGCTCTTCGCAGCCTCGTTTTGTCGCGTGCGTGGCGTGCGCTGCGTCATGAGTGCACTCGTAGTGAGAATCCGCTCCAGATCCTCCTGTCGTGCTGTTCCTCCAGCCATCGCCGAACTCATAAGTTCGTCGCGATATGCCAAGGGAGGTTTGCCAAATTGGAAAACTGACAAGCGACACCGCACATCGCAATTAGTCGCCGGCAATTCGGCACTATTGCCTAGATAGCAAGACACCAAGCGCCTTCTTCCCATCTGCCGTCAAGACATCGTGAACTTGGCCATCGCATTGATCTGCATACGACATTTCGTTTATAACGGAACGCATTCTCTTTGGGTGTTTGCACCGTCGCATAACGGCTGACGGCTAATTCTACAGGTGTTCGTCAACGGCGCAGGCCTGGTTCTGGAAGACGTCGACGAGAACTGTTTGTAGTCAGGGTCAAAGATAAAGCGCGGCTCTCGCTATCTCGCCTTATTACGTACTATCGTTTCACTCACAACACGACTCACGAGCGACCTTTGCGACGATAGTACGATTCACAGCAGTGCTGATGCATTATGATAGCGTAAACAGCTACACCTCAAGAGCTTGGGCGAACATAATCGAGATTTACGGCGCTCATCTACCGAAAGAACACTTTAGATGAGGCTGGAGCGATGCACAAAGCTTCGTAATATCACTGAAGCGCAAATCCGTCTTTCCTCAATCCTCCATCTCCCTTGCGCGTGATACTCCAGCGACGGCGGTATGATTCTGGCCACCGACCGGCTGACCGCATTCCGGACAGCGCGCTTGCTGCATGGGCATGCCGCACTCTCCAATGGCGAACTGCGTTGTGTTAGGTTATGACGTGTCAAATCGAACAGGATAAACTTACTGGATGGCCGTTCACACACTTGTACCAATGCCCAGAGTGAGTCGCGATACCGCCACGTCCGCTGACCATGGCTTTCTTGATAGACTCCAGTTCTTCCTTGGATACTGCCTCGTAGAACTCCTTGCTGAGCATCTTCGATGCAGCGACGACAGCTTGTCGCAAGCTATCCCGCCCACCGAAGGAACTCTCACAAAGCTTGTCCGCCTTTGTTAAGAGATCCTTAGCGGTGTTGCGGTAGTCTGTAGCCTTCGCGCGATGGTTGTTCTGACTAGACTGGGCACTACCGAAGAACTGGGCAATCCGGGCATAGTGCAGAATTGCCTCAACCGCAATTTTAGGCAAACTCTCACGTGTGCAGTCATCAATGCGTCTCTTCGTGTCTTTGAGGAACTGGTCCGTCTTTGCCAACGGCGATCCGCCTGGAAAGCTTAGAGGTAAGGTACTCTGGAAATGCTTCTGGTTCACAGTACGCATAACCTCGAAGTTCTCCTCAAGGACTAGACAGCGCAACTTGATTTCGAGCAGGCCACCGCCGAGGGTGATGCGTTGATCGCGATCGCGGTTGGCAGACTTTTGGGAAGAGTCGATTGTTAACCTTGCGAGCTCAATATCAAGTGCTTCACTTCGGGCCATACTATGCACAGTCGCCTGGTGCAGCTTGTACGTTGGTTGATGTCGAATATCCATCCTACGCTGAAAGGCCTTAATTGCGTACAGTAGCTTAGCAGTGTCCTGTGCACGGTTCATGATCTCGTCGTTGATGGACTGCATGGTGAACTCGTGAGCTTCCTCACCGCGGAGCCTGACTGGCTCATCCGGAACCACCGACATGCGCGACGTTTCAAGCTCCTTCCTGATTTCCATGAGCTGATCTTCTAGTTGCTGCAAGTCTTGTTGACCGTTGACAATGAAGCGCTTGGACATCTCATCGATGACAGCTCTATTGATAAGCCGGTTATATCGTTGGCTAACGTACTGCTTGATGGGCTCTCGACAGTTCGGGCATTGGGGAATTGATGCGGAAAGCTCGGCGTCCTCAATCAGTCCGGTAAAGGCGCCTGTCTTCGCATCGACACTATACACGTCTTTGAGGCTGACCAGTCCGTCCAAAGTTTCAGTGGTGAAGAAATGACCGCAACCGAGAACGACGATAGGCGATTCATTCAGGTCCACATCAGCATAGCGAGACATCATGATCATGTCTGGCTGCTCGTCTGACTTCGTGCCACACTCTTGACAGCAATCGACTGGGCATGCTTCACCGCAGATGCTCGGACATTGGTGACCGCATGGGAGAAGCTTGGTGCATCGCTCGTCGCATGGTAAGCGGCTGCATGGAGCTGAGCAAGGCATCTTGCAATCGCCTTGGTGCTCGCAGGACCATGTGCAAGACTCAACGCACGGAGCACAGGGTTCGTGGCACCTCTGTGGACACTTGGTATGTTTACAACGTACCTGGGTACGATTAGAAGGGTGTTCAAAAATGTATAGGCATCACTTACTTCGCAAGGCGCTTGACATAGACCACAATCCGTACCATCATGACATCGGCGAATGCAATCATGATTGCAGGTCCCATGCTTTCTTCCACAAGTCTTCCTGCAGGCAGCGTGCTTCACCACCGGTTGATCGTACATATCCTTAGTGTTGCACTGAGCGCAGGTCCCGAGACATGGATGACTACACGATAGAGGTGTAGGGCACGGTGTAGGGCACTTGAAGTCTTTCTTGGAGACATCTACCGAGCACTTCAAGACCACATCATGATTGCAGCCTGGTACACGCTTCGAGACCTTGACGTCGCAGGGTATGCTGGTAGGTTTCTGGGTGAGATGACAGGCGACGGCGTGCTTGACATGACCACATGGAAGCTGTACGTGGTCCATCAAGATCATGCACTTCCCACAGGGTTCTCCACATGTAGCCTTCTGGCAAGCATGATCACATGGCTGATGCCGGCGTTGACATAGCTGCTCGCAAAGGAAGACCGCGTGCATGGCTTCAGAGTGACATCGGGCCCCACACTGGTGGCCGCAGTCGAGGCGATCAGCGCATGCTTCCCTACAGCCACCCTCAGGGCTCAGCTTGTGGAAGTCGTCCGGCTGCCGCACTATCAAGCTGTTAGCATAAACGATACTTCACAGTAAGACGAAATACTTCTTATTCGTGAAGGAACAAGGGAGTCTCGTGACAGCGTAAAATAGCTAGGAGGATACATACTAACAAAAAGTTAGCTAAATATCTTGAAACGTTTTCGTGGCGGCTACTTACCCTTCGGCGTCAGTATCGGGGTGGCGAGGGCACCGCAAGGCTAAACCCTTACCAATTGATTCAGTGGCACGTAGCATTCCGATGACCTTCTGCCACATGTCGACGCTAGAGTAGGTATCTGCATTGCCTATGAGATACATGCCATGTTGAGCACGACTCAGCAAGACGTTGATTCGATTAGTAGTCTTGAGAAAGCCCACATTCTGTCTATCGTTGCTTCGCACGAGAGAGACAATGATGATCTTCGCCTCTTCTCCTTGGAAGTTGTCGACGGTTGCGACTCTCAGTAGTTCGGACAATTGCTTCTTTTCTAGCGGCTTGCCTTGGTAACTCTCGTGGGCGGATAATGCGGTCTTCGATGTATCGTCGTCTACTACTGCGAAACCGTCCCTCTCAAGTGCTTCTCGATCGCGATCACTGAGGCAGATCTCAAAGTCGCTACTCATCATGGCGCGGAGCTTCTGAAGCTGGCCAGTGTAAGGGGTCAAGACTGCGATATCATCAGGCTTGTATACACCCTGCCGAACGATGTGTCGGACCAAAGCATGCACCATCTTGACTTCCCACAAGTTGGACTTTGACTTTGTATCGTGCGTATCTGCATCCTTCTCGTTTTCTAAGTTGTTGTGGTCAAGCCAGAAGACGTTGCGGCGCATACCAACAACATCAGGCAGCTCGATGGTAGATGGGTGGTCCTCTAGCTTATCGTAGATAGTTTCGCGAATCAGTGAAGAGATCTGCGGGCGCATTCGACGTTGTACATTCAGTTGAGCAACGGGCATCAGAGGCCGCCCGGGTTCGCCGATCGAGAGTCGCTCGAACTGACTCCGATCCAGTGCATGGAGCTTTCCTCGCTCGCTCTCGAGCGACAAGTCACGGAAGTTGCTGACTGAGGGACGAAGCTGCTCATGATCACCAATCTGGATTAGATGCTCAACATCGGGAAGCATTGTCGAGATCATGTGGCTCTCCATGACCTCTCCAGCCTCCTCACAGATGATGACTTTACACCTCACCTGCTGGAGGACCGAGATACGCTTTGCCAAGCCTGACGTGGTGACACCGATCACATCCGCTCCCTCCAGTAGTCGCCGATTCAGCTCCTCATGGATGTTGTTCAGTTGGCGTTGGGTCTTGGCGACGCCGTTCACAATCTCGTAAAGCTCACTGACCTTGTTTCCCTGGGCTTCAGCCACCCAGGAGGCGACGAGCGCGCTTCTCTCAACAGTTTTTAAAGAGAATACGTCTGTAGTCGCCTGGCGAATGATTTGCCGTAACGCGCCTGGAGACGGGGATGGACCATACTGATATACCTCGGTACCTGCCATCCAAATATCGAATGGATGACGGCCAGCCGTTTTGAAGCCTTCATCATCGACAGGTCGGAACTGATTATAGATCTTCGGATACTCCTCGTGCATGTGACCTTTGAGCTTATGCCAATCCGGACGCTTTGATAAGCCATGGAGACCACCAAAGAGCATCTCGGCCTCCATCTCATTCTGATCCAGATCCTTATAGTTCATCGCCGCCATGTACTTTTCAGACTTGGTCTTCGTCTCCGACTCGCCGATGGTGCGTAGATTATGGTTGACAAGCTTCTTGGACTTGCTCATGCCGCCGACCCGAATGAGCTTGTGGACGCCGATGTCGATTAGGTGTTCGAGAAACTGATCCAAGGCGTGGTTGGTATAGCAAACGATGAGAATAGGCCCGAGGTCGCGTTTCTTCTTGATTTCTAGCAGTATCCGCATGATCTGGAGACCCAAAAAGCTCTTTCCTGTCCCTGGTGGCCCTTGAATGAAGGCAAACTCTCGGGTTAGCGCAGCAATTAGCGCGCGACACTGTCCACGATCAAGTTGCGTCTTGGCTTCCAGCTTATCAAGCAATATCTGGTCATCACACGACGATGTCGGTTTGATAGAAAACGAGTCTCCTTTGTTCCCATCTTTCAGGAGAGCGGTGACAGGGAACTTGAAGCCAGGCGCACGCGCGTACAGAGGCGGCGGAATTTTGTGCATCCTACCAGCTGATGGACGGCCACTGTGTTTGTCCGGAACGATCCACTGCCGAAATGGTAGACAATTCAGTCGCTGCATCGCCTGCAAACTCTCCAATGTTGGTGAAAAGGTCGCCGGCATGACCTTCGGAAACTCTAGTAGAATGCCGCGAGTCGCTCCGATGTTGGCCTGCATGAGCATCTTGACTGTTGTTCGATCTTGAGTGATCAGGCTTGCGGTGATGTAGGCCATCTGGTTGTGGTGCGTCAAGCTATACTTCTGTGTCGGATCAGTAGTCTTATTGGATACAGTGAGGAAGACATGTTGTACGACAGTGTCTTGAATCCATATGAAAGACAAAAGCGACCCGTCATCGAATCGTCTTGACTCCTCCCACCACTTCACCTTCTTGCTAGCACTCTTCTTGCAGATTATCGCAGGTTGCAGGAATTCCATCTGGATTTGCAAGCCCCTTCGCTTATCGAGCGTGACGTAGCTAACACGAGCGCTGGTGTACTGGTTGGCGCGCATATCCCCTAGATTGAGATTGGGGTGAAGCAACGTGTTGGCGTCTTGCGATACAGCATGCATGATTCCAGCCAATAACCCCTTCAGCTCACCGAAGATATCGTGGCGCAGTAGACGGAAGTAGGTATCGATGTGGCGTTGCACACGATCCTCAAGGAAATGTGGCTGGTCGGGGTCGGTATAAGGCAGGAACTCCTTGTTATCGCTCATGATCTCGTCCCGTGTAGGGAAGACCACCATGTCGCCAATATCCTTTTTGTCATTGTCAAAACGATCCGAGGGGACTACAAGGTCTCTTGGGTAGAAAGACGCGTTACCACCACCATCGTCGTCGTCTTCAATTTCGTTCTCACCCGCAGTGTCAGCAAGGAGTCCGCGAGCTCTAGCTACCAGGGCTCGAATATCATCGAGACGATGGGTTGTTCGTGTTGAGCCCGAGGTATCTAGCGATGCCAAATCCTTGTAGAAGTCGCTTACAGCCTGGATAGAGTTCACCAATGGTGTGATCTCGTCGTGGAACCGTGCCCTACGCTCACGTCTCAATAGCTCGTATAGAGCCATCGACATTGCGAAAATTGTTGTTTCGTGGTCCTTGGTAGATGCCGAAGAAGCTGTTCGAGCTGCTAGTAGAGCCCTACAAACCCGCTGGAGATATGAGACTGCAGTCCGCCCACCGACACCACCAAAGAGGTTATAGATGGAACCAACGTGCGTATCGACCGCGAGACATCGAAGGAGCGAGGAATGCGTAAGCGTCAAAAGAAAATGGTGGGCGTTACTGAGGAACGTGTCGTAGTTTGTGCCGATGACCTTCGAGTTTAGAATGGCGAGGATATGACGATGCCCACTCTCATCGTCCGAATCGTCGTTGAGATCTTGCGGGAGTTGTTGGCACCAGTCTCGGTCTCCAGCTTCAAGTATATCGAAGGCGCCTTCCCAGAGACGTCGCATGGTCGTTGGATCGATTTCTGCCTCACCAAGGCGACGTTTCCATGAGCTGTAAGACCTTCGTGCCTCTCTCTGCTCCTCCGTCTCTTCGACTCTGGCAGGTTTCAATGAGTGTAAGTTTCCGTCGCGCCTGCCTTGGGTAGGCCTACCACCACCACGACCGCGACCACGATCTCCACCTCTGCTACCTCTTCCACCACGTCCGCCACGAGTGTTGCGCCCGCCGCCACGTTCCCACATAGTGAGTGATTTCAGGCGTAGGCTTGAGCGGGATTTGCGAAGATGTGTCGCTGTTAAGATTGTGTCGACGATAGTTCCTGCTAGGAAGGAGCAACTGTGTATTGTCTGTGCGGATGCTGGCCGCCGAGAAAACCTTGCACGACGTGGTGAGAGGTGAAGGCGAGATAACGACGTCCTCGCAAAAGCGGTACGACAGCGGGCACCAGTCAAGGACGAATGAACCCGCGTGCATACTGCATCTGCATGTGGGCACCTTTATCAGCCAATTCCAGCGTTTCAATGTTTCAGCCTTGCAGCATGTCCAGGCAGGCACTGCAGACTGACGCCATGATAATCCCGAAAGGAAGGAGCAAGCAAGGATGAGCAGTGAAGAGACCAATTAAACAGAACGAGAAAGAGATACGATATCAAATGGATCCATAACTCTAACATGATGGTCCCAATATACTTACAAGAGCTCCAGCTATGCAACACCTTCAATACCCTCTCTGCTCGCGAAAGCATCACTTCACACCAACATCCGGAAACAGAACCTGCACCATCTCGTCCAGAAGCGTAAAAGCAATATGCGTACTGCATCCCTGTTAGCCTAATCCACCCAAGAACGTCTCTGTAAACTTACTTCAACCGGGTATTATTAATAGTCCCCTCAATCTTCTTCGCCGCCAACTGCGCATTCTGTCTCCCCACAACACTACTCGCCAGTTCCGGTACCAGCGTACTCAGAACCTCGCTGGCAGCCTTCCTACTGCTCTCTTTATCTTTACTGGTTCGTTCGACACCAACTTTCATCCTGCCGTTCGGCCACATACTGTCCTTCAGCGTGTCGATGTATTTGACGATATTGTTCTCGGATAGCAGATTATCGAAGGACTCGCGGACTTTGCGTTCGATGGTGCCGCCGAGGAGCTGATGCAGGACTACGACGACGGCGCGTCCTCGCAGCCAGTTGTTCTCACGGTTCAATTCGAATGTTTCGAGGAAGATATCGCAGATTGGTTTTACGAAGGGTTCGAGCTCTTTGTTTTCGAAGGCGAGGAGTTCTGCTTCCGCTTCTGCGTCGTTGTTGGGTTCGCCGGCGACGAGGACGCCGGAGGAAGAAAGATTGCCGGGTTGGGCGGTCGCGCCGTTTGTGTTGGCAAGCTGAGTCGTCGCGGCTGATATGAGGTTCTGGCCTGCCACCGATAGTTGATCGAGCACTGGTATGTTGCCCAAGAATTCCTCCATGCCGTCGGCGACTGAGTTGTATATGCGAGTTACGAAGTCGTTGGAGTTTGGATCTTGATTGCGCAAGGCATCGGCCGGGCTAATTGCAGCTTGGGAGAGGAAAGCGCGTAGTTCACGGCTGCGACAGACAGCTGGGATGAGTAGAAGCTCCCTCAGGTACTTCTCAAGCCCAAGCCTTCTCTTGTGCAGGAAGTCTTTCTGGAGTTTCAGCATCATCTGCCGGCGCGGGAACTCCAGATTTCTGACCTGCGGAAATTTGGCGCGAAGCCTTTTGTTCAGTTCATGGAACTCGCTATATCGTCGTGAGACGACCCAAGTAGCGGCAGGCATCTGGTCGCCGGCACGTCGTCGTACTTCGATGACGTACATAGCATACTCCTTACCGTCTTCCTCTGTGCCGACCATGATTGATTGAATGAACACGGTCGCGCGTCCATACAAGCTATTGTCGCTCTCTTGAACGATGTATTGCTGACGCTGTAACTCTTTTCTTTGTATCTCTCGCTGAAGGCTGGCTTTCGACTTTCGCAAGATCCTCAGTTCTGCAGCGTTGTTTGTCAACTCAGCTTTCGATGTAAGAGAGTCGACGATAGACTCTTGGGATACCAAGCGCTCAATATCAGCAGTAAGCGCATCGATGGCTTCAGCGAGACCCAGGTCTCCAGGCGCTGCCTCGTGGATCTCTTCCTCCTCTGCCTTACTCCTCGGGACTGGGTCATCGATCTCGTCCTCCATGAACCTTTCTTCGTCACCAAAAAGGTCATCATCAAAGACACCGCGCGTTCTGGGCTCCCCGACCAAGCCAAGGGACGCTATGCTCGGCTTGAGACTGTCTTTGCTTTGCTGCAATTGTGCTTGTGGAGCTGGGGATGACGCTCGTGGTAGATCGACGGATCCTCGCATGGAAACATCGTCTAGTGGTGACTTCAGACCCGGCTCGTAGAATATTGAACCCTCAGGCTCATCCATAATGTCGATGATGGCAGCCTGCATAGCATCGACGACCTGCGTATTGTTGCCATTAGAGCGGCCATGGCCAAATTCTGAGCTGAGGCTTGCAGTCGAATGTGCAAGAGGGTCCGAGTCGTAGTCCTCGTCGAAGAGAGGTGCGCGCGTAGATGATGACCTGTGTACATCCAAAGAACGCCGTGCAGGTGGCTCGGCGTTTTTGACGGCTCCTTGGCTCTTGAGATCTGATGACGATGCGACAGCTCGACGCAAGTCTCCTTGTGGTATCTGCAGTGCGCTCTTCTGCCTTGACTGTGTGCGGACCATTGCAGGTGTCGCCGTAGACGAGTTGTCGAGTGTTTGCGCTACAGTCCTCGTATTCACACTGCTGTTCTGAGCGTTCGCCGCCTCGTCCATGGCCAGCCACTTGTAATACAAGTTGGACTTCTTGAACCTTCGAAAGTAGGGTTCCTGTAACTGTTCGTACGCGGCCGTCTGGGCTTGCAGTAAAGAACGCCGCGCATTATGATATTGCTGCGGAGTCGCCTTCCGCCCGGCTTTGAGAAACTCGGAGACCGCTTGTCGAGCTTCAGGAAGTATCTTCAACTCCGGTTTCGACAAGTATCCGTCATGGATCTGCGCCAGGTCTGCACGGTCAGACTCTGTCCATGCAGGAAGCGAGCCTATGTAATCCGGCGCTTCTTCAGTCTCTACTTCCAATGGATTGCGAAAGCCGTCCACCACGATCCAAAACTGTACCAGCCTCATCAGGTCCGCCTGATCCATGAATTCCATGAAGCAAGACAGCCCCGAGGCATCGTATAGCACTTCTCGCAGAGACGCATTTGCGAACTTGGACGAAGTACGCTTGTGCTTCGGCTTCTCCTGTGCGGCAACCTTTGCCCGAACCGAGCCACTAGCACTGAGGTTGTTGACCTTTGTATCCAAGATTTGTCGCGCTGTTTCCAGACGCCGAAGATAGACAGGGTCTTGATCTTCTACCATGGAATCCTTCCGCAGTTGACTTGACACTTCGCTGCGAAATCGTCTAGCATCTGCAAGGGTATTGGTCTGCCTGATGGCTCGTATGAAACGTTCGAACCGTCGTTCGTTATCGCCGGGCGCAAGCTTCGGAAACTGCACGTTCTTGGGGTTCTTCGGTGAGGGCGGAGCATGTTCATCGAGAGCCGCTCGAATCTTGCGAACAGTCTTCCTTTCCTGCAGTAACGATCGTCCCTGACCATGTTAGTGAAGGTCTACCATACGCGAGTAAGTTCTTACATAGCCCTCCATAAGCTGGTTCCATGTGTCTGGGTCAGCGAGCATCTGCATCACAGGAGAGAGGACTGCGCAGGCCACAAGCTCTTTGATCAGTACATTGACGGCAGGACTGGTAGACATGTTCGCAGGCATTATCTTTGGCAGTAGTCGCGTGACGATGCTTCGTAGATGTTGCTGCTGTATAGGCTTGGTATTCGAGTATGCCAACGACGCCGCCGGGTGCAACCGGCCCTCCTTGTATTTGGCTGCAATAGCCAGATCAAGCTCCTCGGAATCTGTGATATTCCGCGACAGCTTGCGTCCGCGAACTATGCGCTCTGCCTCGTATGACGCCCGCAGGTGATCGGTAATGAGAGGTATCATACGTGACACGACTGTCTCGACCATATCTACTGCCAGTATGCGTTCCCGAATCTCGCCCATCGAAGCCCGTATCGCATTATCCACCTCGTTGACGAATGTTGGGCTTTTGCTGATACTGCCGTACCAACCCTTCACAAAGTCGCGCAGTATCAGCCCGATGAGCACGTCGATGCTGTCTGATATCATGAAGGACGCGGGGTATAGCGGCTCCATCATATACATGTTCCTCTTGTCCAAAGCCTCCCTTTCAGCCTTCCACCTGTCCGGCGCAACGAAAGCGACATGGCGCGGCCCATAGTCGACCTTTCCTCCGCTTCGTAGGTCTGTGTCCCAGGCGATCGTGAAGGTGAGCCATGCTAGCAGGGTAAGCGTCGCAAGAACTCCGGCGATGAAGGCGTAGGGCAGGTAGTGCAGCTTCGGCTGCCAATGGGTCAGGTATCCCCAGGCGATGAAGACGGCAATAGCGGCGAAGACCAAATCTCTGCGCTTCACGGGGGCCATAATCGTGCGGGTGGCGCCCGTTTCTGCATCTTGCGCGGGATGGCTGAGAGTGCGGGAGGCTTGGTGTTCTTTGGACAACCCACTTTGAAGCTTAGACCACTGCTGACGTCGACCCGCGTACATCGTATTCAGCGATTATACGAGCGTTAGTATCTTACTTTCTGCAACATCAAAGTTTACTCAACGAGCATGAGACATAATCGGCACCTAACGAATCTTCTATATAGCGCTAGGCTTCTAAGCGCTACCAATACCCGTGAAAATGACTGGCTCCTCGTCTTGGTATAACCTCCTATGCAGATAATGCCATAATCCCAATAGTGAACATTTATGACGCCGTTCCAACTCCGATAATATGCACTAGCTTCTTCATTTGCCTGATTCGTGTCCTTCTAGAATTTCCGTCGTCCAAGTGTCGGCTTCCAGTCGAGCGGGTGTGTCTCCTCCGTGGCATTCTCATCCTGCTTCCAAATCTTGATAGACTTGTCCGACTCTCCAGTGATGAGGCGCAGGCCGGTCTTGTCGAATGTCGAGCACATGACGCCTGCTTCGGCTTCAAGAGAACCCGGTTGTGCGATACTTTCGGTGTGCTGGAACCGATGGCCTGTCTTCCAGTCGTAGAACGAGGCTTCGCCGTTGTCGCTACCGGCGAACATGATGTTGTCCTCGTTTACAGAGAGTGTATTGATGATGCTGTTAACAGGCGAAAAGTTCTGCATGAAGTCGCCGTTCGGACACAGCCATTGCTTCGCCGATTGCGCCGATCCAGACGCAAATGTGAACTCCGTGGGATGTGTTGCAAGAGAGCGAACCGACTTCTTGTGATGGGTAAGAACCGTGCGAGTCTTTCCAGCAACGAGGTCCCATAGTCGTATTGTGCTGTCCATGCTTCCAGACAAAACTTGGGGCTCGGCCTCTTGACATTGGATCGAGGAAATCGTTCCCTTGTGGCCTCCGAGAACGTGGATGTTGCTACGCGATCGCATATCCCAAACGCGGACTACGCCATCGCGTCCTCCGGTGCAGAGCACATCCACGGTCGGATGTAGCGAAAGCGAATAGACTCCGCTCAAGTGGCCGTGGTAATGTCGAATGACTTTGTTGGTCTCGAGATCCCAGCATTTGACCATCTTGTCTTCTCCGCAAGAGAAGAGGTATGGATGCCTTGGGCTCACTGCAAGTCCTCTGACTGCCGAAATGTGTCCTGTCAAAGTAATCTTGAGTTGACCGCTGGCCAGATCCCAAAGCTTGATTGTCCTGTCCGCGGCGCCAGTCGCGAACCATTGATTGCCGGGCTCCATCGCCACCGATCGCACCTATACAAAGTCAGTCGCTGTCGCTCTCTTGCATAATGCTATTGTATGACTTACCCATCCCATATGTCCGCTAATGACCGTCTTGACCTTCCATGGCGCATGCCAGTCAGGCTTCGCTTGACGAACCACGTCCTTCCTGACCAACGCGCTCGATGTCTGATCTCTACTTGGCGTAGGTCCATGAGCATTTGGTGCAGCGCCCTTGCCTCCTGCTCTCACTGCCAACTGCATCGACTGTGCATCGCGCGCCTTGTCCGCCTTCTCTGAGACACCCTCAATCATCTTCTGCATCTTAGGGTCCGAGGCCTTCTCTTCAGCGTTCTGTGCCTTGATCTTTTTGCGCCGCTCAGCTGCCGTAGATGCTGCGCTGGCCATCTTTGCAGCTAGGGCAGGTGGTAGCTCGCGCACATGCTCGTATTCGTTGCGGATGCGTGATGCGACGCTGGCCTGGTCTGCAGCGGCCGAGGGCGCTGGTGTGGTTGGGTGTATCGAGAAGCTGCCGTTTGAAACGTGGTCTAGCGCCGTTGATGACGCGAAATCGGCGGCGAATATCTCTCGTGTCCGTTTCGATGAGGATCGAATAAGCTGTTCTGCCGTGCTGAGAGGTCGCGAAGCTGCAGTTTCGGCCATGGCGACGACGTGATATTGGGGAAGAAAGAACTACTGCAACAAGTTTAGCTGCTGCTTTTCGCGACTAAGGCGACACTGATAGAAGGAGCTCACGTTTGACGGGTATGGTGTTACGGAAGGCCAACCGCTGGTCGTCGACTCCATCGCGAACGGAAGTTTCACTAGCGCGCCTTGCTCGCTAACCCGAGCTAGGGCCGAGCACCATCTTATCTGATTGATCTCTCACCCGCTCTCTCACTCATCAACAGATTAACCTACGCGCAACACAATGTTCAGCGCTGTTCGGTTTGGTAGTCTCTCTTACATGTTCTATGTGCGATCTCCGCCGTTTCTAGACATCAATTTTCATTACCCGTCTTGCGGAAGTCTCTAGTGCGCTTGCGAATGAGCAATTTCTCGCGGTCACGCGGCTCTGTCTCGAACAGCATCACAGAGCTTGTGATCTTGCGGTACTGAATCCATCTTGCGAAGGCGACGTTTATGTTCATTGGACCTGTATTAAGGTTGAACATATATTATGGCCCTCGACTTTTCCGCACCGACCTTGAACGACGCCTGGCTTCAGCCCGCACCGTATCCTTGATATCCAACGTCCCTTCGAGGAGAGCATCCTGTCAAACTCCTGATCACTCCCTTCAATGAACATATGATTCCAGACCTCGAACTGCTCTAACAAGACGTTCAAAGTCGTTACAAACGAACACCAGCATACCGACACAAAGTACCCAACCCAAGCTACCTATGAAAAGCTTATTGGACTTGAGCGCGAAAGTTGGAAGAACTCTACAACATATAATTGATGTTACTTTCGACTGCTTCGTCGCCCCACAATCTAAGTTGAGCATCTCAGCAAGCCTTGAATGCAAAAAATCTGGGCTTCGAATACACGATGGTGGTCTACCGCGATTGGACGAGAAATCCAATGCACGAATCCCAAGCGGAGGAGCCGACTGGTCTTCGGGAGACCAGGACGCAATGTTGGAAGCTCAATGGGGTTACATGACCGGTAATTTGTACGTAAGAGCCCTCATCTGCTTATTCACATGGGTACCAACATCGGATCGTCCAATACTCGTCATGGCTAGACGATCCAATGCCCAACGCTCGCGTGCACACAACGCAGAACTTGCAGGGGATGCGAGTGAGCCTCTCCTTCGTACGGCATGGCTCTGCGATATTGCGCCGCAAAGCTCAGATGTCAGACGCTGTCAGCATCGCACACATTTCCTCTGTATACACGAACACGTTTGGGACTGCGCAAAACTGTCGTGAACGTGTGGATACAGAAAACCCAGCGGTCACCGCGACGATGCTTGTTTCCCCAGATCTTCCGGGTTCTCCGCTTCATCGATCCAGGATTGCGCAAAAGCAGCTGAACGGCGCGCGGTCAAGCACATGCTGCCGAGGAAGTTGAATGGAGACCCAGACCGAGTCGCCAGATCCTTCCAGAGGAGGAAAGCCACCTCCGCACGGAATGACGCAGGAACGGTTAAATCCTTGCACTTCAACAACAGGGTCGTATTGCCTGCACACCCATAGCAAAGCAAGTAGAGGATACAGTGTCCTCTTTCTTCTGCCTTGAGAATAAATACATAAGTACACAAGCATATTTCTGATAACCGCCTAGACAAACGAATGCAGGTACAACAAGGCCGCCAGTCTTACGCCATGCCACCGTCTTTTTGCCGGGAATTTCGCAGACAGCGGTGGACGTTCGGATGGCGCATCCGTTCGGCGGGTTAGCCATGTTCCTGCTTAGCCAAAGGGTGTAAGCATGGATTATCCCGGATGTTTGGCCGAGAATGGTCGAGATGTCGCGGGGTTTGTAACGCTGGATCCTGCGCCATATATCGATTTCTGTGTCGCATTTGCGCTTGCCGCCATCCAATGGCCATCCAGCCGGACTGGATAAAAAAACTTTCACGATTGAAGATCTGCGCAAAGCGACGATGCGCAAAGTAGTTGGTTTTGCCTCGTTGCGTAGCTTCTCAGACTCAGGGCTGCCCCGGATCTTCTCGCTTCGTACTAGTCCCGGAAGCGATTAGATGGGAACGGCCGCACCGTCACTGGCCGCATGATATCCAATCAGCAAAAGCTTCTAGTCTCTACGGCGTGGTTCTTGGCGCCTTGATCAGTTCTATCCCTGTTATGCTGGAGCTCGCCGTCGCCCAACGCCAATGCTCACCAATGATATCCAATCGACGATCGAATGGCTTCTTACTCGGTTCAATAGTATTACACGCTCCTCGCAATTTCTACATGACACGCAAGAAGATGTAGAGAAAGTTACGCGGTACCGTCTCCTTTCTTTCATTCTTCATGATTCACGACCATTCATTGGCAAGGCGCCGCGCACCTTACCGTGTGGCAATAGACTCTACCTTCACAAGTCCGGCCTCAACGAGCCGCAGCTAGCGATGCGTAGTCTGGGGTAGTGTCATCACGCGCTACCAGATTCAGCAATACCTCCAGGGGCTGCGCGAAGATCTCGAACGGGGGCGAACAACATGCCCACTGTGGAGCCACTTGGGTGCTAGCTTGTTTCTCACATGGACACGGGTGGCCTACGGTTCCGCTTGATATAAAGAGCTTATGGGAGCCTTCTGTTCGAGTTCCTGCAAGCTTCAACTGTCGTTATACATACATCAAAGAACTTTCACTACACCGATCACCGTATCAACACCAAGACAACCGTCAAAATGAAGACCTTCACCATCGCTGCCTTCGCCGCTCTGGCCTCCGTTGGCTCTGCCCAGCTCAGCAACATCCCATCTTGCGCCGTACGTCACTCCATGATAACCTTCGCACTCATCACAAACTAACACCATCCAGCTTCAATGCTTCCTCGCTCCCCTCCAGAGCGACGGCTGCTCTTCTCTCACCGACTTCGAGTGCCACTGCAAGAAGGGTGCTGAGCTCCTCGGCCAGGTCCAGCCCTGTGTTCAGGGTGCTTGCGAGCAGGAGGACCAGGCCAAGGCCATCTCCGCCGTCCAGGACACCTGCAAGGCCGCTGGTGTCCCCATCACCATCCCCGACGCCAGCGCTGCTCCCTCTATGGCCAGCTCTGCTGTCGCCAGCGCCACATCCGCTGCCGCCTCTATGGCATCTTCTGCCGCCTCCATGGCTTCCTCCATGGCTTCCTCTGTCATGTCTGAGGCTTCCTCCGCTGTTGAGTCTGCCGCTTCCTCCATGGCCTCCGAGATGTCCTCCGCCATGATGACCGGTACCCCCACTGCCAGCGAGAGCATGATGAGCATGACCCCCTCTGCCTCCATGTCCGAGTTCACCGGTGCCGCTGCCCAGGCTACCCAGGCTGTCGGTATCATCGGTGCCGCCGCCCTTGCCATGCTCGCTTTGTAGATACCCTCAAGCCCTTGGTGGCAAGCATGAACGGATTCACTGGTTAGTCAAAGTCGGGATGTAATGGAATCACGTTGGGATGGATGGATCGAATCTTGTATTACCACCGAAAACCGATAATGCGATACTTAATACTTCCAACTTCGATGCCTTTTTTCCAAATCAATTCCTTGTTTCACATTCTAAGCTTGATGTATCTTTCCACCTCGTCTTTCCGTTTTGGTCTTAAGAATTTCTCCCCAATGCGTCAGAACTAATCTTCCGGTGGCTTTTTGCATTCGGTCAAACTGAAGCTGAGGAGTAGCGCAGTGACGTCATAGTAAGCACCATCGTGTCGCCAAAATGAGAACACAAGGGTTACCATGCCTTCGTTCGGATTAAAGCTACCCGCGGGCTGTCAATGTATACAGACGCTAGCGCATGTTCAATGCACTGTTTTTATGCAAATCATCACGGCGCCTTCTTGCAGAATCACCGCAGTGGAAGCGATAGAGGCGCTCTTCTACTGCTATTTTCTTGGGTAATTACCGTAGACGGCCCTTACTCTTGGCTTGGCTCTCGTAAATGCTCTTGCGTTGGCTTCTAGACTCAATTGATTATGCTGGGGATCTGTTGACGAATATCATGAACAATCACACGTGTGTCAAGGGAACTTGAGAAGTCGACCGACGCTGCGGAGATTTCCGTATCTGCCCAATTGTTGGGAGACATGGCTGTTGTTGGCCAGAACTTCTCTGGAGCTTTTCACATCGCAATTTTGTGGCAGGTAGCTGGTCCCTTACTTAGATCGTGCAAGGTATACTACTGAAAGAGAACAAGTCCCTCAACATTTAAGCGACTGTTCGACGATATCCAGCTGCGTCATCTCACCCACCACCAAATACTCAGCTTGAGTGACAACTCTATCAGCAGCGCAATTCAAGACCACAGAACTCTCATTTCAAGAACTGCGCTTACTCCTTTAAGAAATACATGATCCTGAAAAAGGAAAACCACCCCAGCGGAAGTCTAAACGGCGTGCATGCTGCAAGTGCGACATTAGTAAGCGTTGTAAAGATGACTACTCGCTGCAGCAGATAAGGCAACCACACATAGTTAATTCGTGACGTCAATTCTTGCGTACATAGATAGCTAAGAGGGTGCTGTTGTGCTTTGAGATGTAAAAGAGGGGTCGCATCACCTAGAGAGCGGACTGGCGTACCTGCAACATCGACAACTTCAACATCCTCAACCCTTCGTAGACATTCATCATGGCTTCAGAACCCGAACCATACACGATATCAGTGCTCGAATCGGCAATCGAAAAGCTCAAACGAAAGCTATCAGATGCCGATTTCCCAGATGAATTAGACACACCCGACCAATGGCCCTACGGCTCACCCCTCCCCGACATCAAGCGTCTAGCAAAACACTGGGAAACGAATTTCTCCTGGAGGGATGCCGAATCCAAGATGAACGAGCTACCCAACTACCGCAAAAAAGTCCAGGTTGACGGTTTCGGCCAAATCGATATCCACTTCGTGCACAAGAGAAGTTCAAACCCCAACGCCATACCCCTCCTCTTCAGCCACGGCTGGCCAGGCTCCTTCCTCGAAGTCACAAAATTACTTCCACTCCTCGAAGCTGGCGAGAAGGAGGGTAAACCTGCATTCCATGTCGTCGCGCCATCTTTGCCGAACTTTGGGTTTAGCCAGAGGATTAGCAAGCCTGGCTTTGCTTTGTCGCAATATGCAGAGACGTGCCATAGGTTGATGCAGGACCTTGGGTACGAGAAATACGTTACGCAGGGTGGCGATTGGGGTTTTTGGATCACGAGATCGATGGGTATACTGTATTCGGACTATGTCCTGGCTAGTCACATCAATATGGTGCGCGCGCAAGCACCGACGTTTACATCGCAGCCTGCACTTGCACTGCAGCACGCTATCACTCCCTACACTGAAGCTGAGAGCAAAGGGATCGAGCGCTCAGAATGGTTCCTCACCGAGGGCCAAGCGTATCGACAGTTGCAATCTACTAAGCCACAGACGCTTTCTTACGCATTCGCGGACAGTCCTATTGCCTTGTTGGCATGGATCTACGAGAAGCTTATCGATTGGACGGATGGCTATCCCTGGACTGACGACGAAGTACTCACATGGGTTAGTGTATACTGGTTCAGTACTGCAGGGCCCAATGCGCATGTTAGGATCTACTACGAAGCGCAACATAATCCTACGGATCTGATTCCGAATCGAGAGCGGACGACGACGTGGATTGATCGTGTCAAGTTGGGTGTTGCGCACTTTCCCAAGGAGATTACTGTTGTGCCGAGAGTATGGGCGAAGACGTTAGGTGAGATACTCCCATGGCGACGAGGTTGTGGCATATGCTGACTCACGTATGACTAGGCCCTCTTGTTCATGAGAGCGTCAACGATAAGGGTGGGCATTTTGCTGCGCATGAGAGGCCGGATGTAATTGTTGCGGATCTGCAGAAGATGTTTGGGAAAGACGGGCCGTGTTACGGTATTGTACCAGGGAAATCGGGCTATTGATCTGGGATTGTGGATGGAAACAATTTCGATGGAACGATATAATGACAAGCAATGTTATATCTAATGTCATTGCTTGACAGGCGCCGGCCGTATCAGCTCAGCCGTCGAGTCTCGAGCGCCTGCGCACGAGAAGTCCAATGCGCCCATATGTGGATCTTTTGGCTTTTCGGCCGCGCATTGCGTTATGTTTCTGGCGTCGTCGCGACTTTTGAGTAGAGAGAAAGTTCGTCCCGGTATCGGGTCGAGCTCCTCTTTAGATACCAATGTCGATCGCGACAAGTCCTTCTCTGCGGCAGATGCCGAAGAGCTGAACGTAAGCCAGTGGATGATAAGCGCGTCCCAACACACGTCCACCAAACAGATGGTGAGGCATATCATGCCCAGCTCTTCGCCCCTTGTAAGGAAGAATTGTACCATATTCGCCGCCGTTGGTATCTCTATCAAGAGTGACCCAATGATGCTCTTCCACAGCAGTGTCTTGATATTCTTCCTAGCCGGCGTATCCTGCCCTCCGTGCACAGTATCCTCATTCTGACTCGACTTCCTCTTGAATATTCTGGAAAGAGTAGATGCACCGGGTAGCCCTACGACCGGATAGAGCAAGTAAAAGAAGACCACAGTTAAAATAACATTCGTAAAGAAGTTGACGACGGTGAATGGTATCGATGCAATGCCGCGAATGCCAAAGTGGCAGCGTCCGTCCGATTCGTGCAACTCGGTGACGTGGTTGAGATAGGAGTTGATGGCGACGGCACCGTACAATACGACGATCATGGCCATGCAACAAAGGTATATCTTGTCTTTCCGCCTGTTGACGAAAGGCGCGCGGACGACATGGATGCGTTCGACCAAGAAGATATAGCTGCCATATGTTAGCAGGAAGCCGGGCTTCGTCAATACACACTTACATGATAGCTTTGATGAGCGTGTAGAAGATCAAGCAAACCCATGTTCCCGCAACGCAGAGCTCGTAGGTATACAGTCCCTGCCCTGCTACAAGCACGGCTGAGCAGATGATGAATATTAAGACCAGTACGTATAGCATGAAAACGAGCGCAGACATGAGACGATGCTTTCTCAAAATACGGCGTCTGAGTTTCTCCAACCGCGAACCTATGGTCTGTGTTAGAAAGTGTACGCACGACTGGTCCAAACTTGGTAGCCGGATGCATGTTGCAAAGGCCATCGTCTGGCTTTGAGATCGATTGGGCACTGAAGAAGAACTTACCCAGTAACAGCGAGCATACCATCATGCACAACAGTGATATGATCGTGAAGATTGACCTATCCTGTGGAAGTTCGCCATTGTTGATAAAAACGTTCGAGTTCCGAAGATCCTCTTCATGCGCCCGTACAGGGAAGGCTTGAGCAGCGAACGTCTGCATCAAGAAAAGGCACGCGAACAGCCTCATTCTTGACAAAAATCCGGAACCGATAGCGAGCCGAGTCGTGAGCGTTCGCTGAAAGAAAGACGCGATCGATACATTACACGATTGGGGATCCTTGAGTCCTTAACTGGACCCTATCTCCAACCTAACATCTGTCTTGGTCCCACAAATTGACGCTCCATTATTTTCTTCTTGCGTAAATCATCTGGTCAGGTCTATGATCGGCCGGGAGTTGCTAGGTATTGTGGCGCTGGGGCGATCGTATTGCTCGAGTTCCAATGTTGCGTGAGGCTGATTGGGTTTACACTAGTCATGCGGAGATGGAGCCGGCTGGCCGATTCGGCCTCGAATGCGAGATCCCCGGTAGGAAATCCACGTGCGTGCCGCTGCTCCCGTTCCTAATAGCTGTTGGATGCGGTTTTTCTCAAATATCTCCGTCAGGGACAGGGTCGGTATTAGAGGCCGGTTTGTATTTTGCTTTTTCTACCTGACAGGTGTCATGGCTCGCTGATTCTTGCCAGATGTCGCGACACCTCAACATTCATGCTTCACCCACTCGTACGCCACGTTATCGAACGGATAATCCTGTTGGCTGCCCCTGGCGAGGATCCTAGTCTAATGTCTGACTGGACATCGTTCTCTTGGAGTCAAGATTGCCGTATCGGGATTGCGACAGTCCGCCAAACGCCATTGCACCATTCTCTTGCTCTTCTGAAAGATCCTGGCTTCGGATGCTCCTAGGGTGAGTTTTGCCGACGTCGCACTGGTCTGTTCTTTCCTCACGGATAAAATCTGGTCCCACTCCGAGAACAGTCATAGCCAGTGTGATGCAAAGATGATATTTCTTGAGGTATGCGAAGATGTGATTAGCAGGGCCTTGCGCCTCTCTTCTCTCTTCGAAAGAGAGACCTGGTGAAGAAGAATGGTATACAGGCCCCCAGGTCTGGCAGGGATTGCAGGGGTGCTGAATCATAGTAGTCTGAACCAGTGGCTCCGAGGAATGAGTTGAGCAGATTGACTTCGGAAGCTCACGAACAGCTGTGGGGTCTCTCCTAAACCACGGGGAATTTCGTGTCATAGCCCATGCTGCTGATCGCACTTCTATCCAAATGTAGTCTTCGATCGCCGAATGGCACCAGACTGCTGAAAAGAGGCGCAGAACCTTCCGCTTCGCATGGAGAGGAAGCTGCGGCACGTTATTAGGCCCTTGCTATATGAGTGAATGGTGTGTGGTGACTGACATGTTCGCCCAGCGTGTATTCAGCCAGCTCCTCCCGCGCAAGCTCGATGGAGACTTTGCTAGACCGCCCATCTCTGCCTGCAACTAGTGGTGATATGTCGCCTTCTCGCTCGGTCACATGTCAAAGTAGGAACACAGTCACATTGTAACCTTGGGAGTGGGGGTTGCCAAATGTGATGTGTGCATGCGATGGGCGTCCCGGCGGATGTCGCGCATACGCGCACGGCTGCGTCGCACTAGAGCGGATCCGTACTTGCCGGATCGCTGATCTCGGAAAGCATCTATGTAACTGTCCATTCACGATTCTATAACTGATGCTCAACCAATGATGAGTGGCGATACAAGATTGAAAAAGAAGCGGAGAGGCGGCCCGCGCAGTAGAACAGGTATGTGCCGTGATCTGTGAAACTCTGCTGCTATGCTGAGATAAAGCTAATACGATCAAGGTTGGTACGTCTAGTTGCTGTCCTCCTCGCGAAAACTTGTACTTCTGGCTAATTAAGTCAACCCAGCGCCACCTGTAAACGCCGTCACACACGCTGCGACGAGAAAAGGCCAGTATGTGGGAATTGCGAACGCCTCAACCTCGACTGCGAGCTATCCGAGGAGATCGTATGGGCCACCCCTCGTGTCGATACCACACCGGACGAACCAAACAATGATGCGCCGCTTCTCGTTGACGTGTTTAGGACACGGATGAATGATCTTGACCTTCCTGAGGATACGTCATCAAGTTAGAACTACATCCCTGCTAATGGTGTCACGTCAGCAGGGTCCGACGAAGCGAACGGTCTGGAGAAGGTACGCTTGACCTCAGAAAGCGCCTTCCTGCTCCAGACCTACGTACGCACAGTCGCAGCTTGGATGGATATCTTTGACCATGCCAGCACCTTTCAGCACAAAATCCCACAGCTGGTCCTCAGATCGCCGCTTCTGTTTCATTGTGTATGCGCCTTTACAGCCAACTATCTAGCTCTTTCCAATTCGAGCCATGATCCTTCTTGGCAGGTCACAGCTTCCAAACATTATGGCGAATCATTACGCCTACTCATAGAAGCTTTGAGCATGCCTTCGCACGAACATGCACTGACTGCAAGTATGCTGCTCTTGAGCTACGAGATTCACGGAGCTTTGCGTTCTGAGGACTATCGGCGTCACTTTCTTGGCCTTACGGTACTCATCAAATCGCGTCATGTTACGGCACAATCAAGCGGCACTGATCTGGCCAACTTCTGGATCTATATCCGACACGAGATTGTCGTAGCTATGGCGAGCGAGCAGCCTCTGATACTAGATCCTGCAGAATGGGAGGTATCTTGGGTAGAGGGTGACACTAGAGAGGATGTATTAGGAAACCATGTTCTCTGGATATTAGCCCGGGTGATCAATCTCATTTTCGGACCCGATGGACGAACTGAAGCAGGTAAAGAGCAGCGCCAAGACTTCCTGCACGAGATTGAAATGTGGCGAAGGGGGCTTTCTGACACGTTTGTTGGTATTGCGTACGGGGACAAAGACGAAGATGGCTTTTGCAAAGTGTACTTCCCAGTGGCTGCCGCAGCCGCTGCAGCGTTTTGTGCGTATAAAGAAGCTCGCAACGCTCAATGTGATCTAACAGATTCAGGGTATCATATAACACACATTTTGCTTTATGCAGAGCCAGAACTTCAGGACGAGGCCTACATTCCTTTGATCCAGGAGCAGGCTATGAAGATTACCGACATAGCAATATCGGATTTCCCTCCATCGTTGATGGTTTTCTCTACCCACGGTCTCTTCTACGGTGCGTATCCATCCCTGCAGCTGAACATAGTCAGATGATTTTACGATCACAGCAGAGCGGTCACTAATGTATTGTAGCTGCAAAACATATTCATGGGATCTCTAGAAAGGCGCGTATATGGAACGTCTTGAACGAGGTTGAGCGGCAAACTGGGTACAACACGAGTACGACCGTGAAGCTTCTCCAGACCTTGGTAGAAGAAGGCGTACAAAGTCATAGCGGGATTACATTATGAGCTATCCTCACTGCCTCGAAAAGAAAGACATCGAAGTTTACCAGTCTCTGCCTTTGAAGTGCCTGGAGAATGCCCGGCATCGGACCGAGCCGCCTCGCTGGTCAGCTGCGGGCTGAAGCGAAGCCAGCAACTGATCAAGCATTTACTGCGAGGCTTCCTGGGGCAGTGATGGGCTCGGAATTCTTCAACCTATCGCTTCGCCTAGGTGTAGCGACTTCGGTCACTCTCCAGGGTAAGGGCGCGTAGAGCACACCTCTTACTGGTAACCATCGCCGCTACCCCACGTACATCCCCAGGTCTAACACGGATGCTGGGTGAAATTCAAAGACATCCTCAAAAACACAGTTAATCGCGATTTCAAACTCGATTATCTATCAGGCTTCGTGCCAAGATAGAACCGTAACAAGATTTGGATTGCGCAGCCGGGTTCTGGCGCACGTCGCGAGGCTGCGCCGCCTGCACAGCCCGCCAACAGTCGGGTAGGCAGCAGCAACACAACCAGTCGAAATATGTTCCCTGTTCTAACAAGCGACTGGGCAGCGCATATCATTTCCTTTTGGAGACGTTTATGAGTGTATTGCATGAATTTATTCAGTTTTTGGGTATCGTCAACGCCACAACTTCGTTTATGCGCGGGTAGCCTCAGCCATGTGCAACAGGTTGTTTCGCGCAGCCTCCACCAAAAGGTCGATAGGGCTCTTGAATATATTCGCCACTCCAACCGGTTCTTGAAATGCTATATTCATCATCTTATCTCACTCCATTATGGTACCTCCACTCAACTCTCAAGACGACCGTGCAGCGTTCGTGGACGCTTGTATCAATAAGCGTAAGAAAGCGATGCATGCTTGGGAGTCACTTGGCTTGATCAGTGAGAAGCTGCACGATGAGCAACACGGCTACTTTGTCAACAAGGGAAAAGCCGACAAGGCTAACGAACTGCAAAGAGTGGTTGAGGGAATTGCAAAGTCGTTTACTACGTCGTATCGTGGCACCATTGAGGAGCTCCACAACTATCTAACTGAAGAAAGCGCCTTCTCAGACGACGTCCTCCGGCTCGGACAAGAATTTGGAGTGAAGATATGGGGTCGTATAGAAGATGGTGAAATACGCTCTTCAGGCGAATCACAAGGAAACGGGATCGAGGAGCAAGACTGGGACGACCCGAAAGACCGCAAGAAGTGAGCACTTGATGCGTTATAACAATCGTCTTTACTAACTACCTTACAGTATTCTATTCTACATCCGATGCTGGATCATATGCACCGTGGTCAGAGAGTACAGGGCGACCCCACGAAAAGGCAAAGCGAAAGGTCGGACCCGGGACTTGAGTCCATCTCAAGACCAACAAAATGAAGATACCGTGGAAGATCTCGCGGAAATTGACAGCCCTAGAACCATAGGTGCATCATTTCGGGCGCCAGAGCCACCACGTATGTATCCAACACCGGAACCGCGCAGAGATACAGCATCCACCAGTGCCAACGGCAAGACTGCAAGCACTAGTTTCAGCTCCGTGAACAAGACTATAACACCAAATAAGAGGAAAGCGCAGTATGCTCATGAGCGAACACCTTCTGGGAAGCTTCCGAAGCCTTCAAAGGGCGGTCGAACGATCTCAGTTCTCACTCATCAGCAACGCGATCCCTACTCAGTCCCCACATCTCCGCCCGCGTTCCCAAATCTAGCCCGCCCATCATTCGAAAGACGAAGAGAGACTACGTATGACTCAGATGCGACTTGGGTGCCGCCTCGTGAAGAGACTGCAGACGCGGAAACGGTGGTCGATGCGGAAGATATTCATCCAGGAGAAGTCGGTAAGTCTATTACTCTGAGAGCGACATCAAACGTCCAAGCTGACCCCTATCAGACTCGCAAATCCAAAACGATATAGCTACATCCAACGCAGATGAGATACAATACGAGAACGAGAATGAGAACGAGAATATCGCCGGCCCATCAGGCACCTACCGAAACCCGCTCAGACAAGACTCCGTCATACCAGACACACAAACGCAAAACGACACAATAGACGGCATCATCTACCCTCCAAGTGGCCAACTCAACCAAAACGACGAAGACATATCAAGCGATGCATACACCGACGCCATAATCCGCTCGCTCATCTCTGATCCCTCCTCCACAACCCGTCAAACACGTGTCTACCGTCTCGAACTCTACAGACTACTCGTCTCTTATCTAAATGGCATCAAGAACTTCGACCCCTCCAACTACGATTCCGCGGCTGAAGAACGAATGGATTTCCTGCTTAATCAATTTCACTGTACCCATGCGGATGCCTGGTATGCCGATCACAACGACAGCGCACTCCGTCTACATCTCGCATTCGAAAAGTGGATGAGTATGCGTCACCGCCTCGCCGCTTTTCGCAGTGTGACAGGTTACTTTGGCCCGCCGGGAAGGCAGTGGGAGGAATTTCTGAGGGGGCTGGATGATGTGCCGCATGCGGAGGCTATCTTGGCTTTTGTTGATCTGAAGGATGCCGAGGAGGGGGAAGAGGGAGGAAGGGTCCTTGGGAATGGGTTTGATGAGGACCTCATGATGATGTTTGATAGGCTGACGATGTTTCCGGATTGTAATGGGCCGGAGGCGTTCAAGGGGGTGAGAAAATTTAATGAAAGGCTGTTGGTGTGGTTTAGGGATGAGTGAATGGGTGGAGGGGGTTACGACGTTATGATGATAGATATGATTTCCTATGCCATGTATTAACGAAACACTTTGCTTTCCTTGCTTTCTCTAATCCTTGTGTGCCACACGTAGATTAAGTAATTGGGGTATCAGTCGTTGAGCTGGAATAGTAGTACATTATAAAACCACCAATTCTGATCGCTTACGCTGTGTTCTACAGCGAACCAAAACCAATGAGCCAAAGAGAACGCCGTCACAAGTCGACCAAATCAGCAGAATGAAACGCGCATATACAAAAGTACCAACAGAAATGTACAAATAAACAGTAAACAACACCATCCATCGCTACCGCCAAGCACCCGTGATGCCCACAGAAACGCCGGCAGATATCACATCCGAAGGTAAAGAGAAAGTCTTTGTATGATTACTCCACATACGGGCCGCCTGCATCGTCATGATGATGATAACTATGCGTGAGACCACCGCTGCGCATCTGAGGAGGGTACTCGGTTGCAACTGTACTCGATCGAACAGAGGAAGTATCGCCCGGAACGTGCTGCCCACGTAAACTTGTTGCGCTATCGGTCCGAGGCAGCCGCGGACAGAGTTGCGGCTCTCTTCCGAAAAGGTCTTTGCCATCGACTATTGACGCACTGGGACATGTTAACCCTAGCCGTCGTTGATGCTGCTTGAGTTGCTTCATATCTGCAAAGAGCTCTTTACAGTCTGGACATTCGTGGAGTGTGCGGTTACGATGTACGGCCCTGGCGTGGGCTTTGAGGGCAACGGGGCGAGCTTCGAGAGGGCAGTAAGGACATGTTCGTTTCGAGCTGAGACTGCATCCATTACCGCTGTCTAGATCGCTGTCATATTCCCGCAACAACAGTTCGTCGTTCATGTTCTGGAACTGCTCCGGATCGATCTCGGTTTGGGTCTCGAGAAATGGTTCGTCACTCGTCATATCGGGATACGGAAGGAACAGCGTGCCAGAAACAGCCTTGGGCTCGTAGTCGTACTGTTCCAATGACTGACGGGACTGGGAGGTGTATCCGGGTATGTACATCCACAATCGTGTCCATGCGGGACGCTTGATAACAGTTTGAGACTGCAAAGACTCGATTCCAATGCTACTCAGTTGTTCTCCCAACTGCTTCGCCGTCGGACGTGCATGAGGATTCGGGTCTAGTACGCCCCCGAAGATGAGAAGACCGGTGATAGCCCGTAGCTTAGCATTGTCTTTCGTTAACTCCCATAGCCTCTCTAGGTATTCCTTGATTGCAGGCTTGAGAGAGAACAAGAGCTGATGTGTCGTCACCTCTAGGTGCCAGAAAGAGATTCCACGTCCTGGTACGTCTGAATGTAGCTTCCGATGGAGTCGTGTTCTTTCCTTTGCGCCTTCCAGAGACCAAACGAGGAGGTCCAGAAATACGCATCCCAGACTCCAGATGTCAGAGGCCCGGCGATCGGAACAGACATTTGTAGGTATGTCGCACTCGGGGGCAGCATACGTGCCGTATGCATAATCGAGACAATGAAGGGGGGTTCCTTCACAGAGAGCCTTGCGGATGCTCGGTTGTCTTTGACTCAGGGAGCGAAATTCAGAACGGCCGAAATCGGCAATTTTCAATGTTCCCAACGGAGGTGTCCCTTCTTGATCCGCGGAATACCACAGTATATTCCCGGGATTTATATCGCCATGTCTCCCGTAGGATCTGTTCTTGTCGTCCCCGGTGTGAAGATATTGCAATGCTTTAGCCAAGCCCTGCATCTGTTCCACTACCCATGTCGTTGTGAACTCAGCACTAGATGTAGGAAGATCATGCTCCATGAGTTGATCCATGTTGCCGTTCGCAAGTGGAAAAACAAGTGCGTAACTATCCAGCGTGCAATAGGATGCCAGTAGTTCGACGATATGCGGGTCGTTGAATGTCTGTAGTTGCTTGAGAATTCGTTCTTCGTTCAACCACCGGATAACCGTGGTGGTACTCTTCGAGATCTTCTTCACCGCGATCTCAATCTTTCCGTTTGCATCTGCGCACCAAGACGTCGCGCGGTATACAGACGCGAGCGTACCTTTTGTAAGCGGTTCAAGAAACTCAAGCCGCTCGTTGAATGGCATGATGTTGGCGCATTGAAGGCTGGCCTTTGAGCATGCCACCATTAAGCTAAGGTGAATGTCGAATACAGAAGAAGCACCTTTTAGATTCTGCAGCCCAGTAGGATACCCCGTTGACAGAAACCGACGTCGAACCTCAGAGCGCCGAGTGAATCGATTAAAAGAGGTGACGTTCAAGGCAGACAACAATTGAGTGATTATTGCATTGATGATCGAGGAGTTGGAAGTCAGGCCGTCGGCACCGGTATTCAGAAGCGGGTTGATGACGAAGATGTCATAGCGAGAATGTCGATACGTCCGACACGTTCGTAAGGTCGTGTTGTAGGGCGCGCTGAGTTCCTCCAAAATCTGTGGGAGTACTGCCGACGCAAAGTCGTAGAAGGGCTTGGGGTGGGGTGTGAAGCGATATTCATCTACGCTGAGGTTTTCCGCTCGGAACCGCTCTCGAAAGGCATGCGTCACCGTCAACCATTTCCTAACAGAATGGTTTTCGTATTTGTCAGACTTTTGCTTCGTTAGATACAGTTCTGCAGGTCTTGTCTGATATGGACTTACGAAAACTTGTGCCAGCTTATCATCCCAAATGTCAAGCAGGCTAGCTCGTGCCGTGGAAGTCCGGATCCAATGGGCAAGTCGCTCCCATTGACGAGATTTGCAAATGTCTTGCACGAGATCGGTCAACGCGATGATAGCTTCCTCAGCTTGGCAGAAATGCTTAGTGTTAACGTAGTGAAGTGCTATCCGGGATAATAAATGTAGGGGCTCTGGCAAACGGACATTGGCGGTCCCGAAAAATGCCTTCATCTGGCGGATTGTTGTGTGGAGAGGCACAACGTAGACGTAGCCTTGAGGGTTTGTGGCCACGACATGACCATATGCCACGGAAGATTGCGCATCGACGACAAGAGACCCTGAGTCGCCAGCTACGATACCTATAGCATGGAGTCAGTTGATGAAAGAAGCCGCCACGAGGGAAGTACTTACCATCAGAGTCACCGATCGACACAATATGTACATTGCAATGACCACGTCCGCTTAGACCGGAGATATTAACAATTCCCGGGAGAAGCGTGCCTTGCTTTATGGAGGAAGAGGTGAGTATATGGACGGATTTCTCTTCTATGGGCCGGGTATCGTCCTTTGACCGCTCTCCGGCAATTTGTACTATGTGTCGGATCTGGTGAGCCTGTTGTTTGGGAGATTCGGGCTTAGAATCTTCTTGCTCAGAAGGGTCCAGCTTGGATGCTTGCTGCTCAGCCAAATACAGGTTCGGTAGCTGTTGGTCAGGCTTCTTGATGAGTGTGACCGCCCAATCGCCGTCCGTATTGTCATTCTGTAGGTCGTTCGGTCCAGGAAACATGACTGCGAGGTCTTCAAGTCCTTCTTTATCAATATTCGGACAGTCAGGAGCCCTTGATGGAGGTGAGGTGAGACCATGGGGTGATGCTGCATTGCAGTCGAATGCATCTTCATCAGATATGATGTCATTGAATGAGGAGAAACCATTGTCGCTTTCGTTGTCGTCGCTATCGTCATCATCATCATCATCGTCGTCGTCTTCCTCGGAAGAGATGTCGTCGTCTTCGCCTCCGTCCATTTGTAGCAACTCGGCGAGCAATTGCTCTTGAGACTTGGTAGAATCTTTCTTGGCAAAAAGATGTGCAGGACCAAGAGCATAAAGATCGCCCTTGATCTCAACGAGACACGCTACCGTTGCATCACCTGAAGGTGGTGTCTGTATATCCTGGATTGATGACATGTGAGCTCCACATAGAGAAAGAGACTGCTCAGGCCCGTTTAAAGAGACAGTGCTGCTGCACCATTTTTTCTTGAACGCAGGGTCATCTCTACCACAATAGTAGAGTGTGAATGCCGGGCCAGATGTAACGCCAGCAGCGTACTGGTTCCTCATATGGCGACTTTGGAATAATTTCTTCACCCGACTGAGTAGCTGTTTTGGGCACTCCACTACGATTGCAGGCTGCGGTGATGCGCCTATGGTGCCACACATGGCGAACTTGGAGGTTACTAGTGGAGCATACTCGGAAAGCCACCTCGTCTTTAAAGTCGGTGTCATCCAATGTTCCTTCGTTTTGTACATGGCATCTCCCAAGCTGTTGAGGACATGCTGAGCAGCATCGTAGTGTTCAGCGCTGGGCGGAAAGTGCTCGTACTCATGCACAGTCGGTTGGAGCTTGCATCCCAACAGTGCTTTGGGGTTTCTCAGCGGATCGGGTGGGGATGTGTTGATAGGTTGAGTGAGGGCCGGGGTAGTGAGCGGGTTCGTCGATGAATGCGCGACCGCATGTGAGGGGCCAGTCCGATTCGCATTCGGGATAGGAGGAGTTCGGGCATTCGGAATGATTGTAGTGTTCGGTGGAGAGGCCCTTTTTTTGTCAGCGAAGCCCGCGTTAGTTTGTGGTAGCATTTACTGAGACTGCCCATGCTGCTGAGGAGCCGACGTAGATGTCGTGGGAGGTGAGCCGGGTTGTAGTGGGGTTAACGTAGCCATGTCTTCCCGTACATGAGCCACAGCGTGAAGCGGCTGTCGGTGTCTTTGCCCCGAATTTTGCGTGACTTGAACAAATTCGCCTGTGGCTCACACAGGGAGTGACACGAAGAAAGGGTTGAAGGAAATAGAAGGCTGTGAATTGAGCGGGTTCAAGGAATACCAAACCAGCGAGTGCAAGCAGAAGAGTGGCGGATATGGGATGGCGCAGCTCGTTGTCGCAACCAACTGCGGCAGCCGGCTCGAGTCCTATGACGTTGGAGGACGACGCGGGGATCACGCATCAGCTGAAGAGGCCGCATGTGGTGGCGCCCACACAGCCACATGGAAAGAAGCCACGGGCCCAAAAGCACAATGAGTTGGCGGGAAGGAGGACCTCAGGCCATAAAAGTTGGCGCTATAAGGTGGATAGCGTTGACGCAGTTTCGTAGGAGCATGCCCAGCTACGATGGCACCGCCAACACAAGCAGAAAAGAAGGACATTGCGCGCAGATTCCTCAGTGATGAGGCTGCGAAGGAACCGGAAAAGCATGAGGTCTTCTTCAAACATTACGAAGCTTCAATCGAAGGATCGACCGGCGGTTACGTGGTAAGAGTTGGGACACCGGTGTATTCCAGTCACGCGGAGGTGATCTCGTTCTTCAATAAGCTTATCGGGAACGTAATGCAGACCAAGGCGGATTTCAGCAGCCTTTTCGCAACAAACGTTGCCGCCGAAGCGCGGGACCACGCGATACAAGCCTTGTTGAAAGCGTCACTGATGATCGACTGCGCCTCCAAGCAAAACTTACCAGAAGGTCGCAGGGTGGGCGATTACGTACCTCGGACATGGAGCGAGAAGCAGTCCTTCGCCAACTTTGTGGAGCGGTGCTTTCCTTCGTCCTCCCAAAGCCGAAAAGTCCGCCAAGAATCTCAGGCCGCACTGGCGCAGCGAGGCAGGCTGAAAGCTTGGAAGTTGAAAGAGAGGTACAAAGTAAGGCTGCGGCCGACCGACAACCTAGCCGAACACCTCGTATTCGATCCAGAGCGTCGTATTCTTCATGTCTTCCGTCAGGTTGGCTTCCTCAAAGCGCATCTTAGCCGATCGCGTGACGAGGATATTGACCTTGGTTTCCGGAAGAGTCTGGAGAAGTAGCTCATCCCCATACATGCATGCTTGATCCCAGATCTCACATTCCACAGGGGAACATTGCCACCACAGCTCCTGCTGGAGGTCCTCGACTCCATACAGTATCTTCTCTTCCCGAACGATGGGAGGTCATTTAAGTCGCTTGATAAATTCACCGAGAAGTACGGTTTCGATCCCAAAGCCACGTACTTCGAGAAACATATTCGTACGTTGCCAGACGAGTTCGAATACAAGTATTTGGGGGATCGCTTGGCGACATTGTTGAGGATAGTGAACCATCCGCCGCCAGCAAACAGCATCGTCGCATGGTTCGAGAGGCACACGTCGGAACGAAATGCCCTGACTGTGGCTATCCTAGGCCTGTTCTTGACAGCCCTACTTGGCTTCCTCAGTGTGTATATCCATGATCTCCCCCATTAGCTGTCGATGGGGTATAGCTGACGTCTACTAGGCCTACTAGTTGGCATTGTCGCTGTAGCCTACAGCATCCTGCAATACAACGTCGCTGTAAAGGCTTTGCAGGCTTCGCCAATTTCATCGTCGACGTAGTTGTCCTGCACATATGTTGTGTAGTTTCATGATCGCATTTCGTGTTATAGAAGCGTTCGCGTTCGGTTGTAGGTTTGGATGGGCAGGAGCGTGTCCGATGACGTAGAGGGAAGCAGCGCGTGTGTTATGACATAACGACTTTGTTGAATCCACAAACACTGATGCTGCGACGTTGTTGTATGAATGCCAGGACCTTTTTGTGAGGTGAAGTTGTTAGGCGCGATGCAGACCCTGGGGACGTTCAGCAAGGGGGAGGCGGGAGGGCTAGCACGCAACCCACGCCGCACGGTACGACCTCGGGAATTCTTCTTTTGTAAGTACCTCTTCCACCCAGTGGAGCTCTCTTCCAATGTAAATCGCTATCTTCTTATCAAAGTTCTACGTGTCGTGCACAAGAATCCCAGACGCACTCGCTCATAGGATGGACTGCTGCTAACACCTCTTACATGTGCTGCACCATTACGTCGAAGCAGACCAACTATGGCCAGCCATCCATGATCGACGAAGCTTTTCTGTCCCGAGTCTTACCTTCTGCTGTATCATCCTACTATCCACTGCTGATTTATTGAGTGAAAGAGGCAGGATATAGACCCTTTATCGTGTATTATACTGTGTTACTACTATTTCGTCGTGGGATCTGCTCCGGCATCGACTCCATTCATCTATTTGGAATCATCCTACTATCTGTGACCACTCTAATGTTGTACCGCGAAGTATCACATTGCGGAACTGTATTTGCGACTAAGTTGTCATTGAATTGAACAAATCGGGATTTCTGTGCAGGGGACTCTATATGCAAGTACGCGAAGGAAAAGATATAAACACAAGGAGACCGCGACTTATGCTTCCCCACTATATGTAGTTCGTCCATGGTATCTTCGATGCCTCCACTTCGTTCTTGTCCTGTCATATCCATACCACAAACGCCCTAAGCCTATGTGAAACTCCATATTGTGAATCTTGAGCCCATCCTACGGGGTCGCCATCCGTGCGGTCGAGTAACCGATATCCATATAAACACCCTTCCATGGTAAATACCCTTGCAACGCCATCGATATGTATGCTCAAACGCCATGCCGTCTGTCAAGCTCAAGGCTGCTCATTGATATGACCATTCGTCGTAGTCATAACAGGAACGTGAACCTTGACTGTAGAAATATGATCCACCTCATCCGTCAATTCCACCTCCGTCGTCTGCCCCTCGGGTATCATCTTGTGTTCCAGCGTCCACCCCGCTCTTCTTGCCAACTCCGCAACCACGACATCGCAGTCGCCAAGCAGGTTGATATCGAAATTGATGTGGTGGATGGGATCGCGCGAGATATAGATCTGCGGTACGTCGCGGGGGAGGAAATTCGGGATTTCGGATACGGGGGCAACTTTCATGGAGGTGCCCATGACGATGACGAGGTCGACCTTGTCTTTATCTACGTCTTTGAGGCGGTCGAAGAAATCGTTGGGCAGGGCTTCGCCGAAGAAGGTGATGTCGGGTTTCATAATGCCGGGCTGCGGGATGTCGAAGGCGCCGTCGGACTCAGAGTCTTCGTCGCTCGATCGCTTCTTGCGGGCGCCGTTGCCGTTGGAGGTTCGCTTGCGCTTCTTGCTGGGCTGCGCGGCGATTTCGTCTTTGCAGCGTTTGCACTCGGCGGGCTTTTGCGCGCGCACACAGCCGAAGATGTCTTCGCCGGGAACCTTGAACTTGCATTTCCGACATGTTGCCGTCGCCCATGAGCCGTGGCACTGGATGAGCTTCTCCTTGCGTATGCCCGCGTGTGCCTCCACATTGTCAATGTTTTGCGTGTAGTTGGTGAGCAGTTTCTCCTTGTCCTGCAGTAGCCGGATGAACTCGTGCGTGGGCGTCCACTTTTCAAGATCGGGTATGATGTCGCCGGCGAGCGCGTAGAAGGTGCGGGGGTTCTCGTCGAAGTTGTGGATGTCAAAGACCTCCTCGGGCTCGTCGTAGCCCATCTCGCGCAGCCGCGAGTAGAAACCCGTGTTCTTGGAGCGAAAGTCGGGTATGCCAAGACTTGTCGATATGCCGGCGCCCGTGATGACCATGATGTTCTTGCGCTCGCGGAGCAGTTTCGCAGCGTCGTCGATGGTCTTGTATTGGGCCAGCCGCGGCCGCTTGTTCAACTCGCGGTTGATGGCCAGTCCCAGCAGCTGGTAGAAGCTCTCGTCGGGCGCTTCTTCGAGAAACTTGGGTATCTTGACGCCAAAGGCAGTGCACAGCTTGCGCGCCGTCATCTTCTCGCTCGTGATGTTCTCCATGACGAATGCGCTCGCGCCAATCTCATGGAGTCGCTGGCGCAAGCGGCGTGCCTCGTCGGCGGTGCACGTGTCTACGCCTATGGGGTGTCAATGGTGGTGGGCGTGCAAGGCGCATACTGGCCAGACTCACCATCGTCCGAGTACTCAAAGGCTTCCACTTCATCTAGAATCTCCTCGTACAGGGAGGCCTGGTCCCACGCGCCGCCATCTTCCTCATCCTGATCGGGCGCAGGCGCGTCCTCGTTCCGGGGCTTGGTTGCGCCTCCCGCTCCGGGGTCAGCCTTGACCGTCGCAGACGGGGGCGGAGCGGGGTGCTGGGCGACGGCGGGTCCCTCGTCGGGATGGGCAGCCATGGTGTTGTCTCCCGCGCTTCTTGCTGTCGGCCAGTGTTACGAGCCTCAGACAAAGCGAAAGGTGGTCCGTCGGGTAAGTTGGAGATACATGACGCTAGGCGATAAGGGGCCGGGCGGAGATGGCCGCATCTGTTTGCTAGTCTGCTATCCTCTCGGACTACTTCGGTGCACATGCACCACGACTTGTCGTCTCCTTCTTCGCCAATCTCAGCATATATCAGTATGCAGTATCGAAAATATGTGCATGAGCTGCACACTGGTACACAGCTGCCCAGGATTCTCGACCAACAGACAAATCACAGCAGCTGCAATGCAGCTTTCTGCATATTTCTCCCCTCGTTGGTGGGAAACTCCGCTGTTCCGCATGCTTCTACTCGTCACTTTTTGACCTTCGTCCTGTATAAGGTTCACGGCCTGTTCTATAACCAAGGTGAAGAGTCTGCTCGTTTCAATTCTGTCGCTCTTTTTCCTGCTCTTCATGGCCTCCATCACTACCGTTGCCCCAGGGCTGGTCCCTTCTTCGCTTCCTGCCACTGGACGGTTGCTGGTTGACGGTCACGAGAATCTTGTACCACCACATACAGTTCTGGCCTCGCCTAAAATTCGTCACCGCGGGGCACTCATGTTACCCAATCCACTTCAACATAGCGACGCCACACCTACACCCTCCCGCCGCAGGCTGAGCAAGCTGGAAACACTGCCCGTCGAGATCGTTGACCAAATCCTGTCCTACCTCATCCACCCGCATTGCCGTTTGCCTGGCCTCACCGAGACTGAGAGCAGATACGATGTTTCAGAGACGCAGAAGCGGAGCATTAAGAACAAAGAAGACCTGACCCAAAGTGCAGACAGTCATCGCTGGGCTGCCGATATCTTCTCTCTCCATGTGCTTCCTCACCCTTTCAATGCCCTGTCGTGCACGTCCAGAAGATGCAACGAATTCGTTGAGGGCTACTGCTCGCATCTCGTTCGACAATGCAACATGTTCAATCTACCATTCGCCCAGTTGGACAGGTACGGTGCTGTCCATCCGGATATGAGCCATATCGTGTATCGAAGACTATGGTTGCAACACGCCCCACGGAGGTGCATCTATTGCTTTGCGGCATTAGACACCTATCCTTTTCCACTCGTCAAGCGTCTCATCACGGCTTGTGAAGGATGCTTCTACCGTCAGACCTTGGTGCGTTCATTCTATTGGCTCTTTCCATCTTTGGTTGCATAAGCTAACAAAGATCTATAGACAGTCGACGAAGTACAGATGCAATACCATATCTCCACAGCCACTGTTCTCGCCTCCCGCCGCATCAGAGGCAATCCCGGCTCAGTATGGGTCTTGCGCGTCGACGTGGAAGCGCTTGCCCTACAACTCTACCGTACTCGAGAGTTCCACAATGCCCGCAAGGAGCAATTCGGCAAACCGTGCTCCATCTGTGCCATCACCAGATTCAGACCGGAGCACCATATCGGCAAGCAGCGGCCAACCCAAAAGACATCTGTTCGCTTAATCGCGAAGAAGCGGCCTACGAGACGTTTGACGCGATCTTCATGAGTAAACGGCAGTCTCACTCGACCGCAACAACAATAAACGCATCCGCTGGAACCGAACCTCTCCTTACAAATACATGTCGCATATCCTTCTAGCACATCTCATGTACCGTACATCCAGATTGCTTTCGACCGTCTGGACCCCAAAATACACAAGGTGGTCGGTATACACCTTGTCCACCATTGCGTACATTGTAGATCTTTTCATCTACAAGTTTCCTATGAGGCCTGCCCAATGCATTCATGGCTCATGTATACCCGGGTTTACTTGTAAAAGACTATGATGTCAAAATTGCATACCATTTCGATACGGTTGTTCCTTAAGCTTCAAGTAGGCATCCTACTAGTTTACGCTTCGATTGCCGCTTTGAATACATTGGCGATTATGCCGTTGTGTAACATGACTACCTGGATCTCATCGTGATGCGTTTGTATCTGAACGACTACGTATGATGCGTGCTCAAGGGCAGGTGCCTTCAGCAGCGCATCCTGCGTTCATGGTCATGCCCGCAACTTATGGAGAACGAGTGTCTCCATACACATCAGCCGCAGAGGCCGGCTATTTAGATTGGAGATACATATTACAATCTAATTAGCCTTCAAAGTTTTGATGATAATATTGGCAAGACTACAAATCGTGGCTCACATGTCAACGCGCCATGCCATGCGTCATAGCACCGCGCAACGCGTCGCAGCCGAAACCCCACGCGACAAAAGTTCGGCCCGCATTCTTCGCGCAGCTCCAACACCACCAACTCTTACCTACACCAACTCCCACCTGCACCAACCCTTCTAGTCCTCCCCACGATGCTCGATATCCACCGCCCCTCCTCCGCACCCGACACGAAAATCTACTTCTCCCACAGCGTCCTCCCCACGTACATCGACCCGCAAAATGTGTCAACAAAAAAGAAGCCGTTCTCCGCCTTCGCCGCGCAAAAATACAGCCACACACTTGACCTCATCCTCCCCGAAGAAATGTACGAGCTTGTAAAGAACGAACTACATCGTGCTGACAGCCCCGCCCGCGCACAATACGCACGCGTCCACATGAAACTGTCCGAAATCCTGGAAGCCGAGTTTCTGGATACGTATGTCAAGCAGGGCAACATCATGATGCTGAGCGAGGGACGGCCGCTGTTGGACGATATATTCGAATTGCATAACGGTGTTTTGCGCATGGAGCTCACGCGACCGACGTACGAGCGCTGCGGACTACAAGGCGTGCCGATGGAAGACGGCGGGCGGAAACACCAGAAACAGCGCTGGGTCGTGGAATACAATCTCCGTGAGCCCAGTATGAAGCATGGGAAGAAAGGGTTTGGACGTCTAGAATGGGCGGCGAGGAATGTTTTGGATAGGAGTTTGACGTGGTTATTCTATAATGCGAGTCTGACGTCGAGGGAGGCGCTGGGCGAGGGACGGGAACTGATTGAGAAGCATGCGCCGAGGGTGTGTGAAATTCTACCTGAAGAGAGGAGGTTGAGTGGGGTGATGGTGCCCCGAGTGTCGATTGCTGGGCTTAAGGATGTTTATAATGAGGAAGAGGCGACGGGGTTACTGGAGTGGATTTACATGCTTCCATTGGGCTCTCCAAGGGTCGAGGCGGGCGATGACATAAACCCGCATTTGTCGCGCTACGAAGTGCCTGATCTGGGGAAGGGTACGGGCGAGAGAAATATGGTTGCGGTCAGGTGGAAGGGGTTTATGGGACCGGCGTTTATGCGCGAGGTTTTTCTTATGGCGAGGAAGGAAGGGTTTAAGAGGAGAGAGAAGAAGGTTAATGGGACGCAAGATATGTATACGGATGTGGATATGGAAGGAGGGGATGGGGTGGAGGATGAAGAGACAGACTGGTTCGCGATGAGTGCACAGGCTTTTGGGGGAAAGAATGCGTGGACGGTGATGCAGTTTGAAGGGCGAGAGACGCTGGTTTGGGAGATAGAGAGCTGAGTTGGGGTGGGGGATGCGATGAACGCAATGCTTTTGAATCAAGAAAGCTATTTCGCTTCGCATACGAAAGTTCTCATTTTGGTCAAGGGCACGAGTACTCATCCCGCATCGCCGTCCATGGGCCCTCAATCGGGAGAGCAGAGCCTCATTCCGAGTACCAACGCTTGGCCTGCATCCTTTAGGGATATCCATTCTCGCCCAGCAATTCCGGGTTCACACGTACCACGCCCTTTGCAACCATCACGCATTCCCTACACGATGGCAGTTCCGAGACCTGTTGGGCCCTGCAGTATGCGGATTCTCTTGGCTTCAAGGGACGGCTGATGCTACCTTTGGTGTGTGTGCTGTGTGTGGTGGGACACAGCGTTGCCGAAAACCATGCGGGGGTCCTGGTGTACGCCTGCGACAGCTTGTGTTCGTGAAAAGCGCAGGTACTGTGGTGGGGTGATGGGATTGAGGATCCAAGGTGTGTGTGGACCGTAGTAGTATGTCTAGATGGTTGTACGGGCTTCTACGAGGTTGAGAAGTGCATCTTAGATTATTGCATCACTGGACCGTTACTTGAGTCCATGAGTATAAGAAGAAATATTTACAGAATCTCAAGGCAATGTAGACTTCTAGGTTCGCTGATGTAGGTGGGTGTTCCATTCTTCCTTGAACGGGGTGCGAGCATACCCTCAACCCAACACAACCTATCGTCCTACCACGCTGCTATCCCGTCTTCGCAACCTTGCCCTCACCCTCCCACTTAACTCAAATATATCCCCCAAACATCCTCTCTCGGCATGTGATAGATACGCCACATACACCCTTTTACCCCTCCACACGCACACACCCACACCCACGATAGCTCACACACTACCCTAGCCGGCGTGGCTTCCACATGGCCGCCCACCTCCTAACTTCCACTTCCATTCCACGTCGCCATCTCCTATCGCGCGGGTAGCCGGTCTCGCAACAAACAAACTTTCCCTAGCCCGCTCCGTCGCACGTGGCTACGGCAATTTAGAGTTCGATACCATCAACGACGCCAAACGCTTGATTCGATAGTCAAGTCGCCCAACGGCGCAATTCTCGGCGCTACATGTAGTTTCGGAATCTTGAATCATGGGAATTTGCAACTAACTAATCAGTAACTGATCTTTCAGAGACGGTGCGGTTGAGGCTCAATGCTGCGTCGTTAGGGTCCAGGTCCGGGTCCGCAAGCCTTGCGGAGGCGCACGGGTGTGCAAGAGTCGCGGAATGTGTGCGGAGTAGTCACCGAAGCGCAGGCTCAGAATGGTGTTCTAGATGGAAATTTGGGAAGCGAATGCGACGGGAGATTGTCATGCTATCGCGGGTGTTAGCACGTGGATAGTCTTAGTTCTTCGGTGTACTTTGGGTCTATGGTTGAGATTGCGATGATGGCAGTTCTGCTATGGGGGTCTAGATTTGGGGGTTGAGCTTGGAGTTCGTGTGATCTGTGGGGGCGCTATGGGGTGATGGAAGTTCGGGAGGGGGGGATGGGTGGTGAGGTGCAGGTGCTAGAGTGTGCGAGATTCTATTAGAGTTGTGACTACGTGCATATGTTTAGTATGGACGGATCGATGATGGCGATGGTGGTACGGAGGTATGAGTAGGTTGAAGCACATGTGCAGGCGCAGAACTCGGTCGAGGTCAAGGGCGCCCCCGCTGTGCCTGGCTATCCGGGGCTCATTGAACTATCGTATTCTGCGGCTGTGAGCGATGTTGCTGAGCCTGCATATTCGTATCAGCATTGCCTTCATTTGAGGACGCCGGGTGGAGCAATAACTATTTGACACGAGAGCCCATTTTCCATTTCAAGAACGAAGAGGCAGCAGTCAGCGTGATACGACTTCGGGGCGATGGTACCGATCGTAAAGTATCGTTGTGGCTTGATGAAGCATTGCAAACCACGGGGGAAGAGTCGGTCAATGTCTTGGACTCAGTGCTGCCTAGACACTCACACTCGTCTTTCAAGAGATTGACGTGATCCGCTGGGTCAGGCCTTGTCGTGTCAGTGGGTAGACATGTAAGCATGCAGTCTGAGTGGCTGATGACTGAACTGGGGTCCAGTGCATGTCTCCACGAGTCAAGCGTGGGAAGCCTTGCTGCGGACCTCAGTCAGCACAGTACCTTGTCGCTATCGACTTCGCAGGTCTAGCAGTGCCAAGCTGGTGAATACGTTACTTCCACAGCCATGGTCAAGCGAAATCAATTACTGAACATACACATGCCGAAGTTTGCTGTCAGTCCCCCACCATGGATGCCTTGATAGTCAACTCCACATACCCACAAAAGCTTTGTCGACTCCACAACTCCACTACCATCGTCATTCGCATTACTCCCCCGATACAGTAAAGCTGATCAACACATCTTGCGAGCACCCGTACTTCACAGCAACTACAGGACTGAGCTTAGCAGACTCCACAGTATGTACCCGTCTTCTCCGACTCCACGTTCACCGGCTCGGAAACTTTCGGCCAGCGTCTTGGCTACCGCACTTGGCTTCGGGAGATATTTTTGACTTTTCGCAGATCCATCGCCGAACGAGAGACGTAGTTTAGGTGATTGAGTCCACTGCTTGAGCAGAAATTGGTTCGTTTCTGTTTTTTCGGTACCGACACGATAGAAGTTTGGTTGATGGACCCTTTGCCACGCGAAGCATACAAAAGCAACTCCCAGTACAAAAAGCTTGGTACAATGAGTAAGCCAGGCAGTTTGCCAGCCTGAAGTTCAAAAAGCACATTCAGCTGTTCCAGAACTAGAAAATGAAGGCGAAAATACGATGCGAGGCCACCCGTTGAACGCCTAGCTGTTCGCCTGAGCCTATCCAATGGGAACGCGACGCAGCAAATACCAAGGCGGTAGTTGGCTACCGTCCTCGTGTTAAGGTTCCAGTTGTCGTTCCGATCCGCACCGCTAGCAATGTGAGGCGTGCTAAAAATACGCCTTTAAGCTTGAAGTCGCAAAATCCACTGCTCCACCATCATACGATATGTGATCGCGAGCTTTGAGCGAGAATGTGGGCATTTCGTATACGGCGGAAACCTTGAAACTGACTACGGGGCGCATCAGTACTGACAACTCACTTGTCATCGGAGGTAAGCTGCTGCGCCCACATGTGAGGTTGCATGGGACGATAGGAGGGAAAGTGAACATGCTGTTGAGACCTGCAGGATCCATGCACGTGCAGGACCTTGTTTTCCGGTAGCGAAAGAAATAATGAAAAATAACCCGTCTGTTATGCTGCAGCCCCAAAGGAAAAGATTAAGCTTTTTTGGCTCTTCTCGGGGATAAACACGAGAAGATACCGTGACATCGCTGTCAGGCTTGACTCACGACACGAGGTTGTATAGCTGAAACCTTTCTTGGCCCTCTGGACGCCGCATCTCGCTGAGACATACGCTCGCTGGGCTTACGCTTGTCGCTCCGGAGGCCAGAATTATGTCATCGGTGAGGCTTACGCCACATCATCCGCCTTGGTCAGTCGCGGAAATGTGACTGTGCGACCTGCGATGAGGGCGGGAAGCAGGAACACGGCAATGCGCTGTCTCAGTCGATGAGCAGTCAGACGGCACGCACTTGCCGTGCATCTACCATCATCGCCATCTATCTGCCACAAACCGCCCTTTCTGTGCCGTCCATCTCTTCTTTGGGGCCAGGCTTCAAAATTCTCTTCTCGCTATCTGCTATGACACGCACACTAGTTCCAGGCGTTCGGACGTCGGAGAGGAGATCCATACCCTGGAGCGATCGAATTAGCGGGCGTATACCCCGCCGAGCCGTCAACGAGGTAGACCCACATGATTCGATGTTTTGCCACGATACGGCGTGAAATGGTGGACACGGCGACACGCTATGCAGCTAGAGGCTTGCACGACCCTTGTGTTCCCACCTCCGGGGCTATTGATGTGGCTTTATGCCGGGACTTTGGTTCGTGTCACGTCGAGAGAAGAGGCGTGCTTGCAGATGTATGGTATTGTGCTGGCCGCAGGTGAGAAAGCCACATGAACAGGGGTTTGCCTGTGCACGAGTCAGCGTGTTAGCGTGTTAGCGCTGGTTCTAGGGCGTAAAGGCGGTTGCCGTGGCGTAGTAAGTTTACTTGGACTTCTACTTTGCGTGCCGGACTTTATTGTTACTTGCATGGTAGGGAGCAAATCCGAGTGTACCGAGGTGAATACTGTGGTGTGACGTGTTAACAGCTCAAGAGACGCGGGTGAGATGACGATGCAAGGCGCTTGTGACTAAGCGGAGGCATCAGTGCTGTGACGATGTTCACACAAACATGGCAATCGCAAGAAGGTTCGAAATATTGATCGTGAAGAGCAGTCGTGAATTCGTCTATCTTGTGCCGTGCACAGTAATTAAATGTAATGCGCGCTCGAAGAACAGCAGAGTAGAAATCAAATAGTGAACGGCCCGAATCTAGCACCAACATAGTCCACTAGATCCACCAGAAATGTCCACCGTGCTTCTTGCAAGCACTTACTGACGAGGTAGGAAGTACCGTCGTTGTCGTAGTCCATACGTGACCGAAAGTAATGACCTCGGTCGTAGTAGTAAAGGCGAGCTTGAACTTGGTCTTAGTGGGAGTCGGTAGCGTGGTGGTCGAGGTGAGGAGCCCGGAAAGAACAGTGGGAGGAGGAAGCGTCTCTGTGGCGGACTCTGTGAGAAGAACACTCTCAGTTGTGGTAATAGCTGGTGCAGTCACAGTAGCAAGTACCGCGACCGGCGTCTCGTAGGTGACAGTCGTCGTGGGAGCATCAGGAGCGCGGCGTTCAATCTGTCCAGCCTTCTCCGCACGTCTCTGCTTTGCGGCCTCGACGCGGGCACGTGCCCATTCGTAGTCGACTTCGCGGTCGCCCTTGCGAACCCAGCGGTGGAACTTGGGGATTGTAGTAGGTGTCTCAATGGCCGCCGCGTGAACTTTGGTGGGCGAGTACTGGCAAGGCTTGTCGGGCTTGTCCACGTGGGCCGGGGTAGTGCACGTGGCTTCGACAGTCTTGGTGGTGACGCCAAAGTGCTTGGTCCAAGAGTGCTTGGTGCGAGTCATGGTCTTTGTAGATGTTGTAGTGACTGCCTTTGGCTTGATTGTCTTGACTTTCTTAGCAGTGCCGCTAGGCATGGTGACAGTCGAGAATGGTCCGGCAGTGACGACATCAGTCGAGGTGGTAGTGACAGTTTGAGTGATAGTAGGTGTCTCGGTCTTGGTGTCTGTAGTTGTTGCAGTGTACGTGCTGGTGACTTTCGTGCCGACAGTCAGGTAGAGATCTAGATTCGTTAGTAAATGGGTTGTTCGTTTGGTGAACACAAGAAGACATACCTCTTTGCCATGCGAAAGGTTGGCCATTCGAGCCGTCCTCGTTGGCTTCATTGTCTCCCAGAACCAGAAGTAGCCAGTGTCCTGAGCTCATTTGGTTCTTCTTGATGGGACAGTCTGCCACTTGATTCACGTCGTCAGGTGTCGTTGGAATTCTGTCACACAAGTATTCTTCCCCACTTGTTTCCTCCACGTCAGGCGCGACAAGCACAACGTCTGCCATGCCATCCGCGTTGCAACCTTTGAAGTATGTTACAGCAGAGAAGTCCTCGGTAGACTCTGAGTCGATGAAGTAGCTTCCTTCATCGATGAAGTCAACACCATAGGCGTAACAGATCCCACCGGAACTCCCAAAGGGGTCATCAGCGTTGACGAGCGTGATGGAGGCAGCAGCCACCGCGAGGAATATAGAACGAGAGTACATGATGATAGCAAGTCAAGCAAAGGACTGAAAGTACAGTTATGATGCGCTGGATGTGATATGCAGAGTCAGTGGGCCATGACCTCTTTTGTACCTGGTATGGTGATCAAGCCCAGCAGGTTCTTCACAAATACGGCTTATCTTTTGCGCACTGAGCTGTGCCCCGACCCCCGAGTAAGCCGACATGGATCGAAGATGCAATGAAAATAGTCATGGCAAGTGCTTGATCTAACAGTGTCAACACGGAAGCGAGCTTGTGACAGACTGGAACAGGTGGGCGGGGCGGGCGGTCAGCAATTCGTAAAGACAGTCAAGCGCAGTTCTGCGCCTCATCAGTACTTAGCCCTCGTAAGGCGTCGCATCGCTCTGCAGAAGGAAGAAAAGTGGTGCTTAGTGTAGGAGGCGAAGGCACCCATGTGTGCGGCCGCTATGGAAAGCCACTGGGATTAGTGCCTGTCCGTGCTGGGATTAGCGCCCATACCCCTGAACCGATCTTAGTGTTCACGTCACTTCACTCGGCCCCAACGTCCGCATATTCTTGCACCGTCTTGCAGCAAACCTGCCCGGTCAGTCGGTCGAACTTACTAATGATAGGCTGGCCAGTCGCTGATCAACCCGCGCTCCTGTTTCCAGCGCGTTTCCAGCAGCCGCGCATGCCGATCCGAGCGTTGGAATTCGCACTTCCTTCTCCCCGTTCGTGTCTATTCGCGGGCGCATGCCATTGTCCGAGATAGTCGCATCCAACGCTATAGTCACAAGCTTTCCTAGCAGCCGCCCTGTCGGCCGTTCATCTGGATGTCTGATCTGGATTTTGGTTGTCCAAGCCACCGAGTAAGTTCGCGGGTCGGAAGGTCATCCCTGGAACCGCATGCCGAGCTACATAGCATGCATGGGAAGCACATCATACTAACTTGCAGCCGGCGAATACTGGAAGTGCCATACCGACCATGCAGACCTCCTAAACGCCATGTAGCTTATGAAGATCCTGATAAGCCTGTGTATGTTGGAGTCGGTCTACGCCACAGCCCAAGGGGGTCTCAGTGTCGATATTGGACGTTCAACGTCAGCAAGCGACCGGAAGGGATACCGCTGTCTTGGATACCTCTGTCAGCCTGACTATAACCTCGGCTGAGGGTACCACCTCGAAGAACCAGTGGATTTGGGATTTGGCTGGTCCCTGCTCAATCATCGTATATGCCGTACGTGGTTATTCTGGTAACAGAGCTCAACATTTGATTCGAACCGTCTAGGTAAGCTTCCTCGGTACCGGATGGGACGGTCGTATTCCCGTCTTCCGATCGCGTGGGTCAGGCCACATGCTACACACGAGTAGCATACGTTCTCGATGCTTTTGTCACGTCGCAAACAGATTCTGCATCAGGCCTAAGGCACATCTTACACAACGTCAGTACCCACATCTGACCACTCAATGTGGGCTCTCGTCTCCGGTGAGCACAGAGTCTGTTCGAATAGCGGCCGTATTCTGTGGAGTACCCGATCTGTAATTCAATAGATCTTGCATCCGACAAGGGTCCAGCACCCTACGCGAGCTTCTAGGATCTTCCACCCAGGAAAACGCTCCAACACGAGTAGCTCGCTCATCACGCACCGTTTTGAGTAAGTTTGGGACTACCACTGACTTAGCGCCAATGTGGTTCGTCTGTACCGGAATCCCAATTAGGAGCTACATCCGTGCACCGTCTGAGATCTTGGCTTCATCGACTTCGCCTCGCTCCTACCCACTCGCCGACATGGACGTAATCGAGCCACTTCCATAGCTGGGCTTCAGCCCATCGGTCGCTGTATCTACCGAGGCAAGACATTTGCCTAATCGGCCCTCATCATCAGCTATCCACAGCCGGGATCGTCCAAGTCTTCCCCGTGTCATAGTACGAAGTGAGCATTTCTAGGGCGCCCTGGCGTCGATCTCACCACCTGGACCACGCGGGTCCAACTGACATGCAGCATTAAGCGAGAAAAAAGTCGGTGTCACGGTAAAGTAGGCGCTGGCTGACTTCGCCATAGGTATGGCCCAGGGCGAAGCTCAGATTTCCGCCACCATTTGATGACTTACACTTTGGGGGCGTCTTTCGGATGTGTCTCATATAAATGGCACCTGTGTTCTGGTCAGCCCCAGCCCTACATTGATTAACTTCAGGAACCATTCCACATTCATTGGCCTGGTCAGCATCTCTTCATATATACCGACCCGGTACCATTCTCTCTTCGCATTGATATATTGCATTCACACCACCATGTTGCTTCCTTCATTAGCCGCATGGCTTTCTTTTGGATCAGTTGCACTCGCTGGTCCACTACGCGCCGAACCGTTGTCCGATGACTTCCCATCGTTTGAGCAGATTGTCAAGAGGCAAGATGGTGCTTGCACCAACACAGCACGAACACGGAGCTGCTGGAGCAATGGCTACAGCATTGCCACTGACTTCGATGCCAAGTCTCCCCCGGACGGCACTGTCGTGACTGTACGTATGTCCAGGAATTTCTGCTCGAATAGTTGCTGACATTTGACAGTACAACTTCGAGATCTCCAATGTTACCAGGGCCAACCCCGATGGAAGTGGTACTTCCAAGGAGATGATGCTCATCAACGGCCAATATCCTGGACCACTCGTGCGAGCAAAGTGGGGTGACACAGTCATCATCAACGTCAAGAACAGCCTCGCTCACAACGGAACCGGTATCCACTGGCACGGTATTAGACAGCTGAACTCCTGCCAGGACGACGGCGTCCCAGGAATCACCGAATGCCCGATCGCTCCTGGAAGAACCCGCCAGTACAAGTTTAGGGCCACTCAGTTCGGCACAACATGGTACCACTCTCACTTCTCAGCCCAATATGGTGATGGTGTTGTCGGTACCATGATCATCGATGGGCCAGCTACTGCCAACTATGACGTCGACCTCGGTACTCTCCCCATCACTGACTGGTACTATGTACCCGCTTTTACATTGAACGAAGTCGCCCAGCACTCTCAGCGTGGACCCCCCTCGCCCGACAACATTCTCGTCAACGGCACCCACATCAACGCCGCAAACGACAACGGGCAGTACGCCAGGATCAACGTAGTAAAAGGAAAGAAGTACCGCATCCGCCTCATCAACACCGCGGTAGACAGCACCTTCAGCGTCTCCATGGACGGCCACCCTTTCACAGTCCTCACCTCCGACTTCGTGCCCATCAAGTCCTACGTCACCGACCAATTGACCCTGCAGATCGGTCAACGGTACGACGTAGTCATCACCGCCAACCAAACCGTAGACAACTACTGGTTCCGCGTCGTGACCGGCAGCTGTGGCAGCAACAAGATCGCCTCAGCCGGCAAACCCGTCGGCGCCATCCTGCACTACGACGGCGCATCCAGCACCGCAAACCCCACCTTCAAGTCCTCCGTCACAATGCGCACAGGCTGCGACGACGAGTCCTCCACGAACCTCATCCCCTTCGTCCCCAACACTGTCCCTACATCCGTAATGGGCGAAGTGCAAAACCACAAAATGAGCGTAGACTCCTTTGCCGACCCTGCGAAGAACAACCTTTTCCGGTGGTTAATCGACGGCACACCGCACATTGTCGACTGGAACAATCCTTCGCTTGAGACCGTACTAGGAGGCTCCCGCTCCATCGGTCCAAATGGAAATGTGTACACCATGGATAAAGAAGGTTGGTACATGTGGTACATCCAATCGACCTCCAAGATCGCCCTTCCCCACCCTATTCATCTCCACGGCCACGACTACTACATCGTCGGTCGCGGCGCAGGTACCTGGGATGGATCCACCAACGGTCTTAACTTCAACAATCCTACTCGTCGTGACACTGCTTTGTTGCCCGCCGGCGGCTACATGCTCATTGCTTTCCCCGCTGATAACCCCGGCATGTGGATTATGCATTGGTAAGTCCTGACTGTACGAAGTGCATGTGAGACATATACTGACTTTGTACCTCTAGTCACATTGCCTGGCATGCTAGCCAGGGACTCAGCCTTCAGTTTATGGAGCGCATGAGTGAGATCCAGGGCACGTTGGGCGATACGAGTGTGCTGAAGCAGGGGTGTGATGAGTGGGATTCTTATTGGGCGGAGGGGAGCGCGCCGGATGAGGATAGGCCGTATAACCAGACTGATTCTGGTATTTAAATGGGTTTTCTTTGGGGTTATGGGGTAATGTCTTGTTGCATGGCGTTTTCTGGTTGGGCTAGAGGGCTTCATAAGAGACTGGCTCCGCATCGGCGTTCTTTGTATATACTGTATCTCACACTATTATTCATTCATGTGTTCACACCCATGTCGTCTTCTTTGCGCGATGAATACGTTCTGGCCTACAACTCATCTTTCTCTTCGTGCGTCGTCACCTTTGTTCGTGCTTGTTCGATAAGTCCCTTCCGTACCATACTCGTGAGCACCTCGTACGCGACTTGTGCAGCTGCCATTCCTGTCGTCTCTGCTGCGCCATCGTACGCCGGACTGACTTCAACGATATCGGCACCGATAACATTCATGCCTTCGATACCTCTCAATATTCGAATGAGCTCACGCGTAGTCCAGCCGCCTGGTTCGGGCGTTCCCGTGCCTGGTGCGAGTCCAGGGTCAATCACATCGATGTCGATGCTAAGATAGACAGGCATCTCTGTTCCCACGCGATTCATGATCGAGGTAATGACACCCTTTACTCCAATCTCATCGATATCGTCTGTCGCGATACGTATCCAGCCTTGCTGCGAGTCGTCGGTATAGTCCTCTGGCTCGTCGCCCGACAGTCTCGTCCTCAGTCCCGCGTGTACACTCGAGTCGTTTGCGATCAGACCTTCTGTCGCTGCGATCCAAAACATGCTGCCATGATTGAAGAACGACTGCGTAGAAGGATCTTCTTGGTCAATCCAAGCGGACGGGTACTTCGCCGGATGCCAGGTATCCAGGTGGGCGTCAAAGTGTACCACGGCAATTGGCTGCCCATATACATCTTTCAAGGCCCTCAAAGCCGGAAGTGCAATGCTGTGATCTCCGCCAAGAGTCAACAGCTTTGGCTTCTTGAGATACTGCACCCCGCTCTCGGTGCTCTTCTCCGTCGCAGGTCTTTTCCCAAGCTCGAGAAAGGCCTCGCTCATTTGTTTCAACGCCAACGTGTTATCGAAGGGCGTGATCGGTATGTCTCCGCAGTCTACGATCTTCGCCCATGACGTGTACGGGTTGAGGTTGGCTCGGGGGTTGAAGCCACGGAAGGAGGTCTGACGGCTTGAGCCGGCGCGGATTGCACGGGGTCCGAATCGAGCACCGGGTCGGTAGGAGACGGCAGTGTCGAAAGGCGCGCCGAGGATGGCGATGTCGTATGTCGTCTCTGGGTGAGTCAGGCAGCGCGTATGCGGTAGGTGAGCGAAGGTTGAGATGCCAGAAAAGCCCCACTATGCACTTGTCAGCTAATAATCAGATGGTACTGGAATTATACTCACGTCTGTACCCCACTTCCTCTCCAACTCATCTAGTCGGTCTTGAGAGAAAGCTTGCTGGTCTTCGACATGATGAGTTGCGTGTGAAGAGACGCAAGCCGCACTTGCGATAACAGCTACCCAATTCCACCGCATGATGCCCGTATTGTCAGATTGTAAGAGTTGCAGAGACAAAGCCTCGAGCTGAAGTACATGTGGGCGGCGTGTAGGGCGGACAATTATGTAAATCGCGTCTTATCGTGTGTCGATGTCATCCCGATCCCGCGACCGGCGTTGCGGGGCATCCCAGAAAGGCAAGTCCATCCTAGCGTACGCGGGGAGGACAAGAGTAAGTCAGCATTGCGTTCGGTATGTTCTGGAAAAGCCATATCGATGGGTGTCATGAGGAAGATGAGACCAGAGATGAGACGGAACACGAGTCGTGACGTAGTGGGCTTATCCCGTGAGAACGCGTCTTGCGCTAAACCTGGATCCGCGACGCGCGACCTCAGGGTGCTCGAGCTCAACCACGACTGTAACTTCCTCGATTGACGTATTGCGCATCGTTTTTGAGCTCTTCCCAATCCTAATTACTACATCTACGAAGCAATCCAAAGTCTTGCGCAAGATTCAGCGTCATGCCTGAGGTCAGGACGCGTCCATTTCGCACGCGCATGAAAGTTGCTGATATCGCGTAGATCGCAGAAGTTGCGCGCATTGTCGGCTTCCTGAAGAAACATGCCGTTGGTAAGACGATCAAAAATGTCATGGCACAGGACGATAATGTTCGTTTTCACTTCTTCCTGATAGAACGTCGACTCACAATACCCAGATCGTCTTTGGAAAGGTCGGAACGTCAGCATCCGCCTTCCAGGAGGCTTTGACCGGCAAGAAAATAGTAGACGCACGACAGCAGGGCAAATACTTCTGGCTGGTCATGGACTCGCCGCCACATCCTTTGATGCACTTTGGAATGGCAGGCTGGATGGTTCGTGACTTCCGTACAGACTGCATATGAGACATGTGCTGACTTTGAGCGCCCGACGCAGAAATTCAGCAATGATGATTCAGCACATTATCGTCCGGCGAAACCTGAAGAGGCAGAATGGCCACCCAAGTACTGGAAGTTCATCCTGCAGTTGAAAGACTCCGAGAACGAGGTCGCGTTGGTAGACGCAAGACGGCTTGCTCGTGTGAGATTGGTAGACGCCGCTGCCGAGGACATGAGAAAGACTACACCACTGAAAGAGAACGGGCCGGATCCTGTCATCGACAAGGACATCTTGACAGTGGACTGGCTCAGCAAGAAGCTACGCAGCAAGAAGGTGCCTGTGAAAGCATTGCTCCTTGACCAAGCAAACGTGTCCGGCATAGGAAACTGGGTTGGTGACGAGGTTATGTATCAGGCTCGTCTCCATCCCGAGCAGTACAGCAATACCTTTAGCGATGAGCAGATAAAGCGACTGCACGATGCCATCATGTACGTCTGCGACACCGCCGTGGAAGCCAACGGAGACTCGGATGCTTTCCCCAAAGATTGGTTGATGAAACATCGTTGGGGCAAGGGCAAGAAGGAAGCCCAGAAGCTGCCCACCGGCGAAAAGATTACGTTCCTCAAGGTTGGTGGGCGGACTTCGGCTATCGTACCGAGTGTCCAGAAAAAGACGGCAGCTGTTGCTGGTGATGTGTCGGAGGGCGCAGACGAGGACGATGCAGAGGAAGATGCGAAACCTAAGAAGGCCGGCAAAAAGAAGGCCAAGGCTGTCAAGGAAGAGGAAGAGGGGGTGGGAGAAGACGCAGAAGAGGACTCGAAGCCGAAGAAGGGTAGCAAGAGAAAGGCTGAGGCTGTCAAAGAAGAGGAAGATGTCGATGAGGCTGAAGAGGAGGCACCAGTCAAGCCAAAGCGAGAACGCAAGAATGCGAAGGAGATCAAGGCAGAGGTCAAAGAGGAGGATGCTGATGCTACGGAGGAGAAGCTCCCAGTAAGAGCAAAGCGCGGCAGCAAGAAAGCAAAAGTAGAAGTGGAAGAAGCCGAGGAAAAAGAGGCGGTTGAAGCTGAAGACAGGCAGCCGGTCAAGAAACGCAAGACTACTGCGAACGGCACTGCAAAGCAGAAGAAGGCTACCGCTACTAAAGAAGAGGTCAAAGGCGACGATGGGACGGCAAAAAGGCGATCAGGACGTCTGTCGAAGTAACGCGCTATTGTACAGCGCGTAGGACTAGAAATAACTGTATTCTGATGTTTTTGTAGGATATAGTGTATGTTCATAGTTGGTTCAATTGAGCGAAGATGTTTGACGATAGTATAAGGCGGGGTGTAGAGCGCACGTGCGTGACGAAGTCGAGGTGCGGGCGCTGTGGTCATAGCACTCGAACATTGGAAATTCAAGCTCCCCACACACACACGTAGTAGTGCCACATTGAGACTACCAGCCACCGATACCGCGGCTGCTTGTTCCACACTCGTTGTCGCGATGTTCTACTGCACCTACTAAATCATCTCCCACTCAACCTAATCCTCTTCGGTCCCGTTGCACGTGCGTCGACTTTTCGATTCCGATCGCAACTTGTTCGTAGCCGGAACCTCGTTGACGCTCCGCGCCTGCCAGACACACGACTGCCGCGATGCCACAACCACTGCCCAGCAAGGAGGCGACGCTCTTCCGCTCGCTCGTCAAATTCTACGAGGGCAAGCTGTACAAGAAGGGTAGGCGCCAATTGGACGTGGACGACGACGAGCACGACCGCTGACCCCGCCAGGCCTCAAAGCTGCCGAGCAGATCTTGAAGAAATACCCCACCCATGGCGACACCCAGGCCATGAAGGCCCTGATTCTCAACTCTCAGGGCCAGGGCGACGAGGCCTTTGCCCTCTGCAAAGAAGCCCTCCGCAACGACATGAAGTCGCACATCTGCTGGCACGTCTACGGCCTGTTATGGCGATCGGTCAAGAACTACCCCGAAGCAATCAAGTCGTACAAGATGGCTCTGCGCATAGAACCGGGCTCGCTCAACATCCTCCGCGACCTCGCCCTTCTCCAATGCCAAGTCCGCGACTACGATGGATACATTGAGAGCCGGCGGAAGATGATGCAGGAGCGACCACAACTGCGCCAGAACTGGACGGCATTGGCAGTAGCTTACCATCTGTCAGGCAACTACGCTGAGGCCGAGAACATCCTCAAGACGTACGAAGAGACCCTCAAACAGCCTCCCTCCAAGTCAGACCTCGAACACTCCGAAGCGACCCTGTACAAGAACATGGTAATATACGAGTCGGGCGACGTGGAACGTGCGCTGAATCACTTGGATGAGGTGGTGCGCGTCAGTCTGGATCGCACCGCTGCGTTGGAACTAAGGGCGAAATATCTCCTTGAGTTGGGACAGAAAGAGGAGGCTGAGAAGGCGTACAGGATTCTTCTGAGCAGGAACAGCGAGTACCGCGCATACTTCGACGGCTTGGAGAAGGCCCTTGGCCTGGACCGGTCCAACGACGCCGATATCGAGAAGCTGAACGAGCTGTACCAGTCTTTCGCCAGCAAGAATCAGCGCAACGATGCTGCGAGGCGGATACCGTTGGACTTCCTTCAAGGCGAGGCTTTCAAGACACAGGCGGATGCGTACCTCCGGGGTAAGCTGAACAAGGGCGTGCCCTCGACCTTCCCCAACATCAAGTCGCTTTACCGAGACGAGGAGAAGAAGGCAGTCATCGAAGAGCTTGTGCTTGGCTATGCTTCCAGTAAAGCGACGAGCAACGGAGACAACTCCGACCGTTTCGACGAGGCTGTGCTATACTTCCTGGCCCAGCATTACAACTACGTCCAAAGTCGCGACCTGGAGAAGGCCATGGAGTACATAGACAAGTTGCTTGAAAAGGACCCCAAATCAGTCGACTACAACCAGACAAAGGCGCGGATTTACAAGCACATGGGCGACGTCCAAAAGGCCGCGGAAATCCTCGACCAAGCGCGAGAGCTGGAGAAGGGGGACCGATACATCAACACCAAGTGCGCTAAATACCAATTACGGAACAACGAGAACGAGACCGCGCTCAACACTATGAGTAAATTCACTCGCAACGAGACTGTGGGCGGACCTCTTGGCGATCTTCACGATATGCAGTGTATGTGGTATCTGCTTGAAGACGGCGAGGCATACTTGCGACAAGAGAAGCTCGGTCTCGCTCTCAAACGCTTCACCGCCATTGCAGATATCTTTGATGTGTGGCATGAGGACCAGTTCGACTTCCACAGCTTCTCATTACGAAAGGGCCAGATCCGCGCTTACATCGACATGGTCAGATGGGAAGACCACCTCCGCGACCATCCTTTCTTCACTAGGGCGGCCACTCAGGCAGTCGAACTATACGTACGGCTAGCGGACAACCCTAAGCTATCGAGCTCGGACGAGCTTGATCTGGAAAACCTAGACCCGACCGAGCGCAAGAAGGCGGAAAAGAAGGCTAAGAAGGAGAGGGAGAAGGCCGAGAAGGCCGAGGCCGAGCGCAAAGCTGCTGCTGCCGCGAAAGCGACTGCCAAGGGCGATGATGGCGAGACAAAGAAGGAAGACCAAGATCCAAATGGTGAGAAGTTGCTTCGGACAAAGCAGCCTCTTGAGGACGCACTGCGGTTCTTGCAGCCTATGCTTGAGCTTGCTCCCAAGAACATTGAAGCTCAGAGCGTAGGTTTCGAGGTCTACCTCCGACGAAGTAAGTCGCTCCGCGACATTTCTATGCGATATGTGTGCTAACAGTCCTCCAGACAAATACCTGCTCGCCCTAAAATGTCTGCAGGCTGCACGGGAGATCGACCCAGAGAACCCCAAGCTGCACGAGCAGAGTGTTCGCTTCCGCCAAGCTAGTAAGTTAACCCGGAATGCCTCGTCATACTCATCGCTAACTTTTCAGTCGCCAAACCCGCTGAGCCCCTCTCATCTCAGGCCTCGGAGGTCATCAAGGAGTCTTTCACCACACCGCCTGCCGATGCCGACCTCAAAGCCTTTAACGATGACTTCTTGAAGAAGCACTCGCAGAGCGCATCCCATCTGCAATCCGGATACAACGTCCGGTATATACTCGACAACAACTCGAAATCCCAGAACGAGCAAGATCTACAGAAGACTTTGGAACTGTCGAATATTACGATAGAAGAAGCTCAAGCCGGACTCGCGCTACTCACGCAGTGGAAGAGCGAACAGAAGGTTAAGGACGACTACAGGGCGAAGGCCGCAGGTCGTTGGGTCTCCGCCACCGTATTCAAGAACTAAGAATTTCCCTTGGGTCACACGGAACACTTTTGAGTTGAACGACAGTATACGTGGCTATGAGTTTATGTACTACATCTAGTCCCAGCTTAGGTAGATGACGCGCAGCATATGCATTTGCACGGTGTCTGAAGCGCTACAACAAAAGCAATGAATAGAATTAGTAGAATGACTTGTACATTGTGAGCAGAGATAAAATCCAGAACATGTCTTTGCCTCCAGCCGACGATCGACAAGACATCAAAGTGTTGCGTCACACGCCAGAAGATCTGGAACGTGGTTGTTTCCGAATGTTCCATCGACCAATCACAGCTCGCGCAGTACGAAAACTGCCCTTTGTGGCTAGCGTCAGGTCCGGTGTGGGGAAGTGTCACAGCCGCACCTTACGAAACAATCGATCTTGCATTCGATGTCACCTGCACGCTTCAACAGCGTTCTGTATATCGTGTCAGTAGTTTTGCTGCCGTATCTGCGACCTCAACGTGTCGTGGAATCACTTCGAACTACAGCGGCTTACTGAGAAGGCGCATCTTCTTCTAACTCTTTACGCCACCATATACGCCATATAGCTACTGGCTGGCGCTGTCACAAGACATGGCTACGAGACGATCGCACAACAAGACGAGGTTAGGATGCAAGGAGTGTAAGCGAAGGCGCATTAAGGTGAGTTGTTCGTACAAGTCACTTATTGGTCCTTCATGCATTCGGGTCTGGTAATGCCCGATCTGGTGCATCTCGATCACGTTACTTACTCAGCGCCACCGCGGGGCCGAGGACTTTCATCTGAGAACTGCGTCGATGTGCATCTAGCTCAGGTAATGCCATGACCCACTGAACATTTTGTTGGGTTGTGGTAACTTATGACCCAAGAAGCTCCGATACCCTCGCCTACTTAGGATGCCACGGAATCACTGCAAACCAGATCAATTGCTAGGTATTCGGTCTTCTATGATGCTAATTTGAAGTTCAGTGCGACTGCAAGCACCCGTCGTGTGCAAATTGCGACAAGAAAGGCGACACATGCAGCTTTCTCATGCTGGCTCCTTCGTCACGCCTCTCGACAACTTCGACTTCACCCACGTCAACACAACAACACATGATATCACCATCACCCACACCAAAAACACCAGAAACTCAAAACACACTAGCGTATTCGCCGACCAACCTGATCGCATTCAGCAACGAAGTAGCCCTCGCAACGCAGACGCCACGCCAAACCGAGGTCTTTCTCGACGACATACCATTAGACTTCTCAAAAAGTTTAGCAGTATCACCTTCTCAAGGGGAATATCAAGCAGGATACTTCCCCGAGCTCACCATACCGCCTTACCTCCGCTTAGACGATGCCTGGAAAAACATCCGAGAGCTTCTCCCACCATCACTACAAGAAGTTCTATGTCATTACGAATTCACAACGTCCCTCACACTCGCGAACGATGACCCCGCAAAAGCAGCCTGGCAAACCTACGTCCCTGAGATGGCGCAAAATCACGACTTCTTAACGAACTGCGTACTTTCCGTCGCCTCGTTACATCTCGGCCGACTTTACGATCGCAAAGAGGATAAGAGGAGGATGAACGCGTTAGCAGCGGCGCGCATGAATAAAGCTCTTGTGAGATATAGAACGGAGCTTGAAAACATAACGCAAGAGAACGCAGCAGCACTCTTTGCGAGTTCGACATTCACAGCTGTATATCTCTTCCGCACCTCCGCAATTGACATTGAGAACCTAATCGCTTCAATACCACCCGATACCACCATCCCACCACCAGACATAGCCGGCAAAATGCTCTCCTGCGCCCTCCGCACCATCTGGGGCCTCCGCGGCCCCCTCACCGTCCTGCTCTCAGGCTGGAACTGGGTAGTAGGAAGTAATCTCTATCCCGTCACAGCCCGAGAATGGTGGCCGCGAACCACTACTCCCGCGACACCGCGTGCTCTTAACGAAGACGCCCGTCTCGCCGCCATAGAAAAGTTATGGAATCAAGAAAGCGAAACGGGTCTAAAGACACAGCACCGCGAATACCTCTCAGAAGCACTCCTCTACCTCCGCCAAAGCTTCAACCTAATAAGCCAACTCACACTACCTGAGCGCTACCCCCCCATGACCGCAGTCCCCTACTCCATCGACGACACAACCATCTCCACGCTCACAGACCGCGGCGCAATTTTCGTGTGGGCGACACGAATCCCCCGCGAGTTCCTCGCTTTGGTCGAAGCCAAGAATACACACGCTCTGGTTATCCTGGCGCACTATGCTGTGTTGCCTGGCCGAGTGCGGAATGTGTGGTGGCTTGAGGGGCTGGGCGCGGATATCGTGATAGCGGTTGCGATGGTACTGGGACGGGAGAAGTGGGGGTTGATTGAGTGGCCCGCGAGGGTTGTGGGGTTGGAACTGGAGAGTGGGGCTATGGGGAGGAGGAGGGATCGGTTGGAGGGGGGGACGTGGGAGATGTGTATGGATGTTATATAGGTTGGTGGGTTCATGGGGTCCGGGTTGGATGTGAGTGTGAGGGATTTTGTATAGCATCTTGGAGCGAGGTTATAGATGGAGTGGCATGAATTTCGTTGAAGTATCTTATCTGTATATCATTGTCTCTAGAAAGCTGTTAGAATACGGTTCACACATCCGTGGACACGCTGAGACGAGTCATTTTGAGTATCAAGTAAAAACAGAGTGAGCGCATATAACAAACACGCTACGTAGGTGTTTTCATGTCAAGCTCTTGTAATGTAAGCTGCTGTATCTGAGTGAATATACGGACATGGATACCATCTACCATATTGAAGTCTGTACCATAACGAAGAATACCCAGGGGAGAAAGACGACACGACACGCAAACATATGCCTCCCTCGCCCTCACATCAAAAGCCCATATACTGCAAACGGAACAAGACCCGAGTAACACGTTACACGAAACCCATCTTCGAAACGAGATTCATGCAATACCGCACCAGCATCCATTCCTTCTAGATTGCAACATGCCTTATTTTCAATACAGAGACGTTTATCTTTCTCTCTCTACTGTCACTGTGGCGTACATCCCCCACCCGCCCGAGGCACGGCGTAAACACCACCAACCACCAACTTCTGACTTCGCGTTCGAGAAAAGCGCCAGCATGTTTGTCTGAACGTGACTACTGCACGAAACAAACGCCGCCCTGGACCCAACACTCCGGCCAGCCAGGTATATGTACATACATATGCAAACTCCCACGCTGCACGCTCTCACGGCGTAAACAAGGCGCAACGAATCGACCTCGCCGTCTCTTCAGCCCCAAGAGCCAGGGGCTGGGGCAATGGGCACATGTACGTGCGAACTTCGCCGTCCACGCCATCCATCTACCCGCAACCTATCCCCGACCAATCGCGCCAACTCCCACCCTCGTATTCAAACGCAGGTGCAAATGCCCACGAAGACCGTGTATGCGGCCAGGAAAGCGGGCAGTCTGACGAACAGGAGAGCGGGCGAGTGCAAGCCCCCAACTCACGCGGACGGACTTGATCGTGTAGGCAGGCTGAGAATCAGATGCGCGATCGAGATCTCGGTCTTGTGAGCGCCACAATGCACAAAAGGTTTGAGGTTTGCGAAGAAGAAGAAGGCAGAAAGAATCTAGACGCCAGGACACGAGTTGGTGGGAGGTGTGGTGCGTGAATGAGGCGCTGGGGCTATATGTCAGGTGTATCGATACCGTAGCGACTTATCACGTTGATGGTATGCTGTGTTGTGCCATGGGCCAGGTCCACGCCCACGCTGTGCATTTCGCGTTCGTTGAATTATACGACGACGTAGGCGTGGGGCGTGTGCATGGCAATATCTCCCCATCCTTCCTTCCTTTCTGCCTTGAGACGAGACGAAACGAAACGGAGAGGTTCCATCACGCCACGCCACGCAGCTTGAAAGCAGGTTGGCGGGGACGGCTAAAGTGGTAGATCGCGACGTTATTCGTTGAAAGATCCCGGTCGGCGGCCCGGCGTCGTAACGTTGACCGGTAGATCTGTGGCACAGCTTCCCATTTACGCATATGCATCTCGGCTGCATCATTGATTCACTGCCTGTCGCACACGTCGCAAATACAAGTGGAAGGGCAGAATCGGGCGTTAGGCCATGAGGGGTATATTATGCGGTCGCTAAAGGGTATACAGATTGTTGGATATTGGAAATGTGTTTGATGTGCGGCAAATGCCGTCGACGCGCACCAACCTTCTAGAAATGCGAAGACGAGAAGCGTGGAACGAGGGGTTGCGAGTGCATCACGCACCGAAACCTAGGCCATGGACAGTCTCGTCGTCTCCTAGTGCAAGCCGCACTTCGTCTTCACCAACGCCAAGCCGGACACGGCCTACTCGCTCGCCGTGTCGGGCCTCTACGCCTATAATGCCTGCTTCTGCGAGCTCGGTGGCTGCGAGTGCGAGGCCAAGTACTCTTGCTGCCTTGTTGTTCGTTTCCTTCAAGCCAAGATTAGTAGCAACGTCTCTATGCTTCGACGGCGTAGAAAGCTGCGTTGCTGCGCCATTCATCATTTCGCTTCTGTCGTCCTTCTCAGGGGCGAGAATGTAATCGTGCACAGGCAGTAACTGACTCATGAGCCCCAACCGTTTGGCTTCATCGACAACGTCTCCAAGGATCGCTTCGCCAATGCCCGACCTGCGGATCCTTGCCAAGAGGGCCGCAAGGAACACTTTGGACGCCAACGGTAGAGCCCGCAGTGCCTGTTGCAGGGGGCTACTCGTAGCCTCGTTGATTGCCTGTTTGATCGTCGCCATAGTAACTATACCTTTCCGCTCCGCCCGATCTTTGGACCGATGATCCGGATCACCGGTACCTTTATTTGACCGAGAGTCTTGGAGCTGCTTTGCTTTGTTACCCCGACCGGTCCTACTCGGGGTACCTGGCTGCGCCTCATCGTCCCGGTCCTGCGATATCGTTTCCGCTTCGGCGATTTCCACGGCTCGTCTGCAGATGTCTAACGCGCGTCGCGCATCACCGCTGACAGCTGCTACCTTGCGTGCAGCAAACTGAACGGCGTCAGGGTGCACAATATTGCCAGGTACACCTTCGAGCCGGGACTGAATAATTTGCATCAGTTGGTCATGTGTATAGCCTGGGAAAGTGATGCGCGTTAAGCCTAGAATATGCGTGTTAGCCTCTTGCCAGGAGAATAACGGACGTACCCGGCGATATAAGTCGCACCGATAACATCAAATTGATACGCAGATCGTTGGGAGACGTCGCCGTCTCCGTCTGATATTGTAGCATATTGAAGAAGGGACCAAAACGCCAAACGCGTGGGGCGCGTTCCTGAAGGATCGTTATGCTAGCTGGGACATACCTAAGCGACTGCTGATCTTATTGCTCAACGTTCTTTCTGGCAGATCCATAGTGTTCGCTACGGCGAGGACAATTAACCTGCTGTGCCGCAGGCCAGGCCAGTTGAAGAAGTTGTACATGACAGACTGGTTTTTGGTGACCAGCTGGTCGAGCTCGTCCATGAGGACCACGCAGGGAACCCTGCGCGGGCTGGGAGTGGAGAATTCACGTTCCAGTAGCTCCAGTGCATGTGACGGACTCACCCGGTCGCCGCGTAGTGCCTGCCAGAGCAGCGAGTATGATTGGTGGGGATCTGTGACCTTCATGCCATTGATCTCAACAAATATGAAATCATCCAACTCTTCGGCTTGCACGGAGGCTTGCAGTTGGGCGACAACCTCTCGCACAGTTGCCGTTTTGCCTGTGCCAGGTGTGCCCGAGATGTAGATGCATGAGCCCGAGCCGTCCGTAATGGCCGCGTCCAAATGACTATAGACGGTGGAGAACTCTTCCTCTCGACAGGGGAGTGCGGCAGGTACCGAGGAAACATGGAGTTGATTCCGCGCGATCTGGAATGGTGAGTTTAGGGCCGAAGGGTCAAGTACACGCGTGCCAAGCGGTGTGAACTCCAATTGCTTCTTGATGACTATCCTTTTGTGTGTTGGAGTAAGGAATTTGCGTGCAGCCGGGCTTTTCCTAGTCGATGTGGGGGTAGTCGCTTCATTAATTTTCCGGCGCTTCCGTGGAGTCTTTGGTAAGTCATCATCGTCCGAGTCAGGGATCACGAACTGGTCCAAGTCGGGCTGCTGTTGTTTCTTAGGACGACCGGCAGTTCTCCTAGTCGCCTTTGTCTGAGCCTCCACAAGATCGACCAGCGATCGGATGTCCTTGGCATCGCTGTATACGTCTTCCCACTTGAATTCTGGTGTATATGTGGTCGTGCGCGTGTTGCAGCCTCTCCGGCAAACGAAGACCTTGCCATGGTCTTTCGAGGTCTTCTTGACGCCTGCCGGATACAGTTCCTGGAACCGTTCCAAAGAGAATACCTTGGCGGTGCCGTTGATCGAGGCTAGCGGGTTGTCGTCGAATGCGGCAGATATGTAGAGTTCGTTCTATTGAATGTCAGGGTGCATAATTTCGCAAAAGGCCGAGGGACTTACGGGAACAAAATCGGAGCGCTTTTTACTCTGGTTGCGAATTTCCTTCTCAGAGGAGAACCAGAGAAACTTGGCCATCTTCTCGTCCTCGTCCGGGTCCTCGTGGAAGTCGCAGATGATGCCGACCCATGCCTGGTTGCCCTCTGCCTTGAGTAGCACGGCATCTCCCACTTTGCACTTGAAGCTGCCCATGCGCGCACCGACTATGCGCTTTCCTAGCGGTGTGGGTGCAGCCTTTCTCTTTCTTGGCGAGGCAGTCTTCTCAGGCGGCGCTTCGTCGATGCCATTGTCGTCGTAGATCCATTCCCAGGGGTGGTCTTCGTAGCCAAGCTCGTCGTCGGAGTCTTCGCGGAATACTGCGCCGCCCGCGAGATATTGTCGTGCCTTGTCTACACGGGAGCGCTTGATGGGAGCCATGTAGAGAGGTAGTGGTGGTCGCAATTGGGTTCTTGTCGCTGACGTTGGCCACGCGGGAGTGGAAAGCACGACGCGTCGCGACAGGCTTGGCGGAGCACGCGCGGAAGGGGCTATGATCTCACCGCTCGGGTCACTTTCTTCGCGCAGTCACGACATGCGAACCATCACCACTGCACAAGTCATGCACATGTCAAGGCAATCGCACCATCTCACAGTCACGCGAGTATCAAAATAATGTAGAGTGGATAAGGATATTCATTGCTGTATGATCCAACCACAGGCTCGCACTGGCACTGGGGCTACGTATCATGGTGAGCTTCATCCCAGTCATGATAGGACAGTCTCTGTGAAGAGATGGGGAAACGCCAAACTCCAAATCTCCTTGGTCAAACGAGGGACCTTTGCTAACACGACCAATCGCTGAAATGCAAAACAAGAAACTATAAACACAGAAGAAAGAGACAGCGTCTCGAGAGAAGAGAAATCATAGCCCGCGCACTACCGCCGCCTTCTCACATGGTGTAGAGAAGCGGCAGCGGAGGTGTTCGGGGCATGGAGTTGGGCGTCGTCGGGTAGTCGAAAGACAGCGTCTTCTACAGGCGGCTGTCAGCGGTTGCTCGTCGAGGCAGCAGCAGCGAGTGCAAGAGTTGGACGTTCAAGCGTAGTAGGGCTGGCGAGTGGAGAGCCTTACTGAATCTGCGTACGCATGTGGTGGTTGAATCTCGTTTCCGCAAATGGCCGCGTAGCCGACACCGAAAGGGCTCATTTCTTCGTCGCCATAGTACTCGTTCTTCATGCTGGGTACCAGGCTGGGCAGGCCAGTGGAGTAGGAGGACGAGTGGGGTGGCGGTAAGTAGGTGTAGCTTGGCATCTCCGGTGTGAGGGTGGTGGGTATTGTGTGGTAGGGCGAGGTGGAGTAGGGCATTGAGTAGGCGACTGCATCTGGCGCTGGGTAGGCGGACGAATATGACGCTACGGAGAAGGGAGGTGGGCTGGTGGAAAGCTGGCGCGTGTACTGATGCGAGAACATGCCCCGATCCTCGGCAGGCGGGGTGGTGTAGGAGGATTCCGAAGACGACGGAGAGGGAAACTCCTGGCGCGGGGATCGCTGTGGTGGCTGCAGCTCGGCAGGCTTCTGCTCAGGTGAAGCTGAGCTCGAGGCAGCACGACGCTCCTGCAACGCGATTAGTATGCCGTTCCGAGCAGTACGAGGTAGGGCAGCACAAGAACTTACAAGGTCTTCGAGCCTCTTCTTGAGCTTCTTGCGGTAGTTGCGCTGGGCAATGCGGTTCTGTATCCGCCTGCGTTCAGCGAGATCTGAAATCTTGGTCCAGTCCTCGTTGGGGTTGGCCGAAGCAGAGAAGGCTGAGGAGGTGCCCGAGTATCGTGTGGTAGTGGGCGCCGGGGTGGCATATGGGTAGGCAGCGTGTCTGTGCATGGTGATGTTGGATGTGGGGAGCATTTGCAGGTGAAGGGATGAGGATGCAAGGAGAAGCAGTGGAGCGGGATGTCTTGTTATCAGTGGGATGGAGAGAGGCTCAGTCTGGCACTCGGGGATGACAGTATATTTATCTCGCCGTCCATGTTGCGTCCGCAGTCGTTCTTGTGGAGCACAGACTGGCTAGTGTTGGTCCCCAGCTTCAGGCCTCTCGCATGCACCCTGGGCTACGCGATGGCCGCTTGAGCATTTCTCAATTTGGTACGATTTGGAGCAACCCTGGCCGGTGTACTTTGACCGACTGCGGTCTTGTAAATTTAGTATGGGCGCTAGCGCAGCATGGCAGCGGGCCAGTGAGGGACGGGCAGACAGGCAGCTGAGGGCACGGAAGCGTCGGGCGTGCGTGTATTGAAACCAAAGCTCCCTAGCGGAGAGCGGTGTCGTCGTCCCATGTCGTCGCGGCGGTTCCCTGTCGCGTCCCCACCAACCCTGCTACCCTGGCACCTGGCGCAGTGCACATCACAGACAGCCCTATGACCCTGGGGCCTGTCGGGGCGTCACTGAACCTCGCGGCGCCGGGTCTGTCATTATCTCCGTCCCTGCGTGCTGCGTGCGTATGCCCTCCCGCATGCGTCGACTTGTTGCGAGCCCTCGATATCATCACGCGTCCGCTCGGCTCTCGCCCAGCCCGTCCCCCTCCACAGCACCGCGTGCCCGACGCAGCAGTAGGAACATGCCGCCCGCACAAGGGGGCCAAAAGGCGAGCGACGACAAACGCAGACGTCTTGCTGTCTGCAGTCGTGGGTAAATTGCGCCTTGACCGGCTCACACCAGATCATCACACTCGTCCAGCCCCCGCCGCCATTGGCTGCTGCCCGCTGTCTAGTCGTGCATGCGCAACCTCTCGACGGCATGCCACACCGCGACACTCGACGTCGCCGTTTACTGGCACTCCGACCCCTCCGATGCTGCCCTGCTGCTCCCGACGTCGACTCCGGCCCTCCGCCGTTGTGCGTGGGAATCAGGAAGCCTGCTGGATGAGGACCATATCCTGCATCCAGCTAGCACTCGAGCAGCAACCCAGCCGTCGATGCATTTAGTCTGCTTTGTCACGCCGTGCCTAAGTAAAGTGCGCTGCCGCAACAGCGCCACCACTCAACGAGCCCCAAAGGCCCCTTCAAACGAGCGTCGCATTCCACCAGCCCTACGCATTGTCCCATGTTCTTCCGCAGCCGCATCAGCACCTTACTGCAGTGTCGGTGAGTTCTGAGCCAAAAGGCGCATAGCGGCAGTCAGCCCAAAGCTTAGCCATGCCATGTTTCCACCAACAACGTGGGAGAAGCCAATCATCATGGGAAATGTGCCATCTGGAAACACTACCAGACACGCCCTGAACCCGTTTGCTGTTGGCAGAATGCTCTGCTAGCGTCGTGTTGCCGTTATTGCAACGGCACGCCCTACGCCTGGTGGTCGAGCCTCCTCGGCTTCACGCCTTCTGTAGCTGCGCCTTCACTGAGCCTCCTATATGACACGTCCCAGAATATCTTCCATCAGCTAAGGTACAGTTTCAAGAGCGCTTCCTTTTCCCCATGACCATGGAGTCGTCCCTGAATCTTGACAATTGCCTGGTAGTACCGCCTCGTACTACTCGGCATCTGCTGCCACTCCCTCATCAATCACTGCTATATATGGCCTGGACGAGCCTCCTGCAGAGTCTATGTCGTCCAATTATACGTGGCGGCTGCAGAGAATCCACCGGCTGTTTCAAGGCCTAGTGGCGCGTTAGCTGCTCAGATCTAAAGGTACACCGTCCCGTTGATCCTAGAGCCTGCGGTTGGTAAACCGCGACTATCTTCATCTTTCACTGGAAGCAGTCCGAACAAGCTACATGGCTTGGTACTGTCAGTGGCACTATCACCGCATGAAGCATCGAGATTGCGGGGGCCGATTGACGGCGATAGGAGCAGCGAACCGTGTGCAAGTTGGTGATCTAGGACTGAGACACAGACGCGTTGGCATGCTCGCACTACCCATCGAAGAGGGAAAAGGGCAGATCGCTATGCCACGTGTGCCGAGACCTCGACCTCAGCTATCGACTATCGCAACTCAGCTGCTCTCTCAGAGTCACCCGATTCGACGTCGGGTTTCCTTTTGTGGGGGCCTCAAGTCTGTCTAGACGTTTGTGGAGCTCTTCGCCTCAGACATTACAGCTCATGTCCCCTCGCCTGAGAGACATTCCCCACTTTGCTATCTGAATACAACTACAAGACTCAATTAAGAGCGTCCAGATAATGGCAAGGGGTATGCTTGTCGACAATGCCACACCAGCTGTAACTGTGTAACGTGGCTTAGGAGACAATGGCATTGTCTATTCTGCTCTCTCATTGGAGATGTCTCAATGAGCTAGATGATCCCTTGTCGACTTTGCGGCGCAAGTTGGTGGGATATGCAGGTGGTACCTTTTACCCCGACCCCGCGTCAGCAACTCGAACCCAGAAGGCAGGCTAACGGGGTCGTTGGCGGCTGCAGTCATCTACCTACCGCAAGACTTGGGCTGAACAAGCTTCTGCGGCATATATCAAAGTCCCACGGCCATGGCATCAGGAGACTCTGCTGTCCTATAGGCCCTTCTTGATGTCCATCAATGTCCCGACAACTCTTGTTCATTAGTCCGTTGCTTCAAGTAGGAAATAACTGTGGCCAAGAAGAAAGTTTTGAGTAGCTGAATCCTTCTGTTGCGGTATCAGGCATAGTGACACGTTTGCTCCGGAATATGTCCTTGCCCAGCATGGCTGAGTTACGCCTGGTTGGCGGAGATCGTCGAACACGAATCAGTGTTTCGCAGTCTAGCGAGCGTCAAAAAAAGCTAGCCAGGCATTCATTACGCGACATCTTCTTTTGACCTCATCTACCGAGGTGGCCTGTCACTATAGCGCAGAGTCAAATGTTCCACACCGTTTGGAGCACCGCTATGTTGCGGTGACAGAGCTCACCGCAGAGATGCCCACAAACACCTGAATTGCGCAGTGCTTCGCCAAGTTCGCGATCGGTCCGCGGTGGCTGAAATATACACAACCTATGCGGATGTCGGGAGTCGTGTAAAAGCGACACAGAAGGTGAGGTTGTTCCGACGGTGAGTCTGTAAGGCGGGAGGATCCATATGTTTCTGAGAGCGGCTAGCGGCAGTCGGGGGTCCCTGCCACCGGTTCTTGTCGCGCGCTGTGAGTGGCTGGATTATTACCAGCACGAATGAACTTCCCCTCCGGGAAGCTGGGCGACCGTTCCTTCGGGCGTTCCGTGCAAATCTCACCGCTGTACGCGATACATACTGGAGAGAGGGACGTTGCGAGAGGTCATGTGATCCCGTTCAGCCCTTATCACTGGGTTCACTATCAACATGCTTTGAATCCTTGGTGCATTACCGTCATCGGCCGGGTGTATGCCCAAGAGGGGTATGGAGTTAGTCGTGCTACGACGACCGCGAGATCGCCTACATGAGCACAATGTGCCATACCAAAACTCACTAACCAGTCAATTGCAGTACACGCGCTTGCTTCTATTCTTCCACCTTCGCATTGTCTAGTGACGGTGTTCGAGAGGCAGCCGCCGTGCTAATGCCGTTTCCTTCCATTTTTATCGTCAAAAGCAAATGCGACCTTGGAAGCGACTAACGCGCTAATTCATCGCAAGAGGAAACAGCCTATATTTAGCGGCCGCTGTGCCAAGTCGAGCCATCTTTCTGACGATACCACCCTCCTTCGCAGCCCTACAGCCCTACGGCGCACACAAGTCAGCATCTGAAACACCATCATTGGTCCAGCAACGATGCGACACAGGTACCCCTCCTCGTGTCCCCACTGTCATTCATTTGGTCGTGCGCTGTAGCACCCGAACGAAGACCTGTGATAACTGCCGTTCATCTAGTACACCGAAACTTGGTGAGGGGTTTTCTGTATACATCTGTATATGGGACCACCTCGTACAGTATTGAGCTCACCGGTTGCAGGGCGTAACCGATAGCAAGGAACGACCAGCGTGGTGGGAAAGCCTGCCGCCGCTCTTTCTACATGTCGCTGAATGTTCTGAACATCATTTCCATATATGCCCACGGACAAGAACACGGATACCGCATTTGTCGCGTTTTGCGCAGAATCGAGCGTGTTCGCTTAGAGGGTTCATGTATACCCAAGCGCCCGTTATTATCCAGCGCCCGTTCACCAATAACGATTGGTCGCCTTGCACACAGACGGTGTCGCCAGCGCGGTGCCTCCGCATGGGGCGTCAGACCTCGTGGCAGACTGGCAATAGAAGGTCTCGGCCTTTGAGCTTTTGTAAAGCAACGCGTGCAATCACAACCCGCGCTCGCTTCCGTCATCATGCAGCTCAAGGCAGACACATTTCCCACGCCTAGAGAGTGGAGGGTCGCTATCAGCCGCAGGATGCAGTCTCAGGTTGGTGGTCGAAACGAACAGTCATTCGGAGACTAGTGTCATCTCGACACTTTTCGACTCATTTTTACAACAGTAGCGCTTCCAGCGCCAGAGAACTGTGAAGCGACGCTTGATGGCGTTCCTGTGCCAAGAAGGAGGCTTGCCTTTCCTGACCGTTCAGCCGTTCTCGCGGGAACGGTAAGATCCCTGAAAGAATCCTTCGACGTTCCTGTTCAGGCCCGTATTGCGAGTCGATCTTCGAAGCGCTCGGGCGTAACTACTGTGCCGCAGGCAAAATCAAACTAAATATCAAGAGCAAGATTAGCACAATGCGCACGACTCATTGTATTTCTGGCTCGAACGCATTTGCTACATCATTCAGCACACAACTCTTGGAAGCGCGACTTGTTGAAGGCATGCGTTTTCTGTGTAAACGCAAGATCGAACATACCGACGAATAAAATTGCTCGCTACGAGGTGGCTTGCGTCTGCGGTGGAAACATTTCCATTTCGAGCGAGTATGCCGTGGTGCTGAACATGCACAGAGGCCGTCCTATCATGACCACGCGGACATCCGCTTCTCGAACGGCCTGCAAGTACACCATCATCGGACTTTAGCAATACTGCAACAGACCCAACCCAGAGGCCTCTCTAGGAGAACGAGTCAGAGACGCATAATATCGAATGCTGTGTTCTCCACTAGATAGGTCCAGAATGCTGATTCATATATAATGTGGACGAACGCATCAAGATCGCCTTGAATGACTCCTCTTTCGAAGTAGCGACCTAGGTATCATTGTGCATCAGGATGCGCGGACTCGGAGTTTGAACGCAAAGCCGACCCGAATGTGCCGTGCCGTTCGACATGCTTCAAACAGGTAAAGGGCGCGACAGAATACAATTGGACGCCACTCAAAGCCTATAGGTAACAGAGCGATTTAGTAAGTACCTGACTCCATTACTCAGCCCGTGCTGCATCGAAGGGGGTTGCTGCTTGCTTCTGTAGTACTTCTGGAACCCACATGGTGGGAACAGTGATAGGGCTGAAGAGGACAGCTGACTGAACGAGGCTGGACTTCTTGCGTGACAACAAAGCAGTAAGACGTGAGAGATAGTGATAGAAAAGTTGCTCTGCGTCGCTGCTGCATACACATCAGTCATCAAGCACACCCTCTTCCTTCGCGACAAACATCATGAATCCGTTGTCTTTTCGCAACGCCTTCCATTACACGGCGAACTTCGAATGCACATGCGGTGCGCAAGCATACGTATCTTGTGAGTGCAGGACGCTGTACAGCAATTTCCCATGCATTACACACGCGAAAGCCAGATTAGGTCACCGCTGCCACGTTAAGTCCGCACCGCGATCGGTCAGTCCTTGGACCTCCGCCTTCGTCCGTTGAAGCATCGCGATATTGATTTGGAAGCCAAAGGGCGCGCAGCCGTACAACCCTGCACCGTCGATCTTTTGCGCAACTACCTGTTATCCACGACATGCAGGGTGACTGCAAAAAATGCGGGTATTCGAAAAGCGTGAACACACGCAAGGATAGTTTCCATTCTGTTTTCTTGCATCAACTACTGCTTCTAGCAAGTCAGCGAATACGCCTACGCCGTCGGACACTAGAACCTCGCCGATCTCTGAATAATCATCATCCCACCTACCCCGCGGTCCCCCAGACGGCATCTTACAGCCCCGAACCATTGAATCATCCGGTGCTTGTCACCCGCTTGAGCCATAAACAGACTCGCTCTTCCTTGAATTGATATTCCATCCTCCATTAGCAGTCCTTCAATCAAGCCAATTCTTCAGCTACCGGTCAGGCTGCCTACCGATGCAACCCTACCTACGCGTCTGCGGCGTAACCATGTTGATATGAGCCAACCGAAATAACTTTGAGAGCGCAGCCAACTAGACTGCTCGTACGCAGCGAATTTACTTTGCAAGCGTGAGGAGCAGCAGGGCGAGAGATGTGACGCAAGTAGGTCTCAAGCAATCCTACGTGCGACAGCAACTTACCTGATGCGGAACCATGTTGCGAAGCCTGCGCCTCGTGGGATTCAGCCTCTAGTGGGGCTGCGCGACTCTGCCAGTGACGCAGTCCACACCATGGATAACTCGAATTTGAAATGATACAAAGAGTCTCCACATGCACTACAACTGCACATCTGGGAGTAGTTCAAGAAGCATGCGGATCACTCGGTACGCAAACCGCGCCACGACGCCTCACTACATCTTCGATGGAGCGCAATTCGCTGCTCGGCATACCGGATGCGATCTAGTAATCCCACGATAACAAGCGGGCACTCGGTGACCGGTTTTTCGTCACGTGCAGAGCGCGAGATGGCCACGGCACGGAGCGGACTCCGGGGCGGCTGAGTGGATGGCACCATGAGAGGCTGGTGTGAAACGGACAGTGGCACAAGCATCCTTCACGGGTTCAACCGTGTCTCGTCTGTTGCTCTTGTCTGCGATGCTATTCCGGGACCCATACCAGCAGGCAGCCATCCGGCAAGGCCACCAGCTACGCCTGAGCCTTTTGCATACGATAATTACAAGCGCAGAGTTTGTGTCGCCCCGTCACGCTCTGCGACACGTATTGTTGTTCGCAAAACATACCTTCAGGTTGGCCGTTGAAACGTCCGCGCCACCTAGTCGCGTACAGGGCAGGCGTCGCACTGTCTCGCATACCATACTCGGGTTCGTGCACCGCCCACGAGGATCGTTACGAAAGGTATGCCTCCCCTCAACCTTTGTCAGCAAGCGCATGGCTCGCTTGACGTGACTGTCCCGCAGAAACTGTCTAATACTAGAGCTTTGACACCTGGGCAGGATGTTTTAGCGCCGGTAACTATCGCAAGCCGCTAAGCACTTTGTCCATCCTTTGGGCGGTCCCCAACGGTCGTTCTGTCGGTAATAACGCCCTTTCAACTCCACCGCCGTTGATCTTGGATTCGAGCGATTAAGTTTGATTTGCGAATCGAATATCGTACAACGCTCCGTAGCGTTGACACAGACCCCGATGCCGAAGAATTCCAAGGACCATCGACAAGACAGCCCCCAACTAGTACCTGTCGATTCAGCCTTGCATTCAATTCGCACACTAGTTGCCCATAGGATTTCACATGTAAACGAACCAACGAATAACGTTCCATTAGCGGCAAAGAGGCGAGTACGAAGCCGCCTAAACGCTTTCAGGATAATGCAGAGAAGAAGGATTGGCCGCAACGCTTTCCTAAAGAGGTAAAGTTTCAAAATTCCCGTGCGAGCCCGAAGCAAAGGGTCTCGGCGATTTGTGACACCTCTCGCACTTTGCTGCTGCCCGGAGGACGGGTTGAGACGGTCTTTTACATCCGAGCACGAGACGGTTTCTCCGTCACACTGTATTCGCAGCGGAAGTATAGGGTTCCAGGAGCATGATCCTTCCTGTGAAGGGGCCATGCATGTAGAGGATTTGCAATCAAATCAAATCACGTCATATCTTGCTCACGTTACTGTCCTGCGGACAGTTGTATCTGATACCCCGGATTTCCCACGTTGTATATGTCAGCACTCAAATCTCCAGGGTCAACTCCACCGGCGGTTGCTCGCGCAAGGGCTTACTGATCTGACAACCGTTCGCGCGCTGTAGGGCTGAAGGAGAATTTGCCTCCACGCGGGATGTAAGAAGTAGGCGTCTGACATGTATTCCACACCGTCTTCGTCGCATCCATCCTCATGCTGCTACACCGTCATCTCGAAAGCAGAAAGAAGACGCGTCAAATCGCGTCATGAGCGCCCTCTCCTCGCCCGTCCGGTGCGGCGGCGGAAGCCTCGGAAACCCGTGCCCACGATGCCATCCTTGTCCAGACCTTCAGATTGACAAAGGCGCACGCGGCCAAACTGCCAACCCCCCTGCCCCAGCTTCCGCGAACCCCCTATAGCACAGGAAACCTGACGATGCTATACCACCTATCATCAAGTCGGCCCAATACAAAAACCCGAATCCCGCCATCCTACCAATCCGTACAGTATTGCGAAGCGGAACAAAGGAATCCGTGTACCAGTATTCCCGTTTTCTGGTAAATGAGGTGTATCCGTCCAACGATGCGTCCAGCCCGATGAAAGCGAAGATCCATGTGCCGTTGCCCTACGGCGTCCGGCATTTTCCATTCGACAGGTATACGTGCGCATCACTTCCACGATCATGTTGGTGAGTCGAGTCAGGGACTTGAGGAAGGAGAGCAGACCAGGACAGAACCAGATCCTAGCCACGGTCACCCATGCATCGCGATATTCGCCCCGAATACACAGTTCTCGCACCGATTAATTCACCACCAAGCACCAACTGCCAACGTAGTCCTACGCACACCGTTCAGACAGTCCGGCAGATGATAGTTGGTCCTTTGGCTTTTTTTCCACACCGGACGCGTCACAGGTTGAGTACCGAGCGCTGCTGGGCGGCTAGGTCGATCACACGCCCAGTGCGTCTCAAGTGATGTTTCTTGTCTGCCTACCTAAGATGGGAATAGAACCGTTGGGCTGAATTCGTGATTATAATTCAAACTCAGATTTGGTTTCGATGACAGCGGGCGATCGTAGGGCTGAAAATGAGGGACTCTTTGCCATGGCGATCGGTATTGCGCGCCCTGCTCCTTCGTGTGGGGGCTGGGCGCTGGAAAGGGGGTGGGGAGCAAGCGAACCGACCAACTGGAGAGTTTCTGGGGGAGATTTGTGGTGTTTTTGGATAGATTCGGAGACTTTACCTTACTGTTGGTAAATTGGCAGGTGCGTGGTAGTTATGAGTTTTGGGTGCTAGCTTTACGACACCGTCTGTATGCGGTTGTCGCGCGAAGATCTGTGTGTATTATAGTTTTGTTGGAGGTGAGTTGGGGTAACGCATCGCATCGTTGTTTTGGGTCAAATGGGGAAAGGCGCGCTTTAACGGCGATTGAAGGTTTGATCGAATCCAGGTTGACGTTTTCGCTTGTCGGCTCGCTTCAGTTGTCCCCTTCGTTTACCCTGGGACGACTGATCACAATCGCGTCTTGCTGAATCATGCTTCACTTCTTCTAACGTTGTTCGCGGATGCATCGCATAGTCTGCATGCTCTAGAGCGTGGTTTTAAGGGTAATTGCGATGCGTTGGTCAAGTGCGACTCGTGCAATTGGAACACGCCAGAGCTACCCAACGCCCAACGTCGCCTCACAGCTTGAGAGCAAACTATCGAAGGTTACAACCTAGATTTCCGCTCCGGTAAATCTACCGACAGTCTACTGCTTCCATCTCTTCTCTGACAGGCGATCCATCATGTAGGCCAAGGTAATTCCTGGCTGCCCACTTGCTTGTTTCGGGTTGGCAGTCAAGTCGGACTGCTAGACGCTTTACCTCGATGCTTGTGTATGTTAAGGCATCCCGGGAACCACAACAGGTGGCGCATTTAGGTCTCAGAGACACGTAGAACGTAATCAGCACCAGGAGGACCCCTCTACGAAGCCCCAACCAAATTCACTTTCCATCTCAACAGTACAACAAGCCATCTTCACGGTCCAAGCATACACCTAATCAATTTCCTAATCTTCCGTTCTTTCTAATATAATGAAGCGAACCGACTACCGCACCTCAGACCACAGACCAAATCTCCGGACTCAACCCTCTTCTCGGGACGCACGCAACAATGCGCGCAGACTCAAACCCCATGTCGCTTGATTGGCTCAATGAACTACCCTTTTAACCAACACATTAACCAACATTTTGTTCCACGTGTTTTCACCCGGAACCTGGAACATGACGAATGCCGTGGGCGGAAACATCAACGTCCGTCCGTGGACCCTTACGCCCCAGCGCTTATGCAGCCACAATGGGCTAGCTGCGCCTTGGATGTAGTGTACATGTGTATTTTATTCGAACATAATGAGCCCCATGGTACAGCTAGGCAGTGCAGAAACAGTCCAGGCATTGCATGTCGAGAGGGCGACGATGATTGATGCCAGGTGGGGGCGGGGTCTTGTCGCTCAAATGTGGATCGAAGAAATGTATTGAGCAATCAACACACTTACGTGGATGATGGCCAACTGGGATGCCGGCGGCGGCTGTACTTGAGAACATGGGTTTCCTTAGAGGCCTGAATCAGTTACCAGCATCGTCGCACCTCATACAAAGAAGAGACTGAACAGGTCTGCGGCCTACATCAAGATGAAAACATGCAAAGTAGATGACCCAACATCAATGTAGGCTCTAGGAAGCAGTGTGTTCATGGCATAGCACTCAGTAGGAATGGCTTATAGAACATACGACGCATTTGGTGTGAGGTCAGCTAGAGTTCACACACTATGACAATCGTACCCTCTTCTCTACTACAGCCTCCCAATCCTTTTTCGTGAAAGGCAGATACCGATCACTGCCCTCCGGCAGCCAGTACAACCTATCCTCCCCAGTGATCTTATCCGGATCAACTCCTTCCTTCTTCAACCTCCCCTTTTGTATCTTCAAAGTGCCCGTATACTCTAATGCAGGCGTCACCCTTAGAAATAGCGGCACTGCATAAGACGGCAGGACTGCTTTCGCATGCTTTGCCAGAGCTGCAAAGTCGAATGTTGCCTCTGTGACTCCATCTGCCATGACGATGGATGCAGTGCCCGCTCGGCCGTCGTAACCAGGCACAAGGACGCCGTATGCGTTTGTTTCAGCGATCTGTGGGAACTTGCCGAGCATGTCGGCTACTTCGTTTGTGGATACGTTTTCAGACTTCCAACGGAATGTGTCACCGAGACGGTCGACGAAGAAGACGCGGCCGTCGGCGTCTTGTCGCATCATGTCGCCTGATTTGAACCATCTGCTATCGTCAGCTTGCAGTCAACGAGCTTGGATGGGTGACTTACATATCGCCCTTCTGGAACACATCCCTGATCCTCCTATTCTCCGTGGCACCTTCATTCTTGTAGTAGCCTGGTGCAGTAGCCACCGTCTCGGGAGTTAATCTGTGCAGCACCTGGCCCGGCTCGTTCACTCCACATCTGATCGCAAAGCCGTTTGCATCTCTCATAATCTCTTCGGTATCGACATCCATCTTCACTCTCACTTCTTGGTCGCTGAACCGCCAATTCCAAATCAGCCCTCGTAGGCCTATGCTGTTTGCCGTAAAGGGACCAGCGTTACGATTGAAAGTCGCCCCCAGTCCATCGGTAGCCGCATATAGTTCGTTGATGATGGGTATGTTGAAACGTTCGCGGAAGGGTTCCCATACATCAGGGCGCATACCGTTGCCCCATGCCATCTGCACCTTGTGTCTCCGTTCGTACGTATTCGGTGCGCCGTTGAGTAGATATCTGCAGAGTTCGCCGACATATTGAATGATGTCCGCATTTGAAGCTGCGACCTCGGGCCAGAAGGTCTTGTGCGAAAATCTCCGGCTCAATACAACTGTACCGCCAGCATGAACTATCGGTGTAACGCAAAGGCCATGCGCAGCTCCGTGGTAGAGTGGCATGCATGTATACATTCTGGATTCCGGTTTCAGTTCGAGGTATCTGGCGGCGCTGTAGCCAGTCAAGAGCTCGCGGCCAGTGCTCAAAGTCACGGCTTTGGGCAGTCCGGTCGTTCCAGAAGTATACATCAGCGAGCGGAGGGACTCTATAGTAACGTGGTCGCGGCGTGAGTCTGGTATGGGTGTCGATTTTGGTAGCGACGCGAAGAAGGAGGGATCATAGTAGTGAATCTTGACGCCTGTCTCTTCAAGGTCCGTACGGCATGGCTCGACATTGCTCTTGACATGGGCGTCTGCGATGAGGAATCTGGAGTTGCATAACTATTTCAAAAGTCAGTCAGAGTCTATGTGCTCAGTTCCAGGAACACTTGCCCTCGCGCAATGTACCAAACCCGTACCGGTGAGGTTCCAGTTGACGAAGCTCGGAACAGCCCCAATCCCATCCAAAGCAAACCACAGCATCAGATACTCTGGACTATTCCCGCCATCCATAGCAACCACTTCGTCAGCTTGTATGCCCAGGTCTTCTACCAACCAATTTCCCACACTCGTGAACGCATCGAAGAACTCCTTGTACGACCACGTTTTGCCTTCGAAGATGAGGAACGGATGGTTTGGTTGTTTGCGGACCTGGTCTTCGAAGACGTGGTACGTGAGGGTGCGTTTTTGAATTGCGCGATCGGTCATGAAGTCGACGACATCTTGTGTCGGCGAGAGACCACCGCGGGCATGCTTGAGGTCGTGGGCAATGTGGTGTTTCGCGTTGAGGTAGGCTGCGAGGGCTGCTGTGCCTGCTACTCCGGCGATAACAGGTACTTGAAGGTGTCAGCATCTGAGAATGCCCTGAAAGAGTGGAGGTAGAAGCTTACACGCCATGATAATGAATGCTTTCCACCCGCTGTTCTATTCCAGATGCATACGCAACATGCACAATTTCGAATCCGTCTTCTCAACTTCAATCAGCCGAAAGTATTAGAGACGATGCGCGAGGTTACGTAGAAAGATCCATCGCTAAAGCTGCCTTACACAGGAGTCGGGGCAAGCTACGTGCACCGAGGTTGTTATTGTCGTGGAGACGCGACTCAGGGTCCGTCAACTTCCCCGCATTTTACCTTATTTCCGATACGCCCGCTGTAGGCAACTGATCATTCATTTCATCACTACGCAGTTACTTTAGCGTCTACATCGATATCAGCTTCTTTGTCAAAAGATGTTCCAATAGTCGCGATGTCTTTATTTTGGCCAGACCTGAGCTTTGTACGAAAACTCTATAGAAGTAGACTCATAGGCGGCAATTAAGATCCACAATGTCGCAGTTGCTAACAACACTCAAGGTCGACTTCGTGGAGTTCGCCAGCGCGGCAGAAGTTCTCCATGGCTATAAACATGCTACGGGCGTTCGGCCACGCCGGGGTCGGTTCTCGTACCCCAATGTGAATCCTAGACGGACAGTGGTTCCTCGCCCGAACCCATAGACCAACGCTCCACTATCGCCCTTCTTGCTGAAGGGGTCGATCTGGCTCGTCCAATCGACGACACTGACCCACTGGTGTGCCTCGTGGATCTTAAAACGTCGAGCGATAAGCCGCCAAGGGTGTCGAGACTCATCTCGTTCAATGGCGAAATGACTGTGGTTCGTTCGGTCAGCTCGTACCAGGCTCGAAGTAGGCCGTACCAAATATGGCGGAAGTGACCAACCGTTAGGTCAGTCGTGGCTCCATCCTTGTACAGCCAGATGTCGTTTCCCTTGGTCATCAAGGCCCACAATGCCACGCCACGGTTGACATCATTTCCCGTGATGTCTAGATCGATTGCTAGGTCCACGTCCTGGCTCGGGGCCGTGGTGTAGTAATTCAGGTCAAGCCGCGGCATGACGGCATCAATGTTCTTCTCGTCCTCTTTTTCACCTTGAGGAGACCGCATTCTTTTGCGATCTCGTTGTGGTCATCTGGGTACATACATGGAAGTTGGGTGCCGTGGACGGTCTTGTTGTCTCTTCGATTCATGATCTTGAAGATTTCTCCAGGCCCGCCGTTGATTACATGTCCTGCGGTTACCGCATACAAATCCTGTCCAGGCATCATGAACGCGCCCATCATCCCCAAACAGGGAGGTTAGGGAATTAGGTATGGGTAGAGTTCGTGTCGCATTATGCGGTTGCTGCATACACACTAGTACATTTAAGGAAGTAGGCAGTATGGAAGGTGATGTACACTTCTGCTCATGGTCAACATGGTACGCAAACCCGCCGCCTCATCGAAGAACAATCGACCGTGGCTCTGGATAATCCTCTGCTTCCGGGTACCACTCTTTCGACTGCTACCATAATGTTAGCGATCTCATCGTTTACCCTTCTGCCGCCGTCTCTGTACTTACTTCCGTCGTCACCTTTAGTTTCACTCTCTTGATTACCACCAGTCCAACCCTCACATACTCGCCCAGCTCTCTATCCGTACAAACAATCGCCAAACCCAAAGCCGGCGCAACGATCAGAACCTCGCAAGTACTATATGCTTCAACATCGAAAAGAACACGCGCATCATGGTAGCTTTGATTGCGCATGCACACACTGCACGACCGATACGGCTGTTTCCCTGCCGCCGCATACCCAATCGCAATAACATCCGTAACCGGCCCTCTAATCCTCGCCCACCCATCTCTTAATTCGCCAAGCGGATTCAACCCTTTAGGCACGACTTTGCATTCTTCCAGCGTGGCACACAACTCTCTCAGCGAGTTATTCATACCAATAGTAATATCACCCAACCCGTAATCCACAGGTCCCTCCCCGGACATAAACGACCAAGACGGCGCCGTCCAAATTTCAGATCGTTTGAAAGGCGCAACATCATGTCTAGGTACCCACAGGAGCCACTTGGCGAAATTCCGTTTCCACAGTCCCGCGGCGCAGATGTCGCCAGTCATGCGCTGTAAGACGTTCATAACGCCTGAGATGGCAGGGAATTTGTCTTTGGGGTAGGTTATCCCACGGGAGGTGTAGTCACGGACGAGTTGGAACCATGCGTCTTGGCCGATGGCGGCACCGATGGGGAGGTTGATGCTGTATACTACGGCGTCGAGGGTGTAGAGGTACGTCCAGCCTCGCCTTTGCTCTTCGTGTGAGATGCCGTCTGGACAGCGCCAGAGCATATTGGCGCTGCCGAAATGAAGGGAGCGTGCGGGGAGAAGTTGCTCCTGGAGGACCCATGCTCGTGTTTCGAGGGGGTCGCTTGGTAATGCCTGGGTTGTGTTAGTGAGGGGATGACCGTGTCGAGGGGTTTGGAACTTACGTAGTTGCGTGTCTGTTGGGCGATGAGATATATCTCTAATTTCGCTTCACTGTCGTGGATCTCGATACGTTCAGTCTTTGGCATCTTCCGTGGCCCTAGGAAGCCTGCTCCGCAATGTGAAGCGCTGGATGCGGCAATGTTAATGTACGATCTTGAGTAAATGTCTGCCATGACAGCTGATTCCTTCTCCCAGTCCTCCGTATCATCTTGAACTACGAGTACGGATATAAGCATCAGTAGATGTACCAGAGTCAAGGAGTTCGTGCCATACCAATCGCCAAGCAGTCAATCCATATATACCGTAGACCAAGAAAACGCACGACCATGGCAGCATCTTGAAGCGTCTTGGGAAGGTTTTGAAAGCTGATACTGTTCTTTCTTATCGACAGTGTGTCTTTGGTAGTCATAAACGGCAAACCACTGCCCCAGCAATAGCTGAGCGTTGCGTACTTTCCTTTCTGATCAACGGTGGTTTCAACTAGCTTACATTCGGTTTGGAAAAACAGTTCTGGCCACTCATTCATACGTTCAGTCAGAATATCCGAGCTAGGCATGGCATCGAGATCCAACACTCTCGTAGGCAACAGTGAGTCTTGCTGAATCGCAGAACATCTCTCATGTCCGGCGTTGCATTCATCAAACCAAGCCCTGAATTGCTTCAATGGCGTCGGATCAAGCGAGTTTTCCAATTTGACTGGCTTGAAGAGGTTCGGAGGTGGGGTGTCTTGTGTCCCATAAGCTTTTCACACCGGATCAGGAACATAGTTTCGTTCAGACATACCAAATCTATTCCGAAACTCCACAGCAGTAGCTTCGGGAACATCCTTGTCTAGATAGAGATCGAGTTTGGAGCCGTAAGTCTCAGACTCGGAAAGATGGAGCCATGCTGGAGTGACTTCCATATCCACTTCGTGTGCGACTCGTTTGTAAATCGGTCGTGTTTCCACATCCTGTATGAGCATGCTGCATATTGCGCAGTTAAGTGCGCTTTCTCTCAATTGAGGTAAGGTAGTTTGGCGTCTGTTGCAAATCCAGGTGTCGCTGTTGTGGCCCCAGGGTATGCCATTGTCGTCAGTCCAAGAGCTCTTTTTCCAGCCTGGAGGGTGGTCGCCGCGGCAGAGCGCGCGGAAGGGTATGGAGCTACAAGTAGTGCAGAGTGACATGGAGGGAAAATATGAGAGTATTTGGATAGAGTGGTAGTGGTCGGTAAGATGTCAGATATGATAGGTGGGGTGTACCCGCTTCCTCACAGTCAGCCTGCAGGTGCTCTAAGCCTCACGTGTCTTAGTACATGGGAATGCTCCCCACAACCAACTTTGATTCTCCATAAGCGATCTTCATGGAGTGCTGGGGAGCACTTCAGCTTTTTTCATATCGAGTTATGTTGAGTGCCCAAACTTATGTAGTCGCTTCAGCTTGTTACCCATCCATTTCTGCTGAGTACCAAATTTGATGTAGTCACAAAGCCTACCCATTATGGGACGTCTTCACGCTCCTTTCGGAAATCCAAAAATTGGCATGTTCTGTTCTTGTTTTATCTAAACCTCATCCGAACGAGTGCCCGTATGCCCAGCTAACAAGCTCTTCATCGCACTAACACATCGCTCATCCCCGTAACTCCATTCATCATCATATCAACCTATCCACCACCTAATACCCAACCCCACCCCCCTCAGTCGGCAAATCAAACGACTCCGAATTCCCCCCCGTACAAGTCTCCCTCAGATAAGCCCACGCCTTGGGCCTCTGCCTCTGCTCCAACCCCGGATCCAACCTAAGCGCCATCTTATACGCCGCCGTCTGCCCGCTACTATCCACAGGATCGACGTAATCAGGGATATCGCCAAAGTCCTTCTTTTGGAGACGCTGTTCCCAGGTGATGCCAACGGTGCCGCCGGAGATGAAGGCGAAGTCTACGTTGCCGACGTAGTGCAATTGGATGCCGAGGCCGTACATGACGGTTGGGAACCATTTGTAGTCGTCGTATGCGATGAAGTTTGCGACGGAGGAGACGGGGACGACGAGCTTGGAGTGGGAGGTTGGATCGGTGTCGGCGCGGGCTTTGCCTTTGCCTTTACCTTCGTACTGGTCGTTGTTCTGGTTGTCGAGGCGGGAGGTGAGCTTCATCAGTGTGATGAGGGTGTTGAGCTCGGGGCAGCCGCCGTAGAGGTACTGGGGATGCTTCTTTAGTGACGAAAGATGTTGGCCGATGGGACGGGTCAACTTCTGCTCGTAGACGTCTGCCTCCTTGATGTACTGATTCATACGCCGCAGAATGCTGGGGGACATGCACTCCTTGCGGTTATCGATCTGGAACCGGACGTGGCGAACCATGTGAAAACGGCCTAGGTACGCGAGACGGTCGAAATAAGTCGAAGTATCATAACTGATGGAGAAGGTGTTTGTGGAGTAGAACATGGGAATTGAGTCCTCGCGAACCTGTCTGCTGACGCGGGTGATTCCGAGGAGATCGCTGATGGCGAAGTGATGCTCTGCGTTGTCGTCATGGAACTGAATGACCTGGTCGTTGGTATAGTCGCAAAGATGAGGCCTGATGGGTCGGTCTATATCAAGCGCGATGGCGTAGATGCGCTGACGCAGCTCCACAGAGAGGTCCATGAACTTGTGGAACTTTGGCTTGAGCATCTTGCACTTGCTGGTGGTATGACCGTTGGAGTGACACTGGTGGCAGAATGTGCAACTCATGTTGCGAACACCCTTTTCTGCCATGCAAGTGAGGCAGTGAGTTGGCGGCGTGTAAAATTTGGGCAGACGGGGTCGCACAGGAACGTTGGAGGTGATAGTAAGTGGTTTCATCGCGCGTCTTATCTTGGGCTTTGAATTTCTCGGAGTGGGATAATTGGCTGGTTGAGCTGGCGGAAGAATTGGGCTGAAAGAAGGTACAGAGAGGCCAGCCGCAAGATTCTTGTCGTCCTCGTCTCTCAATGCTCGAATGTCAGCTTCAGAACGCGGTGCACGTAGACGACGACGGGTCAAGGCGGTGGATGCCTGGAAGTCACTCGAGCGAGTAGCCGATCCCCACGAGAGAGGAACGTGACGCAGATACGCGGGTCCAGGAAGAGTATACAGGCCGGCTGCACAAGTTAGCTATGAATCCTCACCTGAGATTAACGGGGTACTCTTACCTTGGTTCCTCCAGTCAGAACTCGCTTGCGGACCATTCGAGATCCCTGAGTCACCAAATGTCGGCCCACCAGTTTCAAACCAGCCTGCTTCGATCGCTCTTTGAACGTCTTTATCATTGTTATAATCGAAGTATTCTTGGCCACAGCTGTCGCACAGCGTCTGCTTTTCTCCATCCTCGCGGGAAGGCCACAAGCAGCAAGATGTCGGCGACGTAATGATATCTCCATTGACCATTTCTGACAGGTCAGTAGGAGGGAGGAGCGGAGGCAGAGATAATTGTGCGGGTGCGTGAACGGCATTTTGCGCGTATGCCGCACCACACCCAACGCAGACCCAGTCACCGTCTTCCATGGTCCAGTGCTTATAGGATGCACAGTATTTCGTCGACATGCCTGTGATGGGATGTGGGCGGCCTGCTTCCTCGTTGATCTCGAAGCTACCGATTGTTGGGCGAACGTCGACGCCAGACTCCTTCATGGCCCAAGCTAGCTGTAGGGCCTCGTCGTTGTAATCGCTTGGCCACATCGTCCTCCAAGCTAGACCGTTCGCTTCGTAGTCGTCGTCGTTCATGGTCGGCGGCTGGTCGTTGGGTGGTTGTGCTAAGGTTGAAGGGTGAGAGAGCAGATTATTCAAGTAGAGGCAAAGAGAAAGGAATGTTTGAAAAAGTGAACGCAATGAGTGGGCGATTATATGGCAGCGAATAAGAGAAGCCTAAGTACTCTCACTCCACAAACTCAGTGCTTGTCAGATGGTGCCTGATGGTTATGAAAGTGAAAGCGCGCACACGAATAACCACACTGTACCTGAGAACCATGGTTGCAATACATTGATGCCAAGGCTTACATTCGACAAGTGATCTACCACTTCTTATTTTCATCGCTGAAATCGCGTCCCTGGCGCTCCTGCTCTAATCTAGCATCGAACTCTTGCTGCGCGCGCTGCCTCTCCCTAGCCCTTTCCTCATCACCGGCAACAAACGTATACGAATCTCCAAGCGTGGACCCTTCCCTTTGCTCTCTGCGCTCCGGCTCCGCTCTCCGCGATGGTTGCTGCTGTGGCCTCTGAAGTGGCGCTGCTGCTCCTCCTCCGGTGCGCCTAAGGCGGTCCCATGACGACTCGCCAGGTCTTGCTTGAGATTGGGTTTGCGATTGTTGTGGGTTGTTGACTTCGTCCTGGAAGAGGCCTCCAGTGGGGGATGCGTCGTCATCGAACGGAAGGGGTGAGGGCGGTGCTTGCTGGCGTTGTGCAGCTGGTTGTGATGTATCGTTTGAGAAGGTCTCCCATGTGTCTGATCCCGCGGTCCTAGTACCCCATGATTCGTTTCCAGCCGTCGGGCTCGTGTCGTCGCCTCCATCACCGTTCCCTTGAGGCTGCTTGCCCCAGCTGGCCTGTGGTGACGGGCCACCTCCCGCGCGGTTCCTCACCTGTTCCTGGAACTGTCGTCGCCTATCCTCAATCTCACGTCCTTGTTGTGCGGTCCTTTGTCCTTCAGCGTGTGATGAAGCCTTCAACTCCTGTCCGAACTGCTCCAGTTTTGGATCATTAGAAGTATTAACCGCAGCCAGAGGTTGCGCGAGTAATTGGCCGATGATGTTGCCCATTTGTCCTGCCACCAAAACGTACAAGCTAAATCGCCATGTGTGTCGTGCAAACTGCGCCATGTTGCCCTTGATCGGGCCAAACTTATTCCGGTCAATGTCCTCGACCTTGGGCTGGTAGAAGGGATATTTCATCTTATCCATAGTTCTATACCATTGGTACGTTCCTGCAGCTGCACCGGTGGCGGCGAAATAGCTCTTTGTTTGCTCAAGCTGGTATATGTGGTATGCGAGCGCCTGCGCTTCTTCGGGGTTCAATTGACGGCCGACCTTGCGCTCGGCGAATTTGAGGGTAGTTTCAGTCTTGAAGCGGACGGCGCGGTCGGAGAAGCCCATGAAGGTGCCTATGATCGGCAACGGCTGGGGCAGGACGCCCGCGTCGAAGCGAGCGCCATCAGAGGGCGGCGACGCGGATGCATATGGGTCGTTCGAGGAGGGGTAGGGGTTATCTGAGAAGCCTTCCGGGGCTGCGTTGTCGACGTCCTGAAGCACCATGTTTGCTTGTGTGGAATTGAGTCGTGACAGTGTGTGGTTGTGAGAGTTGGTGCGTGGTGTGATGAAGAGACATCGGAGCTTAGCTCAAGCGTTGATGACGGCATCGAACACAACCTCGGGATCAGGGTCCACCTGGCAGCTGCGAACACCTTGACACGATACCATCGCCCAACTAGCGTCTCGCATTGCGACAACACTTGCTTGTCACTTCCATCTACCCCAATTGCTTCACATGAGAAATGATGTCACAAGATTCAATACGGTCTATTCCCATGTTCCACCTGACCCAGCGATACTCCCTCCGCAGAAAATGTACGTACTTATACAAAGATAAAGAAAAGAACCCACTCCAAGTTCGCCCAGACTACTGCGAACCCCATATGCTCGCAAGGAAGCAGAAACTAGACTGTGTTGAGTGAGGAAAGTACCCAACTTCGCTTCACAAAACGCCGCGACCCAAAGCCGCCTGCAACGGCCAATTATGGTAACCAGAAACACCCTCGAAGGGCACAATGAGAAAAGCGATGGGCCAAAGGCTAGGTCCACCATTGCGCGCGATATGTTGTATATACTTTTGCGGACCCAAAGTGTCGTCGACTGATCACATGCCTATAAAATGATGCAGCGACAGCCAGCTGTAGGTTCCTCGTCGTTATCTCTTCGGCTGCCAGTTTTGCCTGTCTTGGCGTTTTCCTCGTCGTCCACCATTTCCTGTGGCTTGACTGTCATGTGCACCACGTTAGGCGAGTCTGTCTGGAACCGGCAGTCTGTCCGATGTCAGTAGCTGGCCTTAAAGTCTGGAGTGTCTATCGATGCGGGCTGCGCGTCGTGGATGCATAAACCAATGATCGGCATGTGCCGAGCGATTGGACGAGCCGTGCCAAGAACGTTGACATGATATGATGAGATGGAGGTGCTTACCCTTGAGTGGGGATTTATCGTCGAGCATGCGACCAAAGTGTATCAGTCGTATTGAGCCTGGGGATGTGGGTCGAGTCTCCCATTCTGTAATGTAAAGTTAGCGTTTTGCACGACGAAGGCTACAAAGGGATGCTCTTTGGGCACTATGCAGATCAAGACCGAAGACGTCAACATAGCCACCCCACTGTCGAGCCAAGCTTCTCTCAGCTCTTGCGCAATGTGGAGAAGAGATGCGCATGCGTACCTTCTCGCCAGTCCCGCCATATCAGCTCCTTGAGCGTGTATACGCTGATGTTGTAGGGGTCCATGTTCTCGACATTGACGTTGCGCTTCTTGAGGTATTTCTCCTCAATCTTGTAAGGGTGTCTCGAGCCACTCGTAAGGAGCAGCATTATTACCAGCACAGGACCGTTGGTGTTGTCTGGGTTCGCGGCTGGTGTATCGGTTGACGGCCCAATCGCCTCGGTCTCTGCGCGATTTAACGCAGCAGGCGGTGCGGGTTTCGCAGAAGGGGAAGCAGCGACGGGCGCGTCCTCGGAGGTGGTGATTTCGGTCACGTGTGGTGTGGAAGCTGCTATCGCAGCTGGAACGGGGGTCTCTGCGACGTGCGTGCTCGTGCTGGCGGGAGCTGGTACGGTGCCCGACGCCTGGAGAGTCCTCATCTCGACGGGGCTTGACGATAGACCTTCGCTGCTGCTCTGCGGTCGCGACCCTGAGGCGGGTTGTTGTGGAGTGGTTTGTGGTGCCATGGGGGCTTGGTCCGCTGTAGACGCCATGGTGGTCGGCCGACTTCACTCGCGACGGGCTGCGGCGATGCGAAAGGGGAGCGATTGGATGGGCCAAGCGAGTGGACGACGATGGCACGACGGGGGGATTCTTCCGGGCAGACGTCGTCGTTGCAGAGGGCACGGCAGCGAAAAATAGTTTGGTGTTGAGGTGTATCGGGCCTGTGGGCGTGAGAGAGAAGGTCGGGCGACCGTGCGCGATTGGGAAGTCGCCGTCGCCGCCTTGTTATGCCCTTCTCCGCAATCCGCAAACGCGGCAAGAGCGACCCGCCGTCTCCACCCAGAGCCACTACTGAGCCGAGAACACCGCCTCAATACCTGGGCTTATGCCGCCCGCCTAGAGTTTGCTGGTACACGTCTACCGGTACAAGCAAACTCTTCTCCAGCCGAGTTGTGCTTCTCCTATCACTACCTACACTGCTAGGCTCGCAACGCGCCAGGTTCTGACTGCCCAAGCGTCTGCCCCTGCATTGCATGCCCATGGCCATTATTGGTCAGCTGAGCTGTTCATGCATCTACTTTACGCCACATGCACAGCAGTCCGAGTGGACCCGGGCCTCGTTCCGAGCTACCCTGGGGATTGTCAGTAGACTGTATTGTTCAGCATGTCATAAGCTCAAGACATGCGTTCTGACGTCTCGACCATTCCTAGTCGGTTGCCAGAATACTGTCTGTCGAACATCAGATCATTATGACGAAGGATCAACGAGTCACACGCAAAAGTAGAATGCAACCTGGAGGCATGCACAGCTGCTGGAACAGTTCCCTCCAGCAAGGACACAACGAATAGCTTTCGGACAAGTTAGGTGTTGGGGGTGATTAGCCATAAAAGCCAACTTCTTCGTACGAAGTGTCAATAAGCATCATGTCGTTTGCCGACTAGTAATCCAAGTATATGTTGATTCGCCAATCATGCCGGTTATATTCGGTTCCAGTGTCCATCAAGAGAAAAGACATGTCGGTGAACGTATCATTATTTCATTCAAGTCTTGGTTCTATACCAACGCCGGGTCTCCATATCGTAAACGGTCCGTAGTGTGGCTTGAGCGGAGGAAGTGTCACTTTGAGGGTGTCCACCACAACCTCCGTCTTCCTGTCCCAGCATCATGAGCGCTCTACCAGTTCATCTTCATCTTGTGCTCAATCTCCGTGTGGAAGTTTGGCACCTCACGTAGCTCGTTGCCAGTGAAGACATCCTCCCAACCAATCTCGGTGTCCCGTCCCTGCAGAATGTCACGGTGGACGTTGCTGCTTCCACCTAGAGTTGCCGGCCTCCATTCGCCCGCCTCGGCGATCTTGAGCTCCATACCCCTACGCACTGGCTCTGCGATGCCGAACTGTCGCCTCAGCATCTCCATCTTCAGGCGGTCTTGGGTGTCTCGCCATTGGGTAAGACGGGCCTCGAGAGGATGGGCGGACTGGAGAGCGACGGGTGCTGTCGACGATGAGGCGGCGTTGGATGCTGTGGTGGTTTGGCCGAGGCGAGAGCGCAGGGTATCGTGGACACCGGGGGCTGAGGGGGCTGAAGTCTCGAGAGCGGTTTGCGTGGAGTGCGCCTTGTGGGGGACGATGCGGAGAGACTGGGTGAGTGTTAGACCATGTCAATGTATGCATGGGTGCTGTGATGCCAATAGCCTACCATCTTGTTTAATATGGCGCTGAGACTTGCGAGGTGAAAATGGCGCGGGCTTTTGAGAAATTGAACCTCAAATGTAAGGTTTAGTGGGCTGAAGTGTTGGTGGTGTTCGAAGGCGGGATGTCGACCTGTTGCTATCGATGGAGCTCCAGGCTACTAGAGTGACGCGCCGGACTAGCGCGGTCTTGGCACAACCATATGCTCCAAATCCCAACTTCACTTCAAACATTCAAGCGAAACGTCCGACATGAATTGTAGCTTTGCTTAGACACCTTCAGCTGCGGACAGCTAGATTCCGACTATGCTGCTCAGCGGCAGATCCCAAACCACACAAGCAACTACCATGGCCCCTACACTAACCATAGTTGCCATGAGAATGTTGACAGCATTGTTGTCCAGCAGATCGCTTCCGACTGCGATCTTCCGGCTCTCATGCTGTGCATCCACGACTGCATTGCCGCTTCCCCCAGCTCTCAGCATTGTCTCCGATGCCTTGATCGACGCCGCAGTGTCCGCTCCGCTCGTCTTCGCAATGCCATTCTTGCCTTCCGCACGACTGCTGACTTTACTACGTACTTGACCTGTCTTGGAAAGGTGAAGAGGATGGCTGCTTTTAACAAGCACTCTCCTGCCTCCTTCGCCCTCTACAACCTTTCCAGAATGGACGTCGACAACACTCGCTTGAGCCAGAGAACCCAGAAGCGAGTCAAGGAGTGTTCCGCTGAATCCAGCAGCTGTCATAGCAAGCGTAAAGGTGGTCTTCTCAGAGAAATCCCAGTCTCTGCAGAAAGGCAGGAACAGTGTAGAAGTGGCTGTGAGTATGAACGCCCCCAGTAGGCCTGCACCAAGTCCAGTTGCGGTTACTCCCCCATTTGTACCAGGCGCGACCACACGCCATGGAGCTGTTATGAGACGTGGCTTTGTTTTTGAAAGGATACCGAGTTCGGAGGAGAAAGTGTCGGCGGCGACTGCGGCGTAGTTGCTAGAGTATGTTAGCAATATGCGGGGACCTGAATGAAGTACACTCGCTTACGCTACAATGCCTATCACCAGCGCATCGCTCCCTCTGTGCCAACATAGACCCTGGTCGTTGTATCTCCCTTCTTTCTTTAGTTGCCACAGGTGCAGCAAGAGTAACACCGAGGCTACTCCGGAGTTCGCGAGGACCTGAACATGATTGCGCTCGCCTTCACCACCAGATGCGCCCGTCGCGGACTGTGTCAACTTGGCTTTGATATCGTGTTTGACCTATCTGGTATTAGTATTCGTCTATCGCATTCCTCATCAAACGTACCTTCGTCACAGTACTACCAGCCAAGAAGAAGACTGCAAGAAGCATGAAGAATACACTCCATGGGTGTAACGCGTGCACAACTGCTGTCGTGAAGGCCACCAGAATACCGACTGGGGTCAGTGATTTGCGAGAGTATGCTCGGTAGACTAGCGCAGCAACGGCGGGGACCGCTATAGTGGGTTGCATGCTTGGAGGTGTTGGTAGAGCGGCACGGAGGTGTGGCTCGAGATGGATGCTTTCCGAACGTGATTGTGGTTGCGTCATGGCCAAGCGGATCATGATGGCCGGGCCCATTGCGAACACCAGTTCCCAACAAGTCACATATTCATGCTGAAAATCAACCAACTCAACTTAACTCTCGGATCTTTGTTATCTAAGGAGTCTAAAACGCGTCTTGAGGGCGCGGATGCTTGCCACCAGCCAGCCTTCAGCTTAGGGAAAGCGTGTCTCGCTGCCACTAGTTTGTTATGAAGCCGCCTATCACTCCGTCGCCCTCGTCTGCCTCTGCCGTCCCCCCAGAGACCTGATTAGCCTGCAGATGCATCCAGAAACTCTCGATGCTGCAGCGATCCCCACGAGATCACGGGGCTTCAGCGTAGAAGTGTGAAGAAGGAGTCGCAAGGAACCCTGACCATGCCACCACCCCATTCAAGAGGAGAACTTAACACCTACCCAACGTACATATCTTAGAAGTCTACGTTAACCTAGAATCTTCTTAGTTTTGGGGTTCTTATTAACGTAGACTACAGCGCGCCTGTAGTTTCTTCCTTGTAGTCTGTAAGAAATGCGCATATTCTTCTTCGCAAGAGTCACTTTGCCGTCGAGGCCATTGTCAAAATTTCTTTTCCAGTCTCTCAGCCAACCCTCAACGGAAAGTGACAGCAAACGAGACAGGAAAAAGAACGAAATAACTCAACGCCAGGAGGCGGGTCCTTTCAACGCGATGCAAAGGAGACATGACACTCAAGCCACGTTCAGATAGCCCGGCTATCATCATGAACACCATCGGCTGCAAGCAGCCTTCACTGGGAGCGTGTGTGGATGCTGCTGGGAAAAGCTTGAGAAAGCTTGGAAAGGCTCGACACGCATTCGATCCCTATCAGCCCATTCTGCAGCTACCATATCATCACCATGGCGTACGGGTGGCCTCGTCTGACAGTCGTGACAGTCGACGATATCGCTGCAGTCTGTACCAATCGCGACCTGACGACTCAGCCACTATTTAGCCGGTGAGATATCCATCGCTCGACAAGCGTTATGATTGGCCCGCGAAGGACGCTCAACTAGGTATAGTCGCATTCTCCTAGGCGCAGCACAATCCTCTTACTCGCTCCCATGTAGAGACCCATATCATGTCCCGAATGCAGCTTAGACTCCTTGGTGTGGCTGTTGAAAGCCTGAGATTCAGTGCAAAGCCACGCAGGCTCCGCGATTCTGTGCTTTCCTAGTTGGGCGAGCATCCCGCAACCACAGACAGAATGTAGTACATAAGATGGGAACATCTGCGACGATGGAGTTAATTAACTCATCTGCATCTGTTTCCCCTGCATTCATCTTTTCACCTTTTTTTCTTCTGGTTTCCCAGCATGGCGATTTATCTCTTCAAGCTCGTCCGAAGAAAGCTACGAGAACGCGAAGCCCAAAAGGCTATCCCAACTACAGATGACTCGCATCTAGTACCCGAGCCAGCTCCAGGACAACAACTCCAAGACCTTTCCGCCGGGCACCGTCATGGACCTTCACAAGACTCAACAGGGAGCCATATCAACTTCCTCACCCCAGAAGAAACAGCACGTCAGAAAGCAGAAGCGCGCCAAAGAAACATCCGACAGTGGAAATTGATGCTGGGGCTCGTATTGCCGAACTTTCTGGCCGCTATGGATGTTACTATCGTGGCTCCTGCTATTCCACTTATATCAACTCATTTCGGTATGTTGATCCGCTCATGCTATTCAGTCCCCATCTACATCTATACCTAAGTACTAACACAACCCCCCCAGACCAGCTCTCCGGAAGTTTCAACTGGCTAGTAGCCGCCTACACGCTCACATTCACCACCTTCATACCCGCTTCAGGCCAACTAGCCGATATTTACGGTCGCCACTTCGCACTCCAATTCGAAATGTTCTGGATCACCATCGGAAGTATAGTCTGCGCCACGGCTCAGTCCTGGAGTATGTTACTTGCGGGTCGTGCATTACAAGGGCTAGGCGCGGCGGGTATAATAAGCTTGAGTCGAATCATAGTGTCTGATGGGGCGACCCTGGCGGAGACTTCGAGAAGTACCTCTATATTATCTTTGATCAGCGGATGCAGGTAGGTTTCTTTGCATTTTCCAATCGAAATATTTATGCTGATGACATTACTAGTTATGCCGTCGGTCCAGTCATCGGCGGCTACCTCGCAGACGCAAGCTGGCGCTACGTATTCGTCCTCCCCATCGGCGTCGCAGTCCTCTCCATGCTCTTCATCTTCTTCGTCATGAGAAAAGAGCTAGTCTGCGGCCGTACCGCCGTCTCGCCAGGTCAATCCCGGCGTCTAGGCTACATCTCCGGGCTCGCAATCATTGACTGGCCCGGTCTCGTCATGTTCATCTTCGGAGTCGGCTGCATAATCCTCGCTATCCAATGGGGCGGGACGCAATACTCCTGGAACTCAGCGCCCGTCATCGCTCCCCTCGTTGTCGGAATCACACTCTGCATCGCCTTCTTCACTTACGAATACCTCCTCGGTCCCAACCGCGCAGTCGCCCGACTCTTCCCCCGCCAAATCCCCATGATACCCTCTACCCTTTTCCGCAAGAAAGACACAGCCCTCCTCATGATTGTAAACTTCTCCGCAGGCATCTCCATGGTCTGCGCCTTCTACTTCCTATCCTACTACTGGCAGTTCGCAGAAGGCTACTCGTCGAGCCAAGCCGGCGTGCAACTCCTGTACTACACACCCGGTCTGGGTGTCGGTGTCTACATCGCAGCTAGACTGTGCAACCAGTGGCTACGACAAACCTTTGTTCCTTTACTCATCGGTTCGGTTGTTGAAGCTGTGGGTCTGGCGCTGTTGACATACGCGATTTCTATTCGGCATGTCACGATGGTGAAGGTGTTCCTTGCGGTGGCGGGTGCGGGGACGGGATTGCGCTTTATGCCGGTTGTGCTGCATGCAGCGGGGATTTGGTCGACGCGCGTTCCTAGTATGCAGTCTCTGCTTTCTTTCATGGTGCCGTTGGGAGAGACTGTCGGTATCGCTATGATGGGGTCCGTCTTCTCGAACAAACTCACCACTTTCCTAGCTGGGATCAACAATTCTGGAAGCAATATCGAGCTACCTGCCACCGGAGCACATGGCCTCGACCTCTTGGACAGTTTTCCTGCTGCAGTCAGGAGTGAAGTGCAAGAAGCGGCTGCGAAGGCAGTTATGTGGTCTTTGATCTCTATCATGCCTTTTATGGCTGCGGCGATTGTTGCGTCGTGCTTTTTGGGGAATGTGTGGATTGGGAAAACGGCAGAGAAGGGTGGAGAGGGGGAGACAGATAAACCTGCGCAAGAGGCGGAGATGGGAAAGGTTCTGTATGGAGTTTATGTGGTTGCGTGGTTCATGGGAAGGCTTGAAAAGCAGAAGCAGGATCTGGATGTCAATATAGAGGGTGATGGGATGAAGAGAAGGAACCATGACACAGTTGGAGAAAATAGAGTATAGAGATAGCGATAGATGAGCGTGGATGCAAACGTGTTTATGATTTTGTATTCTGCTTTGACCTGGAGCTCTCTTGATCGATGTCCAGCCGGTACCAATAGCAAACCTCCTTTTTCATGGGTTCTCTGCCCCCGTACTCACACCCAATCATATTCCGTGGTCTCCGCGATCCTCAATGTTTGTCGTCCTCTAACAGATGCGCTCACTCGGTTCTCTCCATGGCACACCAAGAATCTCAAAGATCTTCTTCTCGCTCCTGCCCTCAACCAAAACACCTTCATTCAACTTCCCACCCCGCTTCCCTCTGCGAACATCCCTATATAGCCCCTTCTGATTCAACCTCATGTTCTTCTTGCGAGCCAGCAGCCGAATACTGCGGTTGAAGATGTCGTTGCCAGTGAAGTATATGAGCGCAGCACCCATCTCCTCCTCGGGAACAAGAAGAAAGTCCATCCTGCGCCAGACCTTCGAAGTCGGGAGACAGGAAGCCCCGTGCCACTTCGAACCCGTGGGGTCGTCAGATCGAGAAGTCGCTAGGGAGGCTTTCAAGAAGCCGGTCTTGTAGAGACGAGGGACGAGAACATCGAAGATCGTTTTCCGCATAGCGGTAAGTGAAGCGTCCGGCTTCGTGAGTATCATGTCGATGTCACCTGAGTCTTTCGCGCCGCGACGATAGCTGCCCATGATGGTGGCTTTGAACTTGGGGTCGATCTTTCTCAGCTCTCTGATGACTACGGTGCCATGGGCCTCGACTTCAGCACGCGGTATCCGGAAGTTGAAGTCGTCGTAGTGTTCTACACCAACCTTGTTGCTCTCAGTAAGATTCGCTTTGGTTCGGAGATCTTCCAGTGTACGATAGCCAGACCGGATCCACTTGTTGGCCTGAACAAGTCCAGCGCCATAGACACCGAGGAACAAGCCGAGTACTACGTCAAGAGGATCATCTCGCGTACTTTCAAGTCTGCGGAGACGATTGGTGAGTACAATCTCTTCAATCTTCTTGGCTAGTCGCCCACCAATGAAAGGTAGGGCTGCTGCTTGTTTTGCAGTGGTGATCTTGACCGTTTGATTTTTCAGGGTAGTGATACATCTGCGGTAGCTGAGCATGCGCCATTGATCCTGCATCTGATCGTAATGCTTGCACATCTGATCCAGGATCTCGATAGTACGGGCGTTCGGGTTCTGAGACGTATAGCCGTTCGCACCCGGGTCCATACACTGGAATACGTTTTGGTTGAACGGCCTCTTGTTGCGTAGAGCAGACGCTTTTGAAACAATGTTAGACTGCTTTGGTAGCTTAGGCGCCGCGACTACGGGCTCCTCATCGGTGCCTGAGTCGTCTGCATCTTCCATGCCACTTGCTACTGGAGACTCTGCATCCTCGTCTTCCTCCATCTCTATTGGTAGATGTGCGATAGCTTTGGTTTCCAGTATCGCTTGGGAAAGAGCGTCATTGAACCTATCGATGATCTTAGGTTGCGAAGCTTTCGTTGGACTTGAAGACGGCATGACGAAGCTGTCCTCGACAGTTTCATCGAATGAGATATGTGGAGCTATATCTGCTACAGGCGGCGTAGCGGGAACGCTTTCTTCGGTCGGATATGAGTCGGTCGTTCGTGACTCCTTCGCAGCAATCTGTCGCTTTGACGATTTCATTGCCAGTGAGCTCTGCGATGCGGCTGATGTTTGGGATGGCACTACTTGCTCACTATGTTCCTTCACGCTGGGCGCGCCTTTGACCGCAAAGCGCGGTTGATTTGGATCTCGGAGTACTTTATATTCTATACTCTCCGTTATATAAGGCTGGTACTTGACGACCGCAACGTTCTCGGGAATGCCAGGTATGTTCGGATCCCGCAGTAGCTGACTATACGTGTGTACGTCGTAGTCGTCGTCTATTATAACATGTGTGATGTTTTCTTTCCAGTCCTTGACCCAAGCTGCACCGAACTCGATTACTTTGTGTATACGAGAGCGCCGCGGTTCGGTAATATCGTGGCTCGGATAGAAGTATACGATCTTGCCCTTGAGGTACTGTTGATGCTCTGGTCTCAGCTTGATGTTATTTGCTGGTTTGGGCCTCCTTCCTTTGCACTCTCTTGGAATGTCACCCATTCGTATGTAAAATGGAGTAGTGTCTTCGCCAGCTGTCTCGGGTAAGGATGACACTCTCTTCAGAGTACTTTTCGCGCCAACGACAGCTGCTGACCTGGTACGCGGCCTGGTGACTGGCAGCATCTTCGTAAGTTCTTGTTCAGGCGCTGTAGATGAACTCATCGGTTGGTGGGTCGTTTGTCGCTCGTTTGCGCGTTGTTTCCTCGTATGCGCCTCAAACTCTGCTTGCCTTTCTTTCGGGGTTGCACCAAGAAAACTGCTAGTCTGCTTTCTCAAAGCCGGGGGTCGCATGGCTTTCGAATTCTTCAACGCGCGTTCGAGTCTACCCACGCTGTCGTCCGGGATGTCTTGCTCATCGTTGATATCCAAGAGTTCCTGCTCCTTGAAGTAGGCTTTCTTGGCCGCAAGTGTGTTTTCCGACATTGTGTAGACGTCTAGGAGTCAATGAGTCTTTGCGACTAAAGTCATGTTGTTCCGAATTGGGCCGTTGGGTCGAGTAGCAACGTGGGCGCCGCTTCAATACTTCCAAGGTAGTCAAGGGAATGGATGGCGAACGCACAGTTGCCTATCGTAACGCCACTTGTATCGTGCGCCTGGACCGTTAGCCATTTCATAGCTTAGCGGGCAATGCGCTGGTGAGAATGTAGAACGTCACCGACGCAGCAGCGCGTGACGCGAAAGCACGTGGTACTTTGGCCGCTTCTGTGCTAGTTCCAGGCTCACGTTCATCATTTCTCGAGTTTGGCGGGACAAAGACGCTCCACACTCAAAATGCTCCAACCCCGGATAGCGACGCCATTGCGGCGCACGCTCCTTAATGCCTCGTCGATATGTCTACGGTACCAGAGCCGACTCGCAATCCCCTCAATTGCAAGGCAATCGCTCGTTCGACCTTTTACCTCCGCGCACGCCTTGCGCCAGCAAGCACCGGAACCCAAGCCCACCCAGACCTCGCCCACACCCGATCCTAAAGATGAAGATATATTCATTCCGAAGCCACTTGGCCGTCCGATCGGTTTCAGTCGCGCTCCACAACCAGGCGAGAATGCCAGCATCCCCAAAACAAAGAAAGACTACTCTGGCATGACCATGTCGCAACGGAACCTCGAGAAGCGCAAGGATCTGGTCGAAAAATGGGGCACAAACTACTTCCGCGATTTCAAGAATATCCGCAAGTACAGGTCTGGCAAGACGTTCATGGCGAATCAGAGGATCTTCAAGAAGGACGCGGCATTATACTTTCCCAACTTCCACGGAGATACGCTGGAGGGCAAGGACAAGGACACTACGAATGTGCTCGACGGAAAGATCAGCGTTGTGAATGTATTTAGTTCGATGTGGGGGTTGACCCAGGTCGAGACTTTCACAGGGAAGAAAACAAACGCTGCGCTGCACGAGATTCTGGCGCAAAACCCAGGGGTTGCGCAGATGGTTGACGTCAACATCGAAGAGAACACCATGAAGGCTTGGATCGTATCGCTATTCCAGTGGCGGCTGAAGGCCTCCAAACCAAAAGAGGATTGGGGCAGGTACTTCGTGGTCAGAAAAGGTGTTAGTGAGAAGATAAGGGAGACAATCGGGCTTTTGAACGGCAGAGTCGGTTATGTCTACCTGGTAGACCAAGACTGCAAGATCCGATGGGCAGGTAGCGGAGACGCAGAAGGCACAGAAATGGAGGATATGAACAGGGGCTTTACGAAGCTGGTCAATGAGGCCCGACAGTCTCTCCCACAAGCTACGGCCGGAGAGGTTTGATGACGAACATGTAACGATATCTTGTACAGCATACGGAAGACTCTCAATTCCCACGATACCCCAACCCTTTGTAAACATAATCGTAGCCGTACAGGCCCAAGACGCCTTGCGCATAGCATGCTAATGAAAGTCATGAGGATATCCAGCCCGCTTGAACGCCCGAAATGAACACGTGCAACCCAATCTACCTGAACCATAGCAGCATCAAGAAGCAGAATGCGATGAAGCTGCCCAGTATGATGCCGTCTCTGCGCTTCTTTGTTCCAATGCGTCCGATCAAGCTGTTGATGCCAGGCACTTGACTTGCAGCGCCCACTATTCTCCGGTTGATGCTCGTGAGCGTTTCCCTTTGCAGACTGAAGTTCTCTTGTACAGCATACGCCTGGCTGAGGACCGAGTCGGCTACGTTGTGCGAGTTGTCGATGCGATTCCGCTCGTCGAGCATATAGTCTGCCTCCGCTTGCTCTGGGTTCGCGGACCGGTATGCATCAATGTCCGAACGTACGTTGGAGAGCAGGTTTGCCCTGTTGCGGGCTTCGTTTAGGGTAGACTTGAGGCGCGCGAGCTCGCGACGATGGTCTGAGAGTACTTCGCGGTGTCTGGCAAGGTTGTTCTGCTTTACAGCCGACGAGCCGTGGGTCGATTCGGAGTCGAGAAGCCGCGATAGTTGGCCGACAAGACCATCTCTTTGCTCGAGAATTTCCTGCAGCCTAGTCTCGACCCGTAGCTCTTCTTCTGAGGGTTTCGCGGGGATGTTTGGTGTCGAGCCGAACTGCGAGTACGTGTGGAACAGTGTCTCTGTCTGGCATGCCTCGTTAGCAGGGCTGCCGCGAGCGCCGACTAAGTCCGCCGCAGCAGTGAATGGAACCCACTTGTTGTTCGAGCGTGCGCGCTTGCTGGCGCAGTTGCGCCCATCCGCCTCCAGTGGAAGACATGTCGGGGATCACGGTAACTTCAAGGCCGAGGCAGCAACAATGGTTCCTGGACTTCTGGCATGATGAGGGTCGCACCTGCCCTGGCGCGGGCTACGCAATGCACGGCCAAGGCGCTAGTCCGTCTTGGTGATCGGCGAATAGTTTAGCGAGGCTCCGGGCGACACACTGATTTCTGACAACACCAAAAGTTCATCGTTGCGACACGCGAGACCCCATCCATATCACCCGGTCCTACTAACTCACAGTCAAAATGGTACGTCGATGCTCTTGTTCATGCGTTTGGTATCAGGATTGCGTCGCGCAGCTGTCGAACTGCTGGCAGTGAGGGGTCAGGCCGTTGCACCCTCCGCTAGTGGTGCTGCGCAAGATTTGATACTTCACGATTGAGAGAACCTGTGCTGACTTGCTGCCTCCAGTCTACTCCCAAGGTCGTACGTACACCCTCGCTCGCGCAAACACCACCGTCCGATCTCGTGCTCACAACCACCGCAGAAGACCGCCCAGCTGTGGAACAAGTCCAAGGATGAGCTCGCGTCCCAGCTCACCGACCTCAAGTCGTACGTCGCCGAACCCGGAACACTGGCAGGGGACATGGAATGCTGACGGATGTAAAGGGAGTTGATCCAGCTCAGGACCGCCAAGGTCACCGGTGGCTCCAACACCAAGCTCACCCGCATTCATGATGTCCGCAAGGGAATCGCTAAGGTCCTCACCGTCATCAACGCCAACCAGAGGGCTCAGCTCAGGCTGTTCTACAAGGGCAAGAAGTGCGTTTAGGCCGACTCGGAAGCTCCTGGACCAATTTCTAACACTGCCTAGGTACACTCCTCTCGACCTCCGCCCCAAGCAGACCCGCGCCATCCGCCGAAGACTCACCAAGCACGAGTCTTCGCTCGTCACCGAGAAGCAGAAGAAGAGGAACACACACTTCCCCCAGCGAAAGTACGCCGTCAAGGCATAAGCGCGCTTTCGTGAAGGTGTTTCTCTTTTCTTCCTTTGTCTCTCATGAAGCATTGCATTGCCGGGGCTTTTCCAACAGCGAGCCACCAGTGTACCCTTAGTACCATACTCCAACGGGGCGAGGAAGGTGGTGTAGCGAGTGGAATGGACGGACAGGGCGATCTTTAACGGAAATGGGTTGGCGTCCATGTCAAGATCTATGAATAAAAAGTTCAGACAAGCACGGAATGATACCTCATGAATTGTGAAGGAGTTTTACATTGGTTCTACAACTCCATGAGTAACGTTCAGTGCGCCTGAAGTATGAATTACGACTTACCAAGTATGCCCCTGTCTCTGCACGACTTGATCACCTTTGACATTGTGAGCCTTTCAGTTTCCCCAAACGTATTATTCTTATGTTAGTCTACGCGTTTGTTGACGTCTACAGCCACTGTATTAACATAACTTTTGCGCTAAAACTAAAAAGACAACGCTCGCCCGTCTGCTAAAGATATCAACCACTCTACCACATCCTCTTCTTACATCTTTCAGTAAGCCTCCTTCCATTCTGCGTACAAACTGAGGTCTTCCTCCTTAACACCCACCATCTCCTCTCTAACACCGATTACACCCACTTTACCAATCGCCTCAGGGTCTTCGTATTGCGCAAGGGAAGCCTTGAGCCATTCAATGACAGCCTCCTTGTCTTCCACAAGAAGGACTATAGCATCAAAGCCACCAGCACCAGGAACCACGCCCCCAATCACGCCATCGAGTTTGGAGCAATAGTCCAGCAGACGCGTTTGCTGAGGCGGCTCAATAGGCACACCAGACTTCTCGCCCATCTCACGGATCAGCGCGCGATTGCCGTCAATAATCCGTTTCAGCGCGTCGTACTTCGCATCACCATCGCCTTCTTCCTCCGTAGCCAAACGCGTAAGTTCAGCAGCCAACGCCTCATTCCCCTTCTGCAGATCTTTCCAAATCCTCTCCGCTTCCTCTGCCTTTTCCGCTCTCCACGCCAGCACCTTCTTCACCATACCCGGCGTTTCGCTTCCGCAGTCAACATCGCACATGACGAGGCGCACGCCCTTGGGCATCTTGATAGCGGCTTTTTGGATCTCGGTGTCCCATGTTGGGCCCTCGACTAGGGAGCGTAGTTGTGTTGCGAATCCAGGGCTGCTGGGCTGGGGTAGATCGCTCAGCAGGGAGGGCGAGAAACGCTTGTAGAGACATGATCCGTAGACTGCAGAGGCGATGTCGAAACCGCTTCCGACTTTGCCTTGGGCGTGGGAGTGAGAGGCTTGAGCGAGGTTGTGGAGGACTGTTTGGCCCTTTTCGGTGTGTATGTCGAAGAGATCTTTCGGTAGGTAGAATTCCAGAACCGCGGCTGTGAAACTTGTGACTAGTGCTGCGCTGCTTCCTAGTCCTGTCTTGTGCGCTTCTTTCAGGTTCACGTTGAAGTCCTGGAAGCGCGAGACTTTGTGGGGTTGCGATATGATGTTGGAACTGCGGGTGACGCCTGGGTTGGAGTAGTAGGCTTGGTCGGCTAGAATGCGGATGCTGGAGGGCTGGATGAGGGTCTTGGGGAGGAGGGCATGGATGTAGGTGAGGGCGTATGTTAGGGCGGTTTCTATGAATGGGTTGCGGGATCGGGCGATCGATTGTTCGTGGCCACTGGGGAGGTGGTTAGTTGTTTCTGGATGACTGGAGCAAGTATATGCATGATGAAGCTTATGATCAGACCATGCCTATCAATGCAATAGAGTGTCTGGCAGAATGGTACAACAGAGGAAGGATACTGGAAGATGCCGGAATACAAGTAAAGCAGTAACATGGCACAAGACTAAGATTCCCAATGCTATCTTGACATTGCAGCCCCATACCGCAACATCTCCTCAATGAACACGTGATGGAAGGACCAATGAAGATGCTTTGCCCGATTAGGTAGAGATGCAGATGGTCTTGTAGGGGAGTGATACGGAAGGAAAAGCAAAGAAAGGACGACCAATGAGGTGAGACGTTGCAAGCGACGGACATGGCTGATGGAGGGAGGGAAAAGGCACTTACATGCTCAACTGTGTCAAGGTAATGCCTCCATCCTGGCCCTGCGACCTGTATCCGTACTCCCAAATCGCCTCGCGGAACTGAGGACTCGTAACCAGGATCTCATTGATCGTCACGCCGGATCTCGTTTTGATAGGTTCGACAACGGTGTGAATCCTTGCGTCTAAACCGAATACCAGACCTGTGTATTCCCGGTCCAGTACGAGGTAGCCACCCGCAACTAGTACCTTTGCTGGGCAGGAAACGGCCTTAGGGGTCAACGGCGCGTCCGATGATGACATGCTGAAAGTGGAGTAGTTGATGCGATAGGAAGCAGTAGGATCGCGATTAGTCGGATTGATAATAGGCAGCAATATTCGCGCAATGTTGGAGGGGGGCTGGAGATGGCTGTCTCGCGGGGTGCGCAGCGTAGACTAGAGACCTGACTGCAGGCGCGGTGGGTCACTGAGCTTCTGCCACGAACTCTTGCAGCTGCCGGTATACACCGTTTCTTCGAGGGCACCAAGTGCGGTTAGAAGAGATTGTCGCGATGATAATAACTTTCGTCACGTGCACGTGTACGGCGCTGCAATTCACATGCAGCAGTTCGCCTCCGATGGGCACAGCGTATGGGACCGGAACGGCGGATTTAAGCCATCAGGTGCTAGTCAAATCCTGCAGCAGGCCAGATCCATGCGGGGTGCAGCCGTGTTCTTCTCGTCGTTCTGTCTGAGTCATCCAGAGTTCGATGGGCGTCCTGGACGGCGCGGTACCACAATCGTACCGGCTCCGACGTTACCAGGGACGCGAGAGAGCGCGAGTCGACGATTGGGTCGGAGGCGTATGTCTCACTCCCCGAAGGACACGTCGCCGGGCTCGCGTGAGCGAACGCTAGGCAAACGTGGGTTCAGCGCGACTTGCGATAATTTTTCGGCCAATTTTAGCGTCCATTGCATCGGTCCTACCTTTTCATGACGACTACGAACTGTGCGCTCGAAGCTTCCTTTTGACTCCCGCTAACCAACTTGCCTCCGAGGCTGACAATATCTCTCTCCAGGCCACCGTGCGCCTTGCTTTTTCTCTGTCGCATCCCCTTCTACTTGTAATAGAATTGCGACTCCTTCCGAGTATTCGACTACACAGACTTGGGGCGTTAAGGTTCACTAAACACCGGCCAATTTCCCCACAAACACACCCATTCCTTACACCCGAAAGCGCGTTTGTTTGACGGCCATCGTCAAATGAACCTGCACCGACGCGTAGGGATCTCGAGAATAGTAGGTGCTCTCTCCGCCAATTGTCAACAACTGCTTTTACCATCGC